AAATTCAAGGTGGTCAGCGGCCAACCAATCAGCACTCAAAGGCACTTCGATGCCTCCTCTTCCTGGCCCTCGTCCCCTCTTTTATAATCCCTAGGATTTCTGATTCGATATCCTCCTTTAATATCCATGAGTTGCCTTATTTTCTATGCAGGGTGCCTACTTCGATACCTATGAGGCTTATGTCCTCTGAGTGTGTTAAAGGTCGTCTTTTGTTGTCTTGGTAGGTGCTGACATCTACTTATAGGTGATGACTCTCCAGCCGTCTGAGATGTGTTGGGCCGACAAACATCCCATTACGTTGTCCGTGTGTTCACGTATTTTTTCTTTTCTCCTCTCTATTTTTTTGTCTTCTCATATGTTTACAGAGGCCAATCTACTCGGCAAAGGTGGTGTTGGATATGTTCACTCCCTCTCTCTCTCTCTCTCTCTCTCTCTCTCTCTCTCTCTCTCTCTCTCACGTTGCCCTCCTCCTCCCTCTGGCGTGATACTAACCATCACCCATAATAATTCAAGGTTACATATTATATCTATTTTGCTATTTTTTAAATATTATGGACGGAGTAAATTCCGAACCTACGTGTATTCATGTCCATCACCCACGTGTTTCTCGCCCTCTCCCCTCTCTGTCTCTCTCTCTCTCTCTCTGTGACTGAATCGTAATGGACCTCGTCCATAGCTAACGAGGGGAATTCGGACCCACCCTTCCTAGGGCCCACAGACAAAAGGTTTTTTTAAAATATTAAATATATAGTAGTTTGGTGGGCTCGTATGACGCCCAAAATGGGAAGGCAGGCCGTTGACACTCATTTCTGACCCGACCGCGTACGTGGGCCCCACTTTTGCCAACGTGGCACTGAGAATCTAAAAGCTCAGTTCCGGAACACGATTCCATTCCCCAAAACTCCACGGCTTGCGCGCCTATGGATCGTAGTTGTTCAACGGGAGGGGAAGGAATACCAAATGGGCCGGCCCAAAAAAGACAAATTGAGACACGTGGGCCTAGGCCCAGTATATTTGGTAATGATGAAGTATCCGACTTTGATTGGGTTTTCACTGAATCCAGTGAACGGGTAAGCAGATCCTATAGATATCTGATTAATTATATAGGGCGACCGTCCAAATGCGACCCTTGTGATCCCATCGAGGGCGATGCCAACAACGATCGTCACATCACGGCTGTTGCGTCTTGAGACCAGGTTGATTGCACGACGAATTTACCAAATGTCAACGCGTGAACTTGTCGCTCGATTACACCTCATTGCATGGGAGATTGAGTCGTGAGCTGTGACTGAGTCCATGTCCCATAGGACGAGACCATTGGACTTACAACGAACCGGTCAATCCAAAATTCACTATTCCCATTGGTTGAAGGCGATGGAAAAGGGTATGTCTCAGGATTATGACGTCATTAGTAGAGTCAACGGCTGACATTTTTATATCGGTGAGGAAATTAAAAAAAAACCCACTTTTGAATTATCAAAGAAAAAAAAAAATCGTCATTGTCAATATTATCTTTGTCCACCAGTGGGATGTTCTTAAATAGTTGATATGAGATGGATATATTAGTGATAAACCCATGCTTTTACTTTTCTCGCCGGGATGCCCACACTTACTTGACCCATTGGCCAAATAATTCTACCGGTACATCTATGAAAGGGTCAGCTGAATACTTATGAAAGTAGCCCATTTTGATATTTTATTACAAAACTGTCCCAATATTTTTGGATTTATAGTCTCCCTCGAGAGTGAAGGAGAAAACTTCGAATCGGACGGATCAAATAAGGTGATTGCATAGAACTCAAATGCAATTATTACATTATTATGGTATTTATGAAAGTTTAGGGGAGTAAAAAGATATTAACACCAATATTATCGAGGGCTTTCATATAAAGTTTCTTGTTCCGAGAGTTGGCACGTAACACCATCGGCGTGGGAAGTCCCTAATATGATGACGTCATTTAGCTCCAATCCGACCAGCTGTTGTGACAGTTGTTTAGAGAGAGAAAAGGGGATAGAAAGTGGGAACCACTACCCTAATGCTCCATATATCTTCTCGAGTGTGAAAAGGCTCTTCATTTTTCCGTCTCTACTCCCAGAGTTACGGAGGAAGTAGCTCGGATAGAATCCGAGAAGGGAAGAAGAAGTGGGGGACTAGGATGGTGCTTGCTTGCCTCTCTGCTCGGATCTTGCCCAGTTCTACCCCCCCGGTCGTTGACTTCCCGTAATGTCGCTGGCACCGTATCTTTCTCCTACGAGATCTCCGGTCAACCCCCTCTTCCATTCCTCCAGTTCCACTTCTGCAACCTAGATTGTGGGGATCGTTGTGGGTAGTGTGGCTGCCTAGATCACGTCCTCCTCCCGCTCTAACCCTAATAACCCCCTTTCCATGAAATTTACTTAAATACTCTATGCTTGGCCCTCACATGTCCCGCATGTGACCCACATGGCCCATCACTCTATTTTACATCTGTTGAGGGTTGAAACACCAAAAGAAGAATCTAAAAGATCTCAGACGAGGATTAAGCCACCTCTTCCAGATTATAATCAGTGGCTCTCCTTCTCTGGGTTGACCTCGTTTTCTTCTTCCTTCTCTCTGCTTTATCACATGCCGAAGAACCATACGTTTTCCCTTCAATCAGGCGTAATTCCTCAATAATACCACCATACGGTTCTTTTTTTCTCTTGATTTCTTCCTAAAAACTGGTAAGATGTCCCGATTTTATATCTGCGTAATCCACGACTCCTCACGTTCCTTCCCTTCAAGAAAACGTATTTCCCCAATATCGCCATGAGTTCCCTTTAATCTGTTCGAAGAGATTTCAGAATCATCATCGTTTCTCCACGGAATGTCAACTAATTATCAGATCGGCATAACTGAATTATGCTCCATATATCATCCATGTGTTCTCATTCCACATCATCCCCCATGCAGCGACAACCTTTTTTCTAAATCAGGCTTGCCCATGTTGATCTCTCTCCTTCTGATAGCAACCCTGAAATCAAACTTGCTCGTGATTTAAGATCCGCTTTTCGTTCAGTAAAGTCGCCCAGGAATGCTCCAACGTAATCATCTGTTTCAGCAGAATTTCGACTAATGCACTCTATCTATCATACATCACATGTTGGCCAAACACCACAAGTTTTTTCCCACTTCAGCCTGGTAGAGATTAAGCAATGATATCAATCTCTCTGATCGTAATTCATAAACTGATCCTGTTTATTCTCAAGAACCCACATAGTTTGTTTATCCACAGCATCATCTCAGCAGCGTCGTTTTCCAAACAAAATCAGTCCCTGTTGGTGCAGGTTTATTTATGATCATAACCCAGAACTCCATCTGGGCCTGGCATGCCTGACCCACCCTTGCTGGTGCAGATCGTTCGGTTCCTTGAAGGCGACGTGTCCCAGGAGGATCTGACCGAGGGGATGACGGCCAGCCACAGCCCCGTGTACGGGTCTAGCACGGAATACGACAGAGGACAGCACAGCGAGGAGAAGAAGAAGTTCAGGAAATTGGCGCTGGGAAGTCAAGATTGCTCCACCGGCGAGGACAGCGCCCCCACCAACCAGAACGGGCTGTCCCTGTCCGGTTCCAGCAGCGAAGTCAACCATTCTTCTCGCGAGATGGAGTCGGGGAGGACGAAGAAAGACAGCAGGGGCTTCAGCGGCGGATTATGAGCCTGCTCTATCGGGGAGAAAAGCCAGTGGTTTCTAGCTTCTGCTTCCTCGATCGGGAGATGAAATTGATATCCTCTGGTTTTTCTTCACTGAATCCAGTGAATTGGTAAAAGGACGCTTCGCACATCCGATTAAATAAAGGGGCACCGTCCAAATGCAGTGCTGGGGATGCCGCCAACGGCGCAGCCAACAACGATCATCACATCAAGGCCGTCACTTTCTGAGACCACGGCAGTTCGATTGGGCGGCGAATTTACTAATGTCAGCGCGTGGACTTCTCGGGCACGCACGATTACAGCTCATAGCATGGGAGATCGAGACGTGAGCTGTGACCGACCGATTCGACGCCCGGTAAGACCGTGACCGTTGAATTTCTACGAACCGGTCAATATACAATTCACAATTCCCGTCCGTTGAAGGCGATGGGAAAGGCTACGTCCAAGAATTATGACCTCATTAGCAAAGTAAACGGGCTGACTTTTTTTTAATCGATGAGGATATTAAGGAAACCCACATCTGGATTTATCGAAAAAAGCTCCCGTGATTGTCGATATTATCTTTATCCACCAGTATAAGACGGATATATTATCTATAAGCCCATGATTTTACTTGTCTTGTGCGGATGCCCATGCTACTAAGTTGATCCGTTTGCCATAAAATCTACCAATATATTTATTTACCCAAGAGCCGGCCGAAAATTTATGAAAGTAATCCATTTTGATATTTGATTACAAAAATGTCCCGGTAGTTTTCAATTTACTTCGAAGCGGAAAAGTCTTAGGCGCTCAATGACAGCGAGCAAAGGGATTAAGCTAGGAAGATGAAAACAGAGGACTTATGTGCAATTATTAAGTTTCAAGGGGGTAATGAATACCGAGGGCTTTTATATAGAGTTTCATTTTCCACAGTAGGTGTTTATGACGTCATCGACGCGGAAACAGCGAATTTGATTGGTCGGAGTCTCAGACGATGACGTCACACTGCCCGAATCTGACCGCCCATCGTGACAGTTGTCTAGATTGCGTGGAGGAAAGAGAAAATGGGTGAGGGAATTCCGAAGGGGATTTTATAGATTTTGCGTAAAGGAAGCTTTTTTTTTTTAAAAGGTGGGGTCCAGCTGATCTGGCGAACCCATGATGGGCTCTATCTTCCCCCAGTGGGAAAAGGTATTCTTTTTCTTCCGCCCTCTACTCCCCAGAGCTCTTCACAGAGGGAGAGTAGATCGAATCGGAGAAGGCATTTTGGCCGCCGGCCCCGGGGAAGAGGGAGGGAAGGAGCGGGGACATTGCCCAGTTCCTGCCGTCGGCCACCGACTGCCGGCAATGTCGCTGGCTCCCAATATTTCCCCGACGAGCCCTCCGGTCACCCCATCACCGCCGGTGCCGGCCGCACCGACCCCAGAGTCATCGTCGTCGCCGCCGCCGCCGCCTCCGGTGGGCGTACCGCCGGCGTCTTCTCCTCCTCCTCCTCCAAACACATCGCCACCGCCGCCGCCGACGTCTCCTTCTGGGGGAACGCCCTCACCTCCGCCTCCGACCAACCGGACCCCGTCATCTCCTCCCCCTCCTCCTCCTTCCACTACTACGTCGTCTTCGGATTCCTCCAGTTCGAGTTCCGTTTCCACGACCGCGATTGTGGGGATCGCTGTGGGTGGTGTGATCGCCCTGGTCATCCTCAGCATTCTGTGCATCTGTCTCAGCAGGAGAAAGAAACGGCGGGATCCGTCGACGTTCGATCACTATGGAGGTCATCCGACGCCTCCACCGCGCATGGGTAGGAATTTTATTCTGATTCTAAACATTCACCGTAAGATCTAATAATTCTGGTTAGATCATGTGGCTATTTAGTCAACGGTCTGCTTTAACTTATGGAATAACATGCAGATAATCCCCTACATTTAGATATTCTCAGTTCCACGAAGTTTACGGATATTAAGAGCAAAATTCCATTTTCCAGTCAATTTGATTTAACTCGTAGAAATATAATGCAGATGCATATGGAAAATGAAGATACGGAATGACATATGTGCAGCATGATTTCTAACTTGCTCACTCGATGTTAGATATCTGCAGCATGATTTCTATCACATATCTTATAGTTTTTTTTTTATGCTTGTGGCCTACTTTCTACATCATTTTCTCACAAGATACGCTCTGATTTTTTTCCTTCTATTGTCAAGTGATGCTAATTTTATTTTTTTTGGCATGATATTAATGCTCCCTTCTTTTTTTGGAAATCTCGAAGATGCTATTTGGATGATTTTTATATGAGCTGAGTTCGAGTTGTGTTCTTTTAGCTATACGAAAGTAAGCCTGCATTTGGAGACATACTTCTTCCAATTTATATGGTAGTCACGCTAATAAGTAGAGTTTCATCATCATTACCCTTCATATTTCAATCTGTTGGGTTTGAGGACACTTGTTCTTGCCAGCCTTATACCTAGATAAAAGGAGAAAGGTTGGAACTAGGAAGGACAGCTGATTCTATGATCTTGGATAACTTTTAGGGTGCTATCTAATTCATTATATTGTAGAAATCTTCGTAAACATTTGATGGAATATAAATAATTATCAATTTTTATGCGTATTTTCTAGATTACATTACGTATTTTACTCATCATTAAACTCTTATTTCATTATATTGGTGATATCTAGACTCAGCACCAGATATAACCATTTGGGAAAATTATTTTTATCTGATATGAACACTGTTTCGATTTTAGTCTTTCATTTCACACCAATGTCGAAGAAAACTTTGCATGGGAGATGGTTTAAGCTCATGGAACTGTTAGAAGACTTGGAAGGTTTACCTTATCAGACTCCGGACAAAGAAGAAAAAGGGGACATGAGACCCAAAATTTGAGATTAAAAGACTTTAGTGATTACAAGGATCCCAGAAATTGAAGGTGCCCTAAATAATCATTTTAATGGATTGGTTCACTTTTTTTTTCATATTTATAATATCTATGGGGATTATAGTAAATGACGATGGAAGATATTTTAATTATTTCCGGATATAATTAATAGCTTATTTCCGAATAGAGAAGACTTTTTTTCTTGATGAACTTAAGCATCACTTTGCTGCATGATGATCACGGGCAGAGTATGGTAGCATGCTAGTTTCAGAAAGGAAACCCCACAGTGAAGTAGGCATTCCCTGTATGATGATCATCGACTGTGTATAGTGTTATGTTAGTTTCAGAAAAACTTTTTATCTCTGAATTTTTTTTTTAAATTAGTCTTGTAAAAAGTAATCACAAAAGATATTTTACATCCGCTGAAGGATTTACATACAATTTTGATATGACCTCATACAAAAGCTTTTTTTTTTTATAAAAAAAAACCTTCATTGGTTTAAAGATTCGACAAATGATTATCTGGCGCTTTGATCTCCAGATGTGTTCTCCAGATTATGTAAATTAATGCGTTTGAAAGCTTCTGATGTCAGATGGGCTGTCTACTTGCATTGAAAACTATGCAAAAAAAAAAAAAAAAATCTTGTTCACCACGACACCCTCTTCATCCAGATGATCATCGTACACAGATTTAGTAGCATTAGTCAGTGGCCTGCCTGTGTGTTAATATATGTTTTTTTTTTTCTTTTTCCTGCAGATACGTATCAAGGGCAACAACAAAGTTGGCAGCAGACAATTCCGCCACCAGCTCCGCAAGTCTTGAAGATCCCTCCTCCAGCCTATGCCTCGCGTCCACCAAATTCACCACCACGCCCTGTATCTGTACCAGTGACAGCAAGCAGTGGAGGTTCCTCTGGTCCTGAGGATCCACTTCTGTTTTCGCCATCACCTGGTCCTTCCCTTGGTGGTTTCTCAAAAAGCAGCTTCACGTATGAGGAGCTAGTGGTGGCAACGGATGGGTTTACGGATTCCAATCTACTTGGGCAAGGTGGGTTCGGATATGTTCACCGAGGAATGCTTCCAAATGGGAAAGAAGTTGCCGTCAAGCAGTTGAAAGTAGGAAGTGGGCAGGGAGAACGTGAATTTCAGGCAGAGGTCGAAATCATCAGTCGTGTGCATCACAAGCATTTGGTTTCATTAGTTGGGTACTGCATTACTGGGGAGAAGAGGCTACTTGTGTATGAATTTGTTCCGAACAACACTTTGGAGTTTCATTTGCATGGTAATGTTCGTGTCTTTCATTGGCATATTCCTTTTTAGAATACTTGATATGTATTTTTTTCCAAACTTTGATCTTTCGTGGGCAAATTAAGATAGAAAAATGTTTGCAAAAAGACTTCATGTTATGTACTTGAATCAAGTGAGATATGGTCAGTCATTGTTCATTGATAGTTGCTATGATGCCAAAACAATGCAAAATATGGGGGTTAGTAGAATGTGGATAATACAGGACTTAGATATGTGCTTAAGTCTCTTGTTTCCCGGGGCATCATCTTATGACGAGATTTATGCATAGAATTGACAAGAGGGATTGACATTTGAAATTTAATGAGCAAAACTATGGTTAGTTTTTCGTTTTTTTCAGCATATCATCAAGAAAATTTTCTTTTATGCATTGAGGAGACTAAACATTCATGGATCCCTTTCCTTCGTTTTTTTTTTTACTTGGATGAAGCAGGGATTCATCTGTAAGGGCTACTAGTTTTCCTATCAGTGTTGCGACTTCAATGGCTTATGAATCTACGTTCAGGATTTTTTAGTTTTCGTTCTCATTATGAATCCTATCTTTTTAGATTTAACCTTAGATCCATGCAGGAAAAGGACGGCCAGTGTTGGAGTGGTCCACCAGATTGAAAATTGCCTTGGGCTCAGCAAAGGGATTAGCTTACCTGCACGAGGACTGTGAGTTCTGAGCTCTGGTTTCCCGGGCTGGTTCTCTCTACGTTTCTTCCTACTGTAGATGGGATATATGAGACATTGGATGATCTTACTGGTCCTGGTTTGTCTGCAGGCCATCCAAAGATTATCCATAGGGATATCAAGGCATCAAACATTCTTCTCGACTATAAGTTTGAGGCGAAGGTACTATTGGTTTCAGTTTTTTTTTTTCTTCCTAGGTCTGCAAAGTTTCTACCCTTTTCAGAGAAAAATAAACAGGAAAAGGGATACCACTAATATTGTTATGATGATTATGGTAATGCTTGATATTCAATCTATATAGCGGTCAAGGGATAACAGGTGCTACAGTGAACAAAAACTTTTAAAACTCTGGATGAAGTGAAGAGCAAGTGAATGATGAGTTCATGATAGTTTTATATTTTCTATTATCCTATTATTTTTCATTGTTGTAAGGAAATGAATGATCTCGCACAAATGTTTTTATTTTGTGATTCTCATAGCTTTAGATTTGGTTTTAACCAAAGTCAATCAGTTTTACACACCGAATCAAGTGATAAAAAAAAATGAAGCATCTATCGAAATCCGACCCATAAACGAAATCACATGTTTGCCCTCTTAATTCAGTTGAGAATGGGCTAAAGCTGTATATATAAAAAAAAACCTGGCAACTCTTTTAAAGCCATGGAATCGGCCAAAGCAGAGTAGAATCAAGGAGAATCTCAAAAGCAAATCTGAAATGACAGAAGAAGAAAATACCAAAAATTATCTGGAACACTTATATCCCTTGTTTATCCCAGATTTCTCACCACTCCATTGGAGACTTCAGATTTGACAAAAAAAAAAAAAAAAAGAAAGTTGCTAACTTTAGGAATATTTCTTGTGTCTTTAAGTCGTCTAGTCTATGCCATGCGTGTAGTCTAGATATCTTCTCACTAGTTCACTGCTTATATATTATATATCTGTAGATCAAAACCCATCCCCATCTAGAACGGCCGAGTGCATAGATCATTTATCTGAAAAGAAAATCTGCACAAGTGTACATCCACTGTTCTTAGTCTCTCCAGTGAGTCTGACATATCTTGATGTCATTTGCAGGTTGCAGATTTTGGACTGGCTAAAAGCGCTTCTGAGGCAAACACACACGTCTCAACTCGAGTCATGGGAACTTTTGGGTATGTTGCATCTGATTTATCTCGTGATTTCAACCTGTTTGATATGGTATAATGTTGTCAACTGCATTCCCTTCATCTCTTCCTTCAATCAAGCACATTGCTCGCTGAATGCCCAAAGCCGCATTATTACTATTTAAGGATAGTCTCATACTGTTTAAGGGAGAAATCGATCGATTGCTGAGTATATAAGCTAAAATTAGAGCTCTGATTTCAATCCTTCCAGTGCATACCCTGTTTCTATTATCCACGTGTCAAAACCTGAAAGAAGGTCCCATGCCAGAGCAAGAACTCTGCTCTATGTGGATCATTGTCAGCATGCTTAAATGCTCAAACTCCAATCCCAATTGTTATCTCCTGAAATGGGCCTGCTGCCTTCTGTAATCTAATAACTTGCCCAGTTTAGTATTCTTTTAGATTGAGAAAAATAACAAAACAAGTGCCATTCTTCTCGCAGGTATCTGGCCCCAGAGTACGCAGCAAGTGGAAAGCTCACCGACAAATCCGACGTGTTCTCTTTCGGAGTGATGCTCTTGGAGTTGATCACTGGGCGTCGGCCGGTTGACTCCGCCAATGCCTTCATGGATGACAGCCTTGTGGATTGGGTCTGTCTCTCCTGCTCTCACACTTGGAATTGCATGGATATCAGCTACTTCACAACCAAAGGATTTTAGTGTTGTGTTGGTAGAGTAATCTCTAAGGCTACTCCTAACTGCAGGCAAGGCCTTTACTCACGCGGGCGCTGGAGGATGGCAACTATGAGGCTCTTGTGGACCACCGGCTGGAGAACAACTACGATCCCAACGAGATGACCCGGCTAGTTGCCTGTGCTGCAGCCTGTGTTCGCCACTCGGCCCGCCGTCGCCCGCGGATGAGCCAGGTAGCTTATATCCTCCCGTTTAGAACTGCACAACCTCCCCTTGAAGTTGCCTGTGCTCTGCATGGTTCCTCAGTATATCACCATCAAGATGCCATCTATATGGTTCTTCATCTCTCTAGCCGGTGTAATTCCTCGATAATATACAACCATATGGTTGTTTTTTCTTTCCTTCTTGATTTCTTCCTAAAAACTAGGATGCTTCCCCGAGATGTCCGGATTTCACGTTTCTCCCTAATATCACCATGAGTTCCATTCAATCTTTTGGAAGATATTTCAAGATCATCATCATTTTCTATGGAATGTCAACAAATCATTCGATCTGCACAACTTCCGAGCCCCCCAATCAGAGACAATTTTTTTTCTAAATCAGGCTAATAGATGTTGATTTCTCTCCTTCTGGTAACAATTATGAAATCAAACTTGCTTATGACTTAAGACCCACTTGTATTTAGTAAAGTCAAACTGGAATTCTTCAAGTTTATCATCCTTCTCTCCCGAATTCCGACTAATTATAGCTAAGGCACTTATTACACATGATTGCTTTCGCATTTGACATCATCATCCACGTGTCTACCCCGGCAAATGCTCAAGAACCCACATAGTTTGTTTATCCACATGATCATCATCATCCTTTCCAGCACACCAGTCCATGGCCATGCTACCTCTCCGGCCAACAAATCAGTCCCTGTTTGTACAGGTTTATGATCATAATCCAGTGTTCCTTTGTCTGGGTACGCCTGACCCTCCCCCTTGCTGGTGCAGATCGTCAGGGTTCTTGAAGGGGATGTGTCCCTAGAGGATCTGAACGAGGGGGTGATGCCCGGGCACAGCTCCATGTACGGCTCCAGCACGGACTACGACAGAGGACAGTACAGCGAGGACATGAGGAGGTTCAGAAAGTTGGCGCTGGGAAGCCAGGATTACCCCACCAGCGAGTACAGCGCCCCCACCAGCCAGTACGGGATGAACCCGTCCGTGTCGAGCAGCGAAGGCTACCCATATCGCGACGAGTCCGGGAGGACGAAGAAAGACAGCAGGGACTTCAGCGGGTAATCATGAGGACACGTTCGGCGGCCGCCCAGTCGTTGAGCCTGCGCTTTTCTTCTGAATCGGGTAGGCAAGACAGTGGGGGTTCATCGGGGATTGGTTTCTAGCTGGTGCTTCTCGATGGATTGTCGGAGATGAGATAGATATCTTGATGTACCATTATTTTTTGAAAATTTTCCTGCATAATTCACCTCGAATGATTGATTTCTAGTATATTTAAGGATCTTCTTCGGAGAAATGGATCATTCTATTTTTAATCAGATGATGTTGTTAGCAGCCTGTGTAATACACTTAGAGGAATTCCATCCAACGAAACAATTTATCGCCGGTAATGCAGCAGACGGACGCCTCTATCGCATGCCAAAGACGGAGAGCAGGAACCTCTCTGAAAGTCAGTTGTTCGTCTAGACTAATTTTTACTTAGATTGGTATAGAACCGAGGTCAATCGCTAGAAGAACTAGGTGCTACATAAAAACAGTTGGAGAGGGAGCAATGGAGGTCTTTCAGATCTTCCAAAAGGATTTTCGGTATTCTATAGTGAGATGCTCAAAACCAAATAGCTAGCGGCTTGAACTATCGATCACAGATGGATCATCATTACGATTTCTTCGGAGAGAAAGAAGATGCCGACGAGACCAATCACAAAATCCAGATAAACGTAGGAATGTGGAGTCCTGATGTAGCCGTTGCCATCACGGACGATGAGCAAGGAAACGATGGACACCGTCGAGGAGAGACCCGCCGGAAGAGCAAAAGACTTGCCCAGCCGACTTTACCTCTCTCTCTCTTCATATGCCAGACATGTAACGATCTCTACCGATTCTGATTGAATCCGAGAATTCACGGCAGAAATCTGACTATGACTGGGAGGTAAAGCAATAGATTTCGACGATTAGACAAATAAACAAACCTAGATCGGAGTCTAGAACAGATTTGCGAGCTCCTCCCCCCCCCCCGGATCAGCTTGGCGGGGGATCGATCTATCCAACTCCAAAAGCACCCAAGGAAGAGAGAAGACAGAACCGAAGATAAATCATCGGAGAACAAGAACAACCGATCGATCGGAGAGAGAGAGAGAGAGATAACCTGATTGGATGACGACGACAGGCCACGTCTCAGTAGGTCAAGCTTTTAGTATTTATAGGCTTCATGAAAACCCTCGATCCACATCCACACGAGAGAGAGAGAGAGAGAGAGAGAGAGAGAAATGGGCCTAGTAAGTTAATTGGGCCATTGTGGACTGCTGAAAAAATTGTCTCGTTCAAGCCCATTTTATCAGTAATTAAACATTCCGTACGTGGGTATTTTGGAGAAAGCATACAGGCCAGGAAGGATCGATTGATTCCTGAGATGTGGGTTTGATGCGTTCTGCCAGCCAGGCACCGAAGACTTCCGTTGTGTCCAGTTGTTCTTCCGCATCGATCGACTGGGGCTTCGAGGGTCTCTAATTCTTCGGTGTGGAGCGAGGATCGTAGATCTCTCTCGGGCTTGGCCTTCCCCGGTTTGAATTTCTCGTGGAGCTTCGGATTATCCCCCCTCCTAGCTTTGCTTGGGCCTGGAAACCATGGCGTCGAGGAGGCGGATGCTTCTGAAGGTCATCATCCTCGGGGACAGCGGGTATGGCTGTCTCGTTGGTTTTTGTGTATTTATTTTGGTTAATCCTTCCTGCAAGTGGCTTTTCGCAGCCCGATCTCGGTTTCATCCTCTCGTATCTGTATTTCTCTAGAAGATTGGCATGATCATAGTAGATGAAGACACTGTTTATCTAGGATTTTTATCCTTTTTTTCTATTTACTGACTCTATTTTTGTTAACGCCTGTGGTTGAACTTTGATAGGGTTGGCAAGACGTCTCTGATGAACCAGTATTTTTCCGAACCCTCCTTTTCTTTTCGTAATTTTACTTTATCTGAAAACGAAACTTTTTGGCTGACAATACCTTCATCTTCTTGGTATATTTAGATATGTGAATCGGAAATTTAGCAATCAGTATAAGGCAACCATTGGCGCTGATTTCTTGACGAAAGAAGTCCAGTTTGAGGATAGGCTATTCACACTTCAGGTGAGTAGTTTCATAATTGCGTTTCGGCAGTCTACCACTACATTCTCCAGCTGTCTTTCGACGTCTAATTCAGTTACCGTATTCTTATCTTTTTACATCGATATCCGAGGTTTGAATAAAAAAATTGGTAAACATGGGAAAAGCCTGCTGTTGATTTCTACATCTGCGGATTGAAAACGTGCAATATCTTTGTCAAATTTTTATTGGGTAGAAAATGTACACAGGCAAGTCTAGTTCCACCTAGCACACATGGCCATGTCCTAGTGCAGCTTTTGCGCATCCATGGAACCGCCCATATCGTCTATGCCTGAATGCCTTAGCAAATTGTTTACTGTCTCCTCTATGTGGTTCCTGCTCCTCTTGCTCCAACGACTGTAGAAGGTCACCCTTTCCCTCTTTTCTGGGGGTTGTGAGAGGAAAGTGAGTGTTAGGGAAGAGAGATATGGCACATCGCACTAGGGGTTGCCCATTCTGATTCATGATGAAACCGTCTCACCTTCTCCTAGCTCCCTTTTGTAATATCTTTTTCTGGAGCTTGCAAGATCCTTTCTGCCTCTTGGTGTAGCAAATTTCCCTTCAGGCACCATATCTGAAGCCACTTCGCCATTTCCACTATGCTGCCAGACATCTCAGGCTTCTGGGTGATGAGCTCCACATACTTCACCTTGTTCTACACCTATGACTAAGTAATAGAAAGTAATTGGAAATTGTCTGATTATTGAATGTAACCTGTGAAAGCATGATGGACATTTCACCCAGAGGGGGCTTTGTTTTTGTTGATGCGGAGAAGGAAATCTTGAACAAATGTGGAACTTCGTTCCATGTTGATGTCAATGAAAATCGAAGGGATTTCATATCGTTGTCCATGACTAAGGTTCTAGTTGTATGTGGGGAATATGTAAATTATATGAACGTTTCGCTCTTTTCAGGTTAAAGTTTATGTTCATAAAATGTAAGTTATTCTTCGTAAAACTTTTGATAATCTAATTTTATAACGTGGCATTGTCACTACTCTATAACATATTTTGCAAAGTGGTAAATCTTTTCATAGTTTTTTGTAAGGTATTAAAGAGGGTTATTTTCCTCACCAGTTGGTCTTGCAAACTCAGAAAATCCATACTGATCATGTTTTGAGGGATTGGCTGCTTCCTGAGCTTATGCTCGACCAGTTTAGTTTTGGGTGACACTGTCCGGCGTGCACTCATGAGAACTGTCTGAAATTGGGATCACACTGGGCAAAGATCAACAAAGAATTAGCTGATCCAGATTCTGTGTTCCTAAGGCCAGTTCTCATCCTCAAATTCTTCCTTAGGTCCCTTCCTAGAAGCCTTCAAATCTCTTCCATCCTCAGCTTTGGAGGACCATTTTGCTGGTCAAGCAGGTTAGTTTTATGCTCCCCATCTACCAATTCTTCATTCCTTGGACGATATGTTCCTCAGGGAGACGTCATTGTGTTATCTTGCTCACTCGGATAATCCTAACACCTTTAGATTAAATGAAAACAACTCTCATGAATAAAAGGAAAAAAGGATTAAGCAAAAATGTCTTGAGGAAATTCGTCTTCTTCAGGAGAAAACCCTTTGTATGTGATTGCCTTCTGCATCTGATCTTGTGTAAATGGATTGGAACAATGTATTCACTGAAGATGCTTGTAATTTCTGTGTTATTGTCAGACTTTCTAAATAAATGAACGATGCTGCACTGAATTTGGGAACTGTTTCATTAACCTTGTTTGCCAATAAGATTGTCTTGACGACGAGTTCAATCTGCTTCCTAGGTTCCCAATTGTTGCGTTTATTTAATTTTATCATCCTCGTCAAATTGAGGGCAAACTACTTGTTCCTGTTCTGCGGACTGAAATGGAATTTGATGGTAATGAAGTTGCACCTTTTGGAACGCGAGTAAGATGCTAAGAAGTATACTTCGTTGATGGAAGAAAATCCGCACATTATTTAGTGAATTAAATTGAAAGAGAATGAGGACATGCCATGTTTGATGCCTCAGGATATGCATTGCCGTCTCACTCGTGGCTTATGGGTATTTTTACATCTACACTAGGATCATTGCCATTTTCCCAGTAATATCATAGGACGATCGCACGAAGAACATGACTATTTTCCATACTTAAATCAAAACAGATGTTATTTATGCAGAAAATCATCGGGCCAGTCTGTGGTTTCTGATGTAAATATGTGACAGCTTGATTTTCTAGTTTAGCCTTTAATTTTAATGATTGTTCCAGTCATCTAGAGGTGATCCATGTTCTTTCATTTATGAACGAAACCTCCGTATTTGGTCATTCCAATCGCCTGCTATTTTTTTCCTGCGATCCAATGAAATCATAGTCTGAAAATTTTCCAGACAAGATTCAATCACACTTTCGGTATCCGACCAATGTTGATAATTGAAAATTTCATCATTATGGATTATTTTTTTTGGTGTGGCTCTGCTTTCTTTCTACTGCTACTTCTCGTTACCTGCTTTTCCTCTCTCTCGATTTATTCCTTTTTTTTTTTTTCATGCCATTCCAATCTTCCAGATTTGGGATACAGCGGGACAGGAAAGGTTTCAGAGCCTCGGTGTTGCTTTCTACCGTGGAGCTGATTGCTGCGTTCTTGTGTATGATGTCAATGTTGCGAAATCATTCGACAATCTGAACAACTGGCGGGAAGAATTCCTTGTCCAGGTGATCGATCTTCTCCACCCTGGAACCCTAATTCTTGGGTCCACTCTATCCGTTTCCAATTTCACCAACCCCCTCTCGTCATCCATTCCCAGGCCAGCCCATCAGATCCTGAGAACTTTCCTTTTGTGGTATTGGGCAACAAGGTAGATGTGGAAGGCGGAAACAGCCGAGTGGTATGGCACTTACTATGCCCTCTTAACACATTCTCCCCAACACCATAAGCGGCGTCTCTTCTTCAGTGTCCTCTTCTGCCTGTTGCTTCAGGTTTCCGAGAAGAAGGCAAAGGCCTGGTGCGCATCCAAGGGGAACATCCCCTACTTCGAAACATCCGCTAAAGAGGGAATCAACGTCGAGGCTGCGTTCCAGTGTATAGCTCAGAACGCCCTCAAGACCGAACCCGAAGAGGAAATGTGAGTACCAACATTCTTTTTCCCTTCTTCCCACTGTTGAATGCACCAATTCTGACCACTTTTCAAGATCACCGATGGAGTTTTCCATTGCTGGTGAAGATACCATATGAACACTGAAAAACCTCGACATTTTTTTCCCTTCTTCCCACTGCTGAATGCACCAATTCTGACCACTTTGCAAGATCAGTGATGGAGTTTTCCATTGCTGGTGAAGATACCATCCGAACATTAAACTACCTCAACATTTTTTCCCCTCTTCCCACCATTGAATGCACCAATTCTGGCCGCTTTGCAAGATCAGTGATGGAGTTTTCCCTTGCTGTTGAAAATAACATCTGAACACTAAACTACCTCAACATCCCCCCTTCCTTCCCACCATTGAATGCACCAATTCTGCCCGCTTTGCAAGATCAGTGATGGAGTTTTCCCTTGCTGTTGAAGATAACATCTGAACACTAAACTACCTCAACATCCCCCTTTCCTTCCCACCATTGAATGCACCAATTCTGGCCGCTTTGCAAGATCAGTGATGGAGTTTTCCCTTGCTGTTGAAAATAACATCTGAACACTAAACTACCTCAACATCCCCCCTTCCTTCCCACCATTGAATGCACCAATTCTGCCCGCTTTGCAAGATCAGTGATGGAGTTTTCCCTTGCTGTTGAAGATAACATCTGAACACTAAACTACCTCAACATCCCCCTTTCCTTCCCACCATTGAATGCACCAATTCTGGCCACTTTGCAAGATCAGTGACGGAGTTTTCCATTGCTGGTAAAGATAACATCTGAACATTAAACTACCTCAACATCCCCCTTTCCTTCCCGCCATTGAATGCACCAATTCTGGCCACTTTGCAAGATCACCGATGGAGTTTTCCATTGCTGGTAAAGATACCATCCGAACACTAAAATACTTCAGCATCCCCCCCTTCCTTCCCACTATTGAATACACAGATTCTGGTCACTTTGCAAGATCACCGATGGAGTTTTCCATTGCTGGGGAAGATACCATCTGAACGTTAAAATACCTCAACACTTTTTTTTCCCCTCTTTCCACTGTTGAATGCACAAATTCTGGTGGCCACTTTGCTTGGACGGCGATCGAAGAACAGGCTTACTGATGGGGTTTCTTTTACTGCTGGTGAAGATACTTCCCGGACACCATCGACGTCGCAGGGAGTGGAAGGCATCAGAGATCCTCCGGCTGCGAGTGCTAGACAGAGGCCGATGTTCAGTGTTCTGATCGCCCATATTCAATTCATTATGTCGAACAGCCCTCTACATAATGGGGAGCTGCATGCCCCATATTCTACAAGCTCTCTCCCATCAAGAACCGGTTGGATTCCGCCCCCTCTGTCTGTCTGTCTGTCTGTCTGTCTGTCTGTCTGTCTGTCTGTCTTTCTGTCTGTCTGTCTTTCTGTCTGTGTCTTCTCTCCGAGCTCATCATCTGTCTCCCTGTAGAATGCTAAGGGAAGACCTTGCCCTCAATCATGTGTGTGGAGCTTCATAAAGGTGAGATCTTGGCTCCCTCCCCATCAGGACTCTGTAAAATTGTCAACGTTTCCGAGTCTCTGGGAACTGGGCAGGGACTCGGCTACTGCGTTGACCTATTCCTGTAGACTTTGGGCCGGTCTATCTTGTAAGTCACCCTCGATTGGTGGTGGCCCCTCGCTGTAGGTCGGCTGAAAAAATCTTGGAAGGATGTCCTTCCCATCGAGACAATGCCAAAGTTTCCGAGCACCTGGGAGATGGGCCGGGGATTAGCTACTGCGTTGACCGACCGCAGTAGACTTTTGGCCGATCTTGGCTGGAGTGACACTCGATTGGAGGTGGCCCCTAGCTGTAGGTCGGCTAAAGAAGGTTGGGCGGTGGGAAGGAAGCCCATCAGATTCGTCTTTGTTTGAGGAAAAAAAATCGAATCTTTGAAATCTTCTACTGTTAACTGAGTTCGGCCTCTTCCTTCCCCCGACGAGCTTATCCTCAGGGATAAGAGCGCGGGAGGGGAGATGGCTTCCCTGCGGCTGTTCTTCCCTTCCGGTTCTCAAAAACCCGCCCCCCAGATTTCTCGCCTCATACCCGCCGCCGCCGCCGCGGCTCCGCCGGGGAAGTGGGGTTGGAAAGCCGCGCCGCCGCTGTCTTCCAAACTCCGGCTATCTGGGGCGAAGGGGCCGAGGTTTTCCGGCGAGGACTGGGCGGTTTCCAGATTGCGCTTCCGCGGGGTGGACGCGACCCCCGGCAGCAGCGAGACGAGGCCGTCAGCGGCGCCGGAGAGGGACGGCGGCGGAGACGGAAGCGGCGGAGGAGGTGGCGGAGAGGAGGAGGATGGGGGCGAGGAGAAGAAGGGTCTTCTGCCGGAATGGGCCAGCATCACGCCGGAGGACGCGAAGACCGTGCTGGCGGCGTTCGCCATCTCCATAGCCTTCCGGTCCTTCATAGCTGAGCCGAGATTCATTCCTTCCTTGTCCATGTACCCCACTTTCGACGTCGGAGATAGGCTCGTCGCTGAGAAGGTGCGCCTCCTCTCCTCTGCCCATTGAACCTCTGAGTTGCTCGTTGAAGGAAATTATTCTGGGTTGTAGAGAATTATGACTCTGGAGGAACTGGGATTGCGACTGTTTCACGGAACAGAACACCCTATTAGGGTTTCTTCTGTAGTGTCCGGTTTCGCTGGTTGATTCGGAGGTTCTTATGATCTTGCGCTCTAGCACTGTGGTGATTTTTAGAGTTTTCAAGATCATCCGAAAGACTGATCAACTATCAGAGCCTGAAATGCATAGAAAATGGTTCTCTTTTGTATATCGCTCATCTCCTGAAGAATTAATCATCACTCTCCAACCCAATGCCTGCAGTCCCTCCTGGTTTTTCCCCATGGTTTCGATGCTCCCTAGCCACAGGGCCCGGTGAAGCTCTGATCTTTGGTTTTATGAGCCTAGTTTTTCTTCCCATCAGGTTTCTCCTAGAACAGGTCGCCAGAGTATCTTCTCTCTGCATATAATTTCGCGCCTATTAAAGGAATCCGATGAACCCAGGGCACCAATGATGGCAAAATATTACCACAGTTTTGCTTAGAATTGCTATATTAGGTATGCATGTTCATCTGATCCTGGTTTTCATTAGATTTTCTACACTAGGAGCTTGATGTGTTTCAGTTCTTCAGTATATTTGCTTAATGAGCAGCATGAGATGATATTTTTATTGATGTAACTTTGAGGTTTCATGCATAACAGGAATTTCTCTCATCGTTCCTAGGTCACATACTACTTCAGAAAGCCTTGTGTGAATGACATAGTGATCTTCAAAAGCCCCCCAGTCTTGCAGGTGAGTGAGTTTCCTGGCCTGAAAGAAAGTTCATTAAAAAAAAGAAGAGAAAAAGTCAATGCTCTGTTGTTATCTCTGCAGGAGGCTGGGTATACCGATGAAGATGTCTTTATCAAACGGGTTGTGGCCAAGGAAGGTGATGTTGTTGAGGTAAGTCAATTGGAGGTAGTAAGTCAACCGTATATACCTATTCTTTTCTTAAGTGATGGATAGAAGATTTGAAGATGATCTGGACCAAAAATGGGCAATAAAGAAAGTATGGGGGCTGTTCTTCCTAAACCAAAAAGTCAACTGGCTGGATAAATGGACTGCCCAATGGCCTCGTGTGTGTTAATTTCCAAGTGAGAATAGAAAAGTCAAAGTCTCCTTCACACATGTCCCTGTCGCGTGAAGATCACCTCTGTTTGTTCTATGCAAGGATCCGTAGCTCTGATAAAAACAATTTATGTTTTTCCTCATGAAGGTACGAGATGGGAAGCTTGTGGTAAATGGCACTGTGAGAAACGAAGGCTTCATTCTTGAGCCCCCGGCATATGATATGAGCCCAGTCGTAAGTTTCTCCACCATTTCCGTACTTTATGAAACCCTAAATTCTTCAAAATGGGCGCCCTGTTGATCCAGTTCTTCCCTGCTCACATGCCCATCCATCTGACTGAAACAGGTCCCCCAATGAACTGATGGTTTAATTATTTTTATTTTCCTCATTAAAGTATTGGTTTCTTGCATGATCTTGATGCAATATTTTTTACTTGTTCTTCAACTGAAGTAGGGATAATAACTTTTGATTTCCTTTATTTTCATTAAAATGCAGCATGTGCCCAAAGACTCTGTCTTTGTGATGGGCGACAACCGCAACAACAGCTACGATTCACATGTCTGGTAAGATCTCTTACTTGTTCATCCGCCAAGGCTCTATCTCTCTGCACCAAGCTGAGTTCAAGTCACATGTGAAGGGGCCCTCTTCCTGCCAAGAACATACTCGGGAGATCTGTGTTCAAGTATTGGCCTCCGGATAGAATTGGCGGCACCGTCCTCGAAGAAAGCTGCCCAAAGGAGAGCCCAGGGTCATAGAATGCCAGAAACGAGTCCATCTGCGGTTTGAGGTCATAGAACTCCGGATGTCGATGATGCCCACAATTGGGTTGGGTGGCTGGAGCTCTCTGGGTAACAGTCCTTCATTCATTGATCAAAAGGCAGAAATTGCATCAGTGTCTCCGCATTTGATCTTTCTGTAAAGACTGAGCTATTCTCTTTTTGGTTGCAATCTTCTGATCTTGAGCCCACAAGGTTTTCATAATTCTGAGCCAAATCCGTAGCTAGTAGTTGTAATAACATGTAATCAATCGCATGACAAGTTTTTTGCAAAGTCTGAGCCTAATTTGTAGCAAATGCTCGGAATCACATAAAAAGGTAATATCTTTGTGGCAAGAGTGGAAAAAAGGAAATATGTTGTAATATCATTATGGGTATTGTTCTCCCAACGGCTAGCAGGCAGAGGCTCGTGGATCCTATAGCTCATCCTTGGTGGTCTCGTCTGTGGAGAGGGCTTTGACTTCCTCAGATGCCACATATTTGTTGATGAAGTCAACCACCCCCCCAAAGCTTGTTTTCTTTGAAAGCTTGACCTGGACATGTAATGAACATCAGAAAACAAGACAGGAGAACCAGGATGCCCATTGATGGACTGATTCACTCACCGGGTTAGATTTATTTCCTGACGGGTAAAACAAAAGGGTCGGAAAGTTCTCAACCTGCAAACAACGGCGAGGAATATTGCCCGTTAGATCAATTGTGTTCTATGATATGATTATCTGTGGGATATCTTGAGCCCTGCCGCTGGAGAGCTTCGAACTAGGAACTTCACTAAACCTCGCCTAATCACATATCCGATGTGACTGTAGACCCATGATTTTTCTTCTTGGTTTCTTCTGGAGAGCATAATATTTTGATCATAAGCTAGCATACTGGATAAACTGTTTTGATTAATTCGGAGAGAACCCTTCTGATGAAGAAGCTAAGATTTATCTGTGACGATTCTTCCAAAGGAATTCACTCACTTGAGATTCTTATAGTTTGAGATTCTCGGGTATAATTGGCTCGGCCAGTTTGCATACCTGAAGCTTCGGGTGCTCATTCAGTGAAGCGTCTATCCTACCAAATATCAGACTGCCAACTTCTTTGAAGTGCTCCGCCAGCTTCTCAACCTGCTTGCTTGTGGCCTCACAATCGATGCACCATGGCGAGTAGACCTTGATAATCAGATCATGACAGTGACTTAGAATGACCAAATGTCTGATTTCATAGAAAAAACAAAGTATAGCAAGCACACAAACCTCGAGGAAGACATTCTCAGAACTGTCTATGATGACGGGACCAAAAGTTCTTCCCACAATTTTTCGAACAATTCCTGTCTGCATTTGGTGCACGGGAGTAGATATGGGTTCTCAAAATAGAGCTCGAAAAAAGTCAACCCCCCCTTGGACTAAAACCAAAGAAGACAGCAAGTGGCAGGAAAAGTCCTTACAGTTTGTGGAACAGACTCTGACTTGAAGTACGGTGTGAGGGTGCCATGCAGTAGACCTGAACAGAACTCCTGGAGAAATGTAATCAATGAAAGCGGTCAAAAAATAAATTGGATTATGAATAAGCCAGAGTTCTAGGATTAACGCATACGTCAAGATTTTTGGGCGTGAGATCCCACTCCAACAAATACTTTGCGCCAGTTCTGCTATCAAATGCAGTCACCTGTCCGAAAACCGAGATGATGATTCAACCACCCCTGGTAAGCACTAGCAGCAAGCTTGAATGGCATATGGCTGGGTAATGCTATCTTAAAGTACTTCATATAAAACATATCCCATCTGCCAGATTGCAGCTTTCTGAAGAAGATGATCAGCTCCGAATAATAATAGGAAGATGTATCAACCGATATATAAAGGCTTTCCAATGACTAATGTAAGCTGAAAAAGCTATTTTTTTCAGGCCTCTCCAAGCAGCAGGACTGAAAAGCTATTAATGGGCCTGTGCAGGGTAATAGAAACAACGAGAGGCCCTGTGAGGATGGTACTTGATGATGTCGTGCTGGACTTACCACAGGGTTATCTGCCTCAAGACCAAATAAAGTCAGGAAGGGTTTTGAAAGGTTGTCTTCCGCAGAGTCTGCATATACAAACATTATCTGCATGGATACAAGAGGTATCAAAGATCTTGTTCCAGGGTTTTTCTTCAAAAGCTGATAGGTGACGAAAGCAGAACCTTTGTTTTATACTTCCTAGCAGCATCCTGGAGAGGCGAGAGAAGATGTTTGAAGTCATCTGCCCCTGCAAAGACAAACACCTGCAAACCATTTTTTTAGTTGATTCCTGCTTGAAAAAATCGAGAATTAATGATTGCCATTTTTTTCTTTTTACACGAACTCAAAAATTTCCTGAGAACACTCAGTTTTACCTAAAAACTAGTAAAAAAATAAAATGAGGAATTGAAGAAAAACAGCAGCAACTGGGATGACCTATTTTTGTGGTTAAGAATGAAAGAGTAGCTTGAAAGACATTGTATATGGATTCAAGTGACCAGGTATCGGTGATGACATTGTACCACAAATAGTCACAAAATCCGTATGCTGTTTTTCTCGGAATGTGCAAAACAGGACAACAGCTGATATTAAAAGTAAGTTTGATAAAGTATTAACTTCAAACGCCAATTTTACAATATGACAGTCGTCTCATGCATCTCAGTAATGGGTACACGGCGAAGTTGAAATAATAGGACTCGCAATCCTTTCAGACCATGGTTCTAAACAACTAGATGACCACATACAGAAAATCTGTGTCTGTCTCGCCCATTTCATAGAATGATGAGGTTAATTACACGAAAAAAACGATGAGGTTATATACTGACCTGAAGATTTATTGGGCTTGAGAAGACTCTGGCAGAATTGAGCTCAGTTAGGGTGGTGACTAATGGAAACTTGTTGAATTCAATGAAGCGCAGTATTTTGTCTGCCTCAAAAACATCTCCTGAAAAGGCAACGAAATGGGTAATTATCAAGATAAGAGTTGAAAATAATTAATAAGACACAAACAGCATAAATTGATTCTTCTTAGACAGAGATGAATTAACAAAATGTTCCCAAGTAAACACATCTACTTCACATTTTCTCCATAAGAAACAAAAGATCATCGGTTGTGAAAAGCATGGATACTTGCTTCCTGTTCCTAGTCAGGTTTGACAAGAGGTGAGCATGCTTTGCACTTCTAGGAGCAAGCAAAGAAATAAAAATTACATACGTACAAAGGACACAGAAGGCCTAAATCATTTGAAGAATGGTACAACTGCGACTAGTTTGTAAAGTGTGCTCTCATTACTATCCTAATGATACATGTAAGGCATTAAACCTGGCAAACATGAAAATCATCACACCAGTACACCAGATGAAAATCATTCATGTGGCGTGTACTTTCAAATTTTATTCTTATTTTAGATAAAAAAATTGATTAACTTTTAAAAGAATTGTCTTTTACATTGAAGCAGAATGGGTTCTGGGGAGGGAAGGTTGGGTTTCGGAACTCACAGGAACTGAACGGTGTGTCCCATTTCAATGGTCAGCAGTGATTAAATTTAGTTAAAAATGGTGGAAACTGAAAAATTCTTCATTTTTAATTTATCCTGAAAAAAAATGAATGGAAAATGCATTCAAATGATTATGGATCACATAGACTAGCCTAGTCGCACTTTGGAGAAGGATATTCTCCGAAGTCAACTTAAAAGTAAACAATAGAAAATCTTAAATCTAGTGCAGAACTCCGTTGAGCAAAGGTTATGGCCTGATACCGGCAACATACCAAACTCCACAAACACCTCAGGTTCACTTTTGATGAGGCCGAGGAAATGCTTTCCATTTTTTATATCCGGAGAAAGAACTTTAGCAACATTTAAGTCATTAACCTCGGCAAATTGAATATTGTTATCTGCAACAGCTGCTTTTACAAATTCCTCATACTCAGGACCCTGAAAAAGTAAGTCATCAATTAATTACTGATAAATGTAAGACAATGGAGCCCAGGGAACAAAGAAGCAAAACGGTGTTATGGGACACTTCCCTAAACTTTAAATCGCAATATGCAGAAAAAAACAACATTACGGGAGCAGAAAATTGTAACATATAAAAATGATGCAATGCAAATATTACTCTGATTGAAAGCCATGCAAGTTTATGAAAATATTTAACAAATTCAAAGTTATTATTGATTGAAGCTGAATGGGTATGCTTTATATCTCTCTGAGTGATTACAAAAATGCATCATGTTGCCTAAATCAGGAGGATGAAACTCCATGGAAGTATATTAATTTATTGAGTCAAAAATCACAGGAAGTATACTAATTTACAGGCAAAGGAAAACAGAAGAATGGACATTATTTTGAAAGAACAGACAGAACTAAGCATATGGCATGAAGATGAATGAACAACAGAAAAGAGATTTCATTTCCTAAGCAATCAGAAAAGAACATTGAGGAGGTATATGGGATGACTAATTAAATTGAACTGGACGGTCATGAGGCTAAGAAGGTAGCCGCAGAGGGTACATCTGAAGACTGTTACTAATGACAGAACATCATTATCAAGAAAAAAGTTGAAAAAAAATTATTGCAGAAAAAAAATCAAACGACACCAACAGTGCCCGAGTGAATGCTGTTGTGTAATTGGTATAAAATCCTTTTGTTTCTTTTTTTTAACAGCCGGTGGCAGGCACTATCGGCTGATAGGCTGCTGATCTGCATCACCTAGTTCTAACACTGGTGCCTATCTACGGAGTACCACAGCTCGTGGGTGGCCTCAAACCCAAACCCCATAAAACCAGGCCCTGCCCAGGCTACAAGAATACACAGAGATGGAAGCTTCTCAACAGAGCCACGACACGGATTGAATAGGGGAACTCGATATGAACTTTGTGCCTATGATATCAACTGAAGAACGCGACTGCCTTATGTGAAAGCTATTGCTACAGAAGCGTAACTTCCTTACCTCAAAATTTTCAAAGCATCCAATGGCAAAGGTTTGATGCGCTCTAAGGAACTCTTCTGCTGCACTTGTTGATTTTAGCCTAATCACGGGTGAACCAGTCTTCTTTTGTGCCCAAATAACTATTTCTTCCCTGGAAAGAATAGTCACGGTATATGAAATCAGCGAAAAGAAAATTTACACTATATATACCTACATATATGTACGTGATTAATTTCCCCTAAAATTCAAAAAATTCAAAAAATTCAAAAAAAAAAAATAGCTATAATTCCACAAGAAAATTCCTGTCACTCTTACGGAAATGCCATCGCATCTAATTGATCAGACCAGCAGATAAATTACCGTATAATTTAAACCATATCATTCAATTTTTTCCCCTCATATCAAAACTAGATGGTAAAATCGTGGATTGCCGGGTACTGAACCAGCTGGTCCCACTTGTTGAGTCTGACAAAGGCTCTGATCCCTAGTTTGAATCCCAGTGGATCTCAAAAATGGATCCCACTAACTGATTTGTTAAGGCCTTGACAGATGCTCTCATGGTGAAATTTCAATTTTTGCCTTGACCACACACTGCATTGTTGAGAGCTAAATCCCTGTACAAAAAATTTGTAAATACGTAGGCCGATCCCAAACTCTGAATCCAAGACAAGGAACAGTCAGCCCAAAGTACTCGTCTACTTCCTCAGATTCCCAAGGATGATGCCAACCGTCTTCTTGACGTAATTTTTGTTGTGTTTCGCCATCTCCCAGATAAAAGTATAACACAGGGAAAACCACCACCAGACGTTGCCCCAAGTAATCGCTTCACTAACTGCTCCAGTTCATCATGTTGAAGAGCTCCATCACCTCACAGACAGCCAACTTATGCCGTTCGTTTTTTTTTTGCTCGAGTTGCCTTCATAATTTAACCATTTGATGACATAAAAATTGAAAACTCATTTTAGGAAAAGATTTTAATGCTGAAAAATAAAAGAAAAACCAGTTTTCCGTCTTCATTCAGGTTTTATGAACAACATATATGGAATAAGTGAAGAATCTGCCAGACCATCAAATGCCAGATAAATTGTTGTCATCACTTAAGTAAATATTCGCCAGCCAAAGCACTAAGCATGATGATAGCAACGAGGGGTAAGAGCTGTACAGCCAAAACACAGCAGAGGGAGGGAGCAAATTGTTGGGATAAGTGCAATTACCCATTTCATTCGTGGTATCAATTCCGGTCAGTAGAAAGAAGGAAGTTACCAAAGATATGCATGAGGCAAATCCACTGGATATTGAGGAACCGATGAGCTCACCCAGCGAATCCTCCTGTGTACGGCTGGGCAGTCCCGTTTTGAAAGAAAAGCAAACTGGGGAAGCCCTTGATGCCAAGGAGAGACGCCGCCTTGACATGACGCTCAGCATCGAGCTTCGCCATTACCAGACGGCCTCCCATCTCCTTGAGCGCCGTCGCGGCCTCTGCGAAGCGGGGCATCAGCTCGGCGCTCCGTGGACACCACGGCGCGTAGCCCAGAACGAGGACGAACTCATTCCCATCGACGACCCGCTTTGCATTGTCATTGCTGAGCTCGAGGACGATCCCCTGGGCCCTTTTCAGGACTTCCGCCTCGGAGGGCTTCCCTGAGATCCCCACCTCACCCGTTCCCTCGTCCTCTTCCTCGATGGCGAGCAACTGCTCGAGTTCATCCAAATCTTCGCTAGCCCCAACAGACGGAGCAATGAGGGAGGAAACCAGGAGGAGAACAACGAGGACGACACTCCTGATCGCCCACCTACGCCTTGACTGGATCATTCTCTCGCACAGCTCCGCCAAATTTCGGCCGTCCAGGTATCAATCGCGAGCGAGAGAGACAGACAGAGAGACAGAGAGAGAAGGGTTGATGGGTTCGGTATCGAACGTTCGATTGAGCTTCAGAGCTCTGAGAATCCGGGGCCTCTTGGATCTGAGGAGGGAGAGGAATGCGAGCTACTGTTGAGAGGCTGCTGCTGGGCAGAGGAACCGTCAACTGGGCGCCGCGCCATGCGGCGCTGACTCCGACAGCCGGCCTCGTCTTCAATCCATGTAAAAATTATCATTAAAATTATTTTTATGGAATAAAACATATACTAATTATTTGTTAATACATAATAAGATCCCTTTAATAGCGAGGTCGTCGGATATTAATGGGCCGAAAATATTTTTGAGCCGAGCCCATTTTTATATTGGACCGAGAATTGAATTGGGAAAGAAAAATAGGTGTGGCTGGACCGGGGCTTCAGGTTCTAGCCTGCGACTTATTTTTTTTAGGGTACGTGGCCTTCTTATGATCGTCCGATGAGGATGAGCTGTCTCTATCAGTGGGGGCCCACTCCCTCCACGTGGCCAATGGACAAACTGTCTGATCTGACTGAAGATTTGGGCCAATCGGCCCATTAATGCCTTAATGTGGTCATCATCCAATATAACTAACACTCTATCCGACCCGCATTTATCGGATCGAGGACGGGTCGGAGGATCCATAGCGATGGATGTCCCGGAGGAGGCCTGGGCCGGTGTTCGGTGAAAGCCAGTGACCGCACGTGGGAAAAGACCACACGTGTGGAGACGGTAGGTAAAATCTGGACTGTCCATCTCGTAAAGAACGGGAGAGATCCATTCTCTCCGTCTGGTGGCGGGATCGGCTGGTTTGTTGGCCCCAATTTGGGGGTCGGTACGAACGAGATCTGCCCGCTCTCTCCATCGTCGTCTTCGTGGCGCGTCCGATCCGGAAACCCTAGTTCCTCGTTTAGGCTTCCAAGGGAGGATCTCAGTTCCCCCATCGGGGGGGTTTTGGAAGTGGTCGGAAGGGGAGTAGATGGTTTTCTACTTCAAGGTCCGGCCCGAGGCCGGGGATTACACCATTTACATGGGTATTGACAAGCACGAGAACGAAGAGCTCATCAAGTACGGGTTCCCGGAGGATATCTGGTAATCCCTCCTCCTCGTGTGCCGCAAGACGTATTTATTTTGTTTCATGAATTTATACTTGGTTATTGAATTCGAGGGAGATTATCAGCGTGGATTGCGATACTTCTCGTACGCTGTCGTATTGCTTTGCCCAAGTAGGTGTTTTACATATGCTCGTACATGTCCTTTATATTCGTTGGCTTTTCTCGTGATATATGTATTTTTCCTGGAATTATTCTGATTATGCTACATCGACGGTGTCGTCCTCAGCGCCATCTCGGGGTGAAGTTCTTATCCATTGAAGTTTTTTTTTTTTCCTTATTCTGCTTTGATTCCTCTTTATTCCTTTATCATATGGTTTATTTTCGTTCTATTTTATGCTTCAATTGCAATCTATTTTAGTCTTTTTCGGACAAGGTAGTTTGTTGTGAATTTAGGAAGCCTACATTTATTCCTCTAGTTTAATTATCTCTTTTCAATAGTGATGATTGGTGCTAGAATCTACTTAGTTTACAGACATGATTATATCTTTTTCTATGGTACTTCACTTCTTATATTTTAGTCCGGATTTTGTTTGATGCTTCGACAATTTATGCCAGTGACACGCTTTCACCTAATGTTACGTCAACATCGTTGGCTTTTTTCTTTAGTATTCAGTACTTTTCTCTTTTCTATTGTTTTCAGGTTTCACGTGGACAAGATGTCCTCAGCCCATGTCTATCTGAGACTAAATAAAGGCCAAACAATTGATGACATAAGTGAAGGATTGTTGGAGGACTGCGCCCAACTTGTCAAAGCCAATTCAATCCAAGGTGATTGCTTGCATTCTACTGTAACTTTCTTTTGTGATTATTAATGCATGATTTAGAAAAAAGAATGACCGGGTTATTTTGCCTCTTGAAGATAAAGTAAATTACTATGTTCCTCAAGAGGAAAACCCCATTGTACAACAAAGAGTTTTCGAATGCTGAGCTTATTTGTGTTTTATATAGGCACTTTGTTCCGAAGAGATTCCATGGAATTTCCTCCAGGTCATCAGGACTGTTAAAAGTTTCTTACGTAGTTCGGGATCCATGCATTAGTCTTCCTTGGATTTCTCGAGTATGCACTTACTCTTGCGTAGGTTTTTTAGCTTAATTGATATTGCAGGTTGACTGTATTCTTCTTATGAATAAGTCAGGAGTGCTTTACAGACAGATAAACGTGACAGATATATACTACTCGTCAAGAAACTTTGATCGAATTTTATATTTCCTTTCATGCCTCACCCGTTTTCCCTCTGGACTATGTCCCCACTAGATGTTTCCGTTTTCTGCATCTGCGTGTCAATTAGAGTTTATTGCACCAATACATGTACTCCTAGACCTGAATACAAAAGGTGACCTTATATTTCTCACTTGCTTATTATATGTTATTGACAGGCAACAAGGTTAACAATGTTGATGTAGTGTACACGCCATGGTACAACTTGAAGAAGACTCCTTCTATGGATGTTGGACAAGTTGGATTTCATAATTCTAAAATGGTATGCTATTTACACATTTTGGCGACTCTACAATTTTAAGATGGTATGTTGGAATTCAAAGAACGTGTGAGGGAGATCTTATTAATCTATCCTTGGGAACTGATTTATTCTGTGTTCATTGCTTCTATTCACAGTTTTTTGTTGAAACAATCAACTACAACGTTTTATAAATTGAGTCTAGTTGAAAGAATTTCGAGGGTCTTCCCTTAGTTATTGTTCAAAAGAAGACCGTAGTTATCTACACATAGCATCCACGTTGTTAACCTTTGTGGACCTTACAATGAAGGTGCACATATTTTCCAGATGAGTATGAGCCAAGTTCAACTGTGCGTATGTTGCTTGTGGATCTCCTTTGAACGTGCATGTTCAAATATGAATCAGTAGAATTTTAATGTTCGTCTGATCTGCCTTTAGTTTGTTAACCTTTTTACCATTCTCCTGCTATGGAATTATCTCTTGGAGACCATTGTGGATTATCAACTTTAAAAGCATAATATAATTTTTTGAATGAGATGGATTTTATTCTGACTTGAACACAAGTTTTCGTTTACATGCCTGTGACTTCTAGAAAGACGGTACTATGTTGGCTCCATAACTGTATTTATGAGCACATACTGTGCGTATTAGTCTTCTTCTGTATGATTTCGATTGGAGAATGAGACTAACCAATTCAATGGACTAGAGAAAGAGCTTAGTTTCATTTTATGTTTTTCATCGTTACGTGAGTTTATGTATCCGAGTTCTCCTTGCATATGTTTCTCAACTCTTCACAGTTGTGGTATAATCTTCCCATTCCTGAAAATGATAAATGTCTTGTTTTCAGCTCGTAAGGGCCTAGAATCTAAATACAGTCAGAGTTGATTTGGCTGAAGGTGAGCTGATGCCATGAACTGAGATTGTGATGCTGCAGCTACCTCATTTCCATGATGAGGTGCTGATTGGCATTTACAGTTATTAGCGTTGGGGATGAACAGAAGCTATTGTAGGCGGCCATGTGCTAGATGAGTTCTTCCTTTGCGCCAATCAGCTGGACTCAACAGGCATATCTCGTTCCAACAATAAAGACGAGGTTTTCTTTCTCTTTTAGTATGGTAATATGATAATGATTTTGTTAAAAGTCAAATGAAGTTATAAAAGTTGTTTATCTTTTAGGCGTTTTTAAAACGGTGGTAAAATATGATTTAATTCGTTAGTTGGAAAAGGTACAGGTGTCGTTGGCTAACATTTACACACAATTTTCTTATCCATCAGAGAGGTGAAATGTGCAGTCTATATGGGCATGACTTATATGTCGTTTGGAACGGTTACATGCTTGAGTGGAATGCCGAACGCATCAGAAATAGGATGCATGTTTCTCCTATGTAACAAGGCCTGAGGTTAATGCATTTGGTGCTCATATACAAGTTCTCTTACGATGAGAAACCTTATTAGAAATAGGTCATCTTTCCTAGTTGGGTTGACAATTGCTCAAGATACCTAGCAAAGGTAGCATAAGTTGCCCTATTTGATCTGTTATGAATCCTGATGCGGTGATGCTGTTTAACCAATTTCATCTAAGGTTCCTTTTGTTGGCTGATACGTGACCATGATTTCATGGCCTGCATACCAAATGGCGGTTTTGCACGAATGAATGAAAAAAGAAAAAGGTTGTATTCTCCATAGATGACGTTAGATACAAGTGCTATGATAATGGATGCATAACATTTACTATATATGAAGCGAGATCCTTTTTCAAAGAAATCAGTTGTTTAATGGAGGAAAGATCCTGCACCATATGAATGTTTAGATGACTGATTCATTTTCTACCAAATTTGTAATATTTTTACAGTGGTCTTTTGGTCTCGCATTCTTTGCGATGCATGCGCTAAGAAAAAGGAAGAAAATATGGGAGGACTGCACAATGAACGTGGAAAGTTTTGTTAAATTTTTTTCTTGAAAAGACCTGAGTAATCTGGCTTGCTACCACTGAAAAGAAAAGGGTCTAGCAGGTTTTCGTCGATATAGAATGGTGTGACTTCTCTGTCATCGATCTTTCACTTTGATTGATTAATGCGGAACAGTACAAATAAACAAGTTCCCCAAAGAATATGTTGGACTTGGACCCATCTGCTCACTTGGCAACCTAGTTAGCAGATCAAACCATCTCTCAACCGATGTTTGAAACTATCAAGCTTGTATGCTTGGAATAGAGTAATTTTTTGTAATATTAATTTTGAGAGACCTCTCAAAGGGCATCGGGACAGCTGTTCCATCAAGCTCTAATCGTGCCTTTGCTCTAGGTCTAACTGTTTATGGACAACTCGTAGATCAATTTTTGTCATAGGCTAAAGATGCGAATTATTTATGATATTTGCATGCAGTTTCAGCATCAGAATAATATGAACAGGGTTCATAAGAGATTCATACCTGCAGACATGTTTCCTGTACCATTATGTTAATTTCTCTCATTTGCCCTGTCCGAATGCTGGAAATTGGTTATGCAGCATGTTAGTTGACCTGGAAATTAGTACAGATGTTTTAATATTTTGCAAATCATATTTAACAGGTATATTAGCCATACATTTTCAAGGATATCTGTCGGTCATCCTGTGTTGTACTGATGATTCGTGTGCTGCCTTTTAACTAAAATCGTGTTCTCATTAATCATGATTCTGCTTTCAGCTTTCGGTGAAATCTTGTGGATTTCTAATATGAATCATGTTGATGTTTTACCTTCGGACATCTAAGTAGCCATTGTGCTCCTCTTTAGGTGCGCACAGTGAGGGTAGAAAAGCGAATAAATGAAGTAGTCAACAGGCTGAATAAGACGAAAGCTGAGAGGAAGCCTGACTTGAAAGGTAAGTCAACAATGGTCCAGTCAACTTTGTGATTTTTAATTTTTATTTTTATTTTTTAAAGTGATCAGCAACGCAGTATCATTGACAAAAGGAAATATGCACAGGCATACAAACCATGAACTCTCATAGAGGCTTGCCGTACATCATCATCAGTCCAGCGTGGCATGGAACCGAAACTTAGAATCTAACAACCTCAAAAGAACAGATTCATCTCTTTCAACCTACCGACCTCAACCAATCCTTCATTGAGATAGAGAGAGAGAGAGAGAGAGAGAGAGAGAGAACACATGTTTCTCTCCGTCAAGATTGTCTGGTTAGTTTCATGCAAAATGAGCCGCTGAATAGTTAGATCCAGATGGTCAGTTCCACCATAGCCAAATATTGTTAATGTGACAAACTGCTAGCGAACTCCTGATAGAACGAGCAACCATTGGGGTGATTTTGCAAAGATATCTGCCCCAATCTCTCTATACTGTCAGCTGCTGGATCTTAGTTCGTCACACTGAATTTTCTTATCAACGTTGACTTTTATAGTGCTGCCATATGATTATAACGGCAATTTGAATAAGTCATGAGGGTAGGTGGGGTGGGAATTCAGGCGGCAGGATGATCTCTTTGTCCTGAAGGTCAAGTCCAAGTTGACTTTTATCAACGTTGACTTGTAAAGACCGTCGTGGTCTGTCTTTTATCATGCGACTTGTATGCCTCACGTTGATCGAAGTGTTTGTTACCTTGCAGCTGAGCGAGAAGCGGTTAATGCTGCAGAAAGAGCAGAGAGAAAGCTTCAATTGAGAGATAAGGTAGGAGGCCCTGTTAAATGGCTATCATTCTTCACGCTTTATTTATAGAAACTCTAGCTAAATATGGCATCGTTTCTCAAATATATATGTTCACGAACCTTGTATCAGTCTTAATATATATATATATATATATTGGAGATGAAAATGAATTAAATCAATAAAAATCGTATCACAAGAACCATACAGAACCATAAAAATCAAGGATTATTCTTTGATCTCCACGAGCCATTCTTGTCCATTGATGTTGCAATAAAGAGGGAAAACCTTGTTGGGAAATTCATCCATATCTCTGCGCAGAAACGGCGAGAGGAGATGGAAAGGCTGGAGAAGGAGAAGCAGGCGGAGATCCGAAGCTACAAGGGCCTCATGGTCTCGGAGAAGATGACCTCCAACAAGCAGATCGCTTCCGCCAACAAGTCCCTGCAGGAACTGGAGGAAGATTTCATGTGAACCATATGCTCGAACCCCCATGAACCCCCTCTGCCGTATGATCTTCTCCAATCTTCTTGGGCCATGGATTTGAGAGCAAGCTTTACCTGTTTATCTGGTTTCCATATATTCCATGGGGCATTGAAGAATGACAAGACGAAATTACTTTGGATTCGGATCATATATCTATATATATATATCTGCATGTAACTTTGATGAATAATCTTGCTTTATACAGAAAATTACCCAAAAATGTTACATTCTCTCTCTCTCTCTCTCTCTCTCTCTCTCTCTCTCTCTCTCTCTCTCTCTCTCTCTCTCTTCCCTGATCAATGTCGAGCAGTGGGGCTCCTTAGGCCGAGGAGGCTCTCGGTGTAGGAGAAACTCTTGAGGGCCTGGGGGGTGACGATCTTGGCGGCGGCCGCGTTGACCCCGTCAGCATCCTCCGTCTTCTTCTTCCTGTCGCCGTCGTGGCCCAAGTCCAGGCCCATGAAATCAGAGAGCGTCATGGATGACGGAGCCTCCTTGGCGTTGACCCTCTCCGCCTCCTCCTCGACAGTGGGAAACTTCACCGCCTCCCCCCCGCCCTCCGCCGGCGGAGCAGCTCCGGCGAGGGAGTCGGCGTAGAGCACGTCCTCGATCCTCGACATGACCATGAAGGCGAGGCTCTCCAGGATCCTGGAGTAGCTCTCGAGCACCGACTGGCCCACGTCCCTGTTGAACTGGATCTTGCTCACGTCCAGGAGCGACTGAGGGATTCCCGGGAAGCGCTGCTTGAGGAGGAGGAGGAGGGTCTCGGCTCTCTCCTCGAAGAGCTCCCTCTTCTCCATGCTCACGGCGATGCTCCACGAGGAGGGCTTCCCCTCCTTGCTGTTCATCTTCCTCTTCCAGATGATCACCGAGGCTTCGATCCTGTTCTTGAGATCGAGCACCCTGTGATCCGTCGACAGATCCTGCGTCGAGAGGAGCTGCTCTGGGTCGAAGGCGTCGTCGGTGATGGCCCGGTAGATAGCGTCGCCCAGGCTCGCCCTGCCGTTCTGCGGGAGATGGAGGTGAGTGGAGGTCAGTCGGCGGCGCCTCCGGCGATGGCGGCGGAGGAGGGAGGAGGGTCGGGGTTGCCTTGGGGAGGGAGTCGATGTAGGCGTCGGGGATGGCCATCTCGGAGAGGACCTGGGAGTTGATGGCCATGGCGGCTTTTAGGATCTGGTGGACGGAGTCTTTCTGGAAGTGGAGCCACCGGCGGGAGATGTCGGAGAGGCCGGAGGGGGGGACCTTCGCCGCCGGCAGCCACCATTTGTCGTCGTTCCGCTTTGGGGGGCCGACGCCGCCGCCGCCGGGTTGGGCATCGGGATCGTCCTTGGAGGCGTAGTAGAACTCGTTCTGGTCCTTGAAGTTGTCGAGGAGGTCCTGTTGCAGAAGGAAGAGAAGGGAGGGGTCTCTGGTTTAGGGTTACGGTTTTTGGGAGGGGGGGACGATAGGAAGGGAGATGGAGGTCTTACGACGAGCATGGCGTCAAGCTTCCGCAGCGCCAGGATGTTCATGTGGAGATCGGTCCTCTGCCGGGTCACCATGATCTGCATGCATCAAGACGACGACCATCTCAGAGAGAGAGAGAGAGAGAGAGATTTACGGAAGAAGAAGACGACGACGAAGACGAGGAAGAAGAAGCAGAAGGCGACGACGATGACGACGACGAAGAAGAATAAGAAGCAGAAGACGACGACGACGACGAGGAGGAAGAAGAAGAAGAAGAAGAAGAAGAAGAAGAAGATCATTCATTGAGAGAGAGAAGGAGGACCTCCATGATGGTTCCATCGCTAGATTTCTGCTGGGAAGGGACGAACTCTACAATGTGATCCGTGACGGAGAGGAGCCACTCGATCTCCTTCCGCCAGCGGGCTTTCCGCTCCCGGGACATGGGCTCCAGCCGCCACTGCTCCCCGAAGACGGAAGCTGAAGAAGAAACAGACAGATCATGCCGCTTCGCAGGATCAGGTCAGCTCAAGAACAACAAAGAACGAAGCTTTTCTCGGACTACTTTCATGGTGGGAAGGGGTAGACTTTTCCTCCAAGTAGAACACAGGTTGACTGATGGACCTGCGAGATTAGTGATGGCGTTGGACAGAGCTAGTGCAGACGAGACCCCTTTGCCCCCGCCGGACATGTCCTCGCCCAGGAGCAGCTTGGAGAACCTCTCCTTCATCATCTCCACATCTGAGAGAACCCAGCGAGAAGATTTCGCCGACGACATAAGTCAACATTCATAGATCACAATAAGTCAATGATTTTGACCAGCGTTTTATTCCATATATATATATATGAGTGATTATGGGATTAGAACCCAGCAGGGAGATTTGAGCGCTGACGGAATTCACCATAGATTGACCAGCAATGTATGAGTGATTATAGGATTAGAACCCAGCAGGAAGATTTCACCGACGACATAAGTCAACATACATAGATCATAAGAAGTCAATGATTTTGACCAGCAATGTATCTATATACATATATATGAGTGATCATAGGATTAGAACCCAATGGGTCGATTTGAGCGACGATGGAATTCAACGTAGATATCGCAAGAAGTCAATGATTTTGAACAGCAATGTATTCGAAATATATTTATGAGCCATTATAGGATTGGTTAGTCTTTTCAAAGTACGTAATAGTATACCAGAGGGTCGACGGTCCCTGGAAGGGGCGGCGCCGTCGCCACCCCTGCCCAGCCGAGACCTGGGCTCCGCCCTGTCGAAGGCGGAGCCGACGAACTGCCCGTCGAGAGGGCGGCTGGTTGGCGGGCGTGACCCCTCGCTCCGGAAGAGGATCTTCGTCTCCGGCTCCGGCGAGGTGGCGCCACCGCTGCCGCCATCGACGATCAGGCTGTGCGCATGGTGGGCGGCGCCGTCGAACATGCCTCGGTCGTGGAGGAGTCTGTCGAGGCTGTGTCCGCGCTTCAGGAACCGGACCATCAGAGAACTCAGCGCACGGCGGCGGTGCGGCGGCGCCCGCTCATACTCCGGCGGCGGCGGCGGTGTCAGCTGCTTTCAGGGATCCACCGGAGGAGCCGTATTGCAGGAGGCCCAACTCTCTCTCTCTCTCTCTCTCTACAGGAGGAGTGGGGCGCGCCCGATTTGGGGGGGCGGCCGGTGGCGCGGCTGGCTCCGGTTTCCATTCGACGGCGGAGGGTGGCGGAGCGGCACCGGCCCGTGCCATAGAACGTAAGAGGCTATTCTTAGGATGGATCTTTACGAGGTTGACCGAAGACACGTCAAACCAACTCAGTCGAGTCAAACTACAGTCGAACGGTGAAAGCGGCAAAAAGATGCCGGCTGTGGGCCCAAACCGTCTGATTTGACCCTCAACTCCGGCGGATTCCCCCCCGGAGAAGGGGGGGGGATTATGTTATATAGGGAGTGATTTTATTGCAGAAGAAGAAGAAGGGTTGACCTCCAGATTTCTCTTCTCGTAGTCAACGTCTGCCCGCCGCCGTTCAAACGGCGCCGGTGACAGCGGCGTGGATGGCGTCAGCGAGGTGAGGCACCGTGCGAGAGCTGAGGCCCGCCATGCTGATCCTCCTGTGGAGAAGGGAAGCAGAAAGAAACAGATGAGCACGGCGCCGCGGTGAATTGGTCAACTGGGGAGGAATAATTCTATCTTTGGAACAGAATTCAACCCCAAGAACGGCGGGGGGTGCGGAAGGTATTGATTGAGGGGTTTGACTCCCGTAAAAAAGTCAACAGGAAGAAGGAAGATGGAACTTACCCGTCTGAGGTCATGTAGATGTGGTACTCCTTCGTCATGAAGGCCACCTGATCTGTGTTGAGCCCAGTGAATGTGAACATCCCAATCTGCTTTATTATGTGGCTCCAGTCACCCGGGGTCCCTGCACGAAAAGGAGCAAGATGATCTATAGGACCTTGAAATAGTAATGGCGCATGCCCATCGTCTACACTGCTCTCTCTCTCTCTCTCTCTCTCTCTCTCTCTCTCTCAAGTTTGTCAGGAGGTGTTTGTCTAGGTGTCCGGGTTGAAGGTCTCAGTTTTTCCACTGGAAAAGTCAAAAGAGGAGGAAGATTGATCAGCAGCGACACAGACGACTGGACCTTGAAATAGTAATGGCGCATGCCCATCATCTACTCTCTCTCTAAATTTTCTCAGGAGTTGTTTGTTCAGGTGGTGTCAGAGGGGTTGAATGAAGGTCAAAAAGATGAACAGGTGGATCAATGTGTTCCAAAGGATCAATGAATGCAAGATTGTGTATATAAAATGAGAACATCAACGAATGAATGAAAGATGTGGAGGGCAAAATTGTCCACACACCTCTGGCCAGCAGAGCTTCATGCAACTGGGTACGCATGCTGATGATACGGTCAGCCATGGCCTTAAGCTCGATCGTCCATCCACCGTACATTTCTCTGCAATCCAAGTGCAAAGGAATCATCCACCATAAAACGAACCCAACCCATTAAAGTACACAGCTCTCAGCATTATCAGAAGCTTCCACCGATCGAGCTGACAGGATCATTGACCAGGGCAAAAAGGGTGTAAAATCGAAAATAAATACACATGGATTGTTCTTGTTATGATTTTTTTCGCATACCCCCCCTGCATTTGAAGGAATTATTCACGCGGAGGCCGATATTAATTTTCCTATATTACCTGTCCCTGAGGATGGTGGCGACAATGGATGCACCGTGGATAGGAGGATTAGAGTACATCGGCCTGATGACAAGTTTCAACTGGCTCTCAACCCTCACTGCCACATCCCTCGTCTTGCACACCTGGAAGGTGAAGAGAGAACGACGTTCATCAGGCTAAGAGTCATCTAATTTCTGTCAGGATATTATTCTTATTAAAAATATAAAGCCGAAAAATGCATCATTTAATATGGATTTTCTTTTATATATTAGCCTAGCTTCTGCGAGCCCGCCCCGGTCACAGGAACAGGATCTCATGAGCGACGATTAGATGGCTTTTCGTTACAACTTTAATCGATGATGTGGACGTCTGTCGCCCCATTTTGGAAATGATGGAATCACAATATCAGATAATCAAAGAAATCAGATCAAGATTTTCAGTATGGAAGGAACTCGGATAGTTCTATGAGTCTTACTATGCTCAGAGCACCAACACGTTCCCCATAAAGGCCCATATTCTTGGCATAGCTTTGTGCTGCAAGCAATTCACCTCCGTCTGCAACGAATAGGCGAACAGGCTGCGCATCGGCGTCTAGACTCCCGCTAGCAAAGCCCTAATTGGAAAATTAAAAAAAAAGGAACTGATAGTTTATATAGCTTATAGGAATCCAAGTGTGTGTAGATATATATATAGATATCATGAAAGCACAGTACAGGAACAAGTCCGAGAGTGGATGCAGAGATATTTTGTCTGAGTGTATGCACGTATGCATCCATTTACCACGCTCTGTGAGTTTATAAAAGATAAAAATACGGGAATAGATAGATAGATTGCAGTAGGGACCTGGTAGGCACTGTCGAAGAAAGGTAGCAACCCTTTTGATCTCATTAACTGCCTGATATGCTCCCACTGATCAAGAGTTGGATCAACTCCGGTAGGATTATGAGCACACGCATGGAGAAGCACTATTGCACCCGAAGGGGCAGCACTGAGGTCTTCCAGGAGACCTGTAACATGCCGATTCCAATTAAGAACGAGGAAAATACCACGAAAATTTGATAGCTTCTGAATACTATTCATTCAAACTCCATAAACAATTAAAATAACACACGAAAAAGCACTTGGAAAAGTTAAGGATAAAATAACAGAAAAAAAAAGAAAGAAAATTGGAAATGAAATTTTATGTTGTAGGCATGGAAAAGGACCTTGGAAGTTTAATCCACGTGTGGCTGGATCATAGTAACGATATGTCTTCACTGTCAATCCTGCTATTGTAAAAACTTTTGGATGGTTTCCCCATGTCGGCAGTGGAATGTAGATAGTATGCTGGAAACAAGATTTCCTTACAAGACTAGTCCAAACATTTTCTTTTTTCTGTAACGAACGTAGGTAGGAAAGATGAGATGCTTACTTCGTGGTAATGCTTTGCCAGAAACTCAGCTCCAACCCTCAATGAACCTGTACCTGATAAGCACTGAACAGTAGTCACCCTGTTTTCTTGAATAGCAGGGCTGCATCAGAACAAGCAGAGTCATTGAGTTAGTTAAAAATGAAATCTTCCGCACAACCCACCAATTTAAGAATATATTAAATGTACTGTCAAAAACAAGAAAACATACACTAAGATATATGTTTCATACACATTACGGCCCTACCTCTGTCATTGATGCGTAGATAAATGCAAGCTTGTCAAACGTGTCAATGGCTCTGATCATTACTTTGAGACCAGTTTTGTGAATCAATTGTTGAACTATGAAAAGTAAATAAATGATAGCCAAGTAAAATCAATTTTCCCTGATCATAAACAATGTCTTACAAGCAAAAAAAAGCAGGTCCATTCTAAATAACTTCCCAAGCTGTCATCGTTATACACACTGTGGCCGTCTAGTTAGAGAAAACAGGTTCATTTTAAATAAACTTCGCGGATGTCATAGTCATTCCCACAGGTTGACAACAGTTTGCACTTGATCAAAGATAAAGTTAAAATGTGGCATTCAATCATCATTTGATTAGATGATTAAAAAATTTCAGTAAAGCCATTGTACAGTCGCACCCACCGGCTTGGGGGAAGGGGGTCTGGGAGGAATAATTACATTTAGAAATCTCAATAACAGTGATATACATAGCCCTATAACCACGGCAGATGTCCATGAAATACCGTACCTGTCTTGACCAAAAATTAGCTTTGCACTTAATTTATTGAATTCTGCAAGCCCTGTGATAGGAAGATATTCTTTAATGCGATTCCTGCAGGAAGAACATTATGACAGTTCAGCATCACACCTCTCAACCCAAAAACTATAAGGTAAAGCCCTTTCTGTTGCAGAGGGAACTTCTTCTACCATCTTTCTCAAAGAATTTCCGTTAACTAATAAGATGCCTACATGTTTCAAGATGTTCAAATGAAGAACTTACGGATCGTTCAACAATAGCTGCTCAGCTCTTCTCACTACATTCAAAACAAGGGGTTTCCCTTCCTGTAAAAGCATAAATACACCACACATGGCAAGAATTAGCTCAAAAAATGAAATAAAAATAGTTACACGTCATAAATAAAATTCACCAGATATGACACAGACTCATAGGTCGAAACAACATGTAAAATGTTTATCTTTTAAGGACTGACGTGTGACAATAGCCGGCAGGAAAAGATCATATTGACGTGAACGTCTCACCTCCGTGCGGTAGGCACCAACTCCTAGGTTAACCTTGACAGGACTGGGATCCTTGTTATAGGCGACGGTCACCTTTCAACAGCAAAAAAAAATTGAAGAAATTTATAAGAGAGTTTACAAACAGTAGTGAAGAATTTTTATACCAACGACAGTACATAAACAGACGTAGCAAAGGTGCGTGCCCAGGTCGTACATATCACACGATACGCAAAGATATCAGCAGATTCAGAGGGGAGAACAAACCCGTTCGTTCGCCCGCTTCCAAACGTAATTATGAAAAACGACGATCAAAAGAGGAGAAAAAGATTTCGGGAACGTACTAACAAATATGCGGAAAATTAAGATCGGTTGGGCATAAAAACGTGAAAATAAAAAATATAGAAAATGAACAAAATAAAACAGATATAGCGGAACCAAATAAAAGCCAGAGGAACTATCCACCCACAGGACAACATTGAAAACGAAAAACATCTCTCAACCACAGATCAAAAAAGAAAAAAACAAAGGCAGGCTGACAGCCAGAAAAGGACAATAAATCAGACATCCTCAAATTATTGGAAAAATAAACCGCAAGCCTTCAGAGGCCACGAGATCGGAGATCGACGTACACAAAAAGCAAAACACCATCAAAAGAGACAATTACCCCAAGGATCGGATCCTCGGGAGCCTGCGCAACGTGACCAAAGACGGAACCGCCTGTAATACCCCCCGACGTCGGAGACGGCGAGATCGTCCGATCGTCAGCACCTTGGGACGCCATGGGAGTGATCGGATCGGAGGAGCTGTTGGTCGTCGTACAGTCGTAGTAGTGGTCTCCCACAAGGTGCTTCCCCAGAGTACTTAATCTCCGTGCTACCGACCCGTCGTTGAGGCGCATCTTAGAATCTGCCCTCTGCTTTTCACTAACTTACACTCTCCTCCCCTGTTTTTACTCCCCGATCAGAGCCGCCGCCTTCGACCGCCCGCAGTTTTTATAGCTCATATATGAGCGGGAAAGTGATGTGCTGACCGTTGGAACTTTGACGTGTCAAAATGGACAGCTGTCAGTAAGAACGAGGATCGAGGCAATCTGAACGGCGCATACTTTTCTCCGCGGCGGCGGCGTTGACAGGACATCGATATTTTCAATGGTGTCTTGTCCATTTCGAGGCGCACTGCAGAGATGCGCGTCGCTGGGGGACTGACGCGAAATCCTTCTAGAATATTTTTTTGCCCTCCTGACTGATTTTGAATAAACGCGAAGAATATAATAAATTTTTTTATTAAAAATGAATATTTATAATCAGCCAAAAACAGAAAGCGACCTCCCCGAGGCGCCCACGTTTCTCCGCGGCGGCTGCGGTTTAAGTCACAATATTGTAATGCTCTGTCCGTTTCGAGGCGCACCGCAGAGGTGCGCGTCGACACGAAATTCCTTCTAGAAAAAATTCGCCTCGTGATTTCGAAGGAAAAGAAATGCGAATCGAATAATTTAAATTATATTTATTATTAAAAAATAACTGATAAACATAATTGCGGTTGTATAAATCATTTATATAAAAAAATATAATTACCCTAAAACAAAAAAAAATGATCCCCCACAGGCACCCACGTTTCTCCGCGGCGGCTGCGGTTCAAGCAGTATAATGTCACAATGGTGGATTGTCCGTTTCGATGCGCACCGCAGGGGTGCGCGTCGGTGCGAGAGAGTCGACACGAAATTCCTTCTAGGAAAAGTTTGCTGGTATAAAATAAACGCGAGGAATCTAAATAATAATTATTATTGCAAAAAAAAAGCTGCTGATTGCAAATTGCTGATATACCTATCATTTAAAAATAATTTAAAAGCACTCAAAAATATACTTGGAGAACATGGATAAATATTTACCGAGGGTCCGTGCGATGTCCAGTCAGATTCCATATGGGACAAATTGCCGAGTGAAATTAAATAAAATAAAAATAAAAACGTACACCTATTCTAGTTTCAGCTCTTCACACTGACCCACTATTCATCCAATCATAACAAATCGGCTCGGTTTTTTTGCCATAATTTTCCTATTTTTAGAGTCCGCTGACTTTTATAATGTTCTTTCACGCACAAGATTAGCCAAAAATGTTAAATTACACTCCTAGTTATACTCTCTCTCTCTCTCTCTCTCTCTCTCTCTCTCTCTTCGGTGAACGGAGATCACAAGATTTGGAAGAAACAAGGCAGATCAAACGAGTTTGAAGTCCCCGCAAGCGATTCCCTTCCACGGTAAAAAAAGAAAAAAAAGGACCTACGGGCATATTGGTAGTCAACGGCTCACCATCAAGGCGGCGGTGGCGGCGGCGGCGCCACTGATCATTCCTGCCAGGCCCGGTAGCGATCTCCCCTGCCTCGACCCATGTACGAACTCCGACCAAAGCCCTTGGGCGGCGGCGACCTGCTCCTCTCCCGGAGCTCCTCCCAGCGGCTGCCGCCGCGGGGGGATGGCGGCGGCCGCTGGTCGTACCCTCTCTCGCGGGTCAACTTAGGCGGCGGCGGCGCCCTGTCGATCCGGTCTCTTCCTCTGAAGCTCCCCGCCGCCTCCTCGTAGTAGTCCGGCTTCCCCAACTGCGGGTTGGGGCCTCGGAAAGGTGACCCTCTGGGCCCGTCCCTCCCCCAGCCGCGCGGGGGGGACTCGAAGCTGCCGGCGTCCCTCCGTGGCGGTGGCGGGCCGCCGGAGATCCTTGCCGGCGGCATCCCTGAGTGGCTTCCTCCGCCGCCGCCATCGGCGAAATCGTAACGAAACTTGTTGCACTTGTTGCAGTACTCCCGGCGAGCAAAGTTCAGGTTCCCGCATCTGAAACAAGGGAAAACAGGGCATCACAGAGACTTCGAACATGGAAACCAAGGAAGAAGGAAGGAGGAGAAGGGAACTTACAGAGGGTTCTTGCAGATCCAGTCCCCCGCCCTGGGAGCCAAGTTTGGATCGTTCCTGGTGGCGCCGCCTTCAGGCCCACGGTCGTCCAGGCCTCTGCCATAGGGCCTTCCGTCCCTTTGGCGGCCGAAAGGTGGTGAGATGTCGCGGTGGAACCCGCCGCGACCTCTGCCGCCGCGCCCATACGGCGGAGGGGAGAGGTCACGAGATCTGCTGCCGTCCCTTCCGCGGCCGTACGTCGGGGGGGACGCACCGCTCCGGAAGCTCCGCCCGCCCCTCCCGCGTCCATAGCCTGGCGACACGTCTCGGAACCTGCTGCCACCGCCACTGCCACTGCCACCCCTGTCGTCCCAGAATTCGCGGCCATTGTGCTCTGCCCGTGGCTGATCAAAGTCATAATCGTACGGTCGATGCTCTGGCCGCCGGCGGGGTGGAGAGCCACGGTCAAACTCGGGGCCATCGTACGGGTGCCGATCAAAGCTCCGCCGCCGCAGGGGGGATCCGCCGCCACGAGGCCGCTCCACATGGTCGTAGTCCTGATCGTACCGCCGGTGATCTGGTAACCTCCTGAGGGGAGGGGAGAGGCGGCCGTGCTGCCCTCCCCGCTGTGGATGGAATTCAAGGTCATAGTGGCGGCCCTCCGGCCGCCTCGAGTATGGGGATCGGCGACGGTGATGCGGCGACTGGTCGGCCTCTCGCCCATAGTGGTGGTTGTGGTACTTTGACTTATGCTGGGTTGACAACAGAGAACCTGCACGAGTGCCATACCCTGAAAATAAGAAGAGTAAGCACGGCATGGGAGCAATGAGAGCCATTCAAGGAGCAACAACTGAAGGAACCCACATCCAGAGCTCATTCACAAGCCTACGACCAAGGGGACTTCCGAGAAGAAGCTGCCTGCAACTCCACCGGGCACGGCCATCCGGGCATCTAGATGGTGATGGACCGCAACATGCAACAGGAAGCCTAATGGGGTCGTCGTTTTCAAGTGCGACTAATCCATACCGTTGTTAAAAGGAGCAAGATATCTCACAATTCTCCAGTTGTTAATCCATCTAATCCATGCACCGCAGCTAAAAACCCTATGCATCCAGGAAAGAATAGTATCTGAAGCAGTTCATTACCTACGTCTGTGGGTTGATTTGTCAGGCTTCCTTGTCGCTAAAAGCTTGTCCCCACATATAGATAAATCTTCACTAGATCACTGCCATGAGGACCGACTGCAACTTCCGTAGGGTTTGGCACAATTCCGCTTGATGCCACAGTCGACTTTGTTACCCAAGATGGCTGTTTAGGGAAACATCTTTGGAAACGTTCTTGTTGGGATCTTGGGATCACCTCCATGGGATGGATCTGAAACAAACCACGTACCAGGGCCATTGAATATTGTAGGTTCCGCTGATTAGTGCCAAGTCAGTGGTTGCTGGCCCATTATCTACCAAGATTTTTTTTGTTAATTTCAGACCACAATGTGCTCTCTCCTGTAGTCCAACGATCTAAGATGACTAAAACAGTTTTCAAACACAAAAATGGAAATGCCATCAATCAGTACGTAACCCAACTGGAGATGTGACTCATGACCTTGAGAGAAAAAATAGAAAAGCAAATTGACAGCAGTATCCATAACAGCAGTTCAAGGAGCATCCATTTGATACCCACCCGTTAAAGAAGAGGAATCAGCTGTGCATTTGAAAGTGGCAAGACATTGTCCATCAAGGATATATTACCTTGTTGGCACCTCGTCAAACTTTTTTGCATTATCTTCGCCTTAAGAACCTAGTATAACAATTCTGTGGAAGTTTGGCACGTGTCACGTTCAGATACTTGTCCATCAGTCCCGTGTAGCTTAACAACCGAGGGCTTCAATACAAGCCTCCTATCCTTAGATCTCCATCTGAACCATGGCATTGCACACAAGAATCCCATCTATCCATATTCACATTACTTGTTAATTTGTTCCATGTAGCAGTTGTGAACTCGAAGGGCAGAAAGACCATGAGAAAGTGGCGATGCCTCATCCAACATGAATAAAATCTGGCATGAGATGGAGCTTTCACTGAAAACCTTATGGTGAAGCAATTGCAGAATTGCATCACACCTCAACAACCCTGAAAGTCGGAAGTAACGCGAAATGAAACGATTAGTTGTCACACTCCAACAACATCAAAAGTCGAACTCTTCTTTCTATACTTGAAGGCCAACCTCCATGGGAAAGAAACACCAGAAAGGATCCCTCTGCTTTTCTTGATTTTTCCATCGCCCTGACAAATCTTGGGTACTCCCACTCCTCATGGACCCCAAATTCCTCTGGGTTTTAGCATTAATCCAAACAGAAACCCAAATACAGACTTTTCTCCCTAAACTTCAAGGCCAAGCTTTCTAGAGAAAAAAACCAGAAGAATGTCTCTTGCATTCATTAATCATCTATCTCCTTGCATAAACATGGAGTTTCTCAGTTACCATACACCCAAAATTCCCCTGTGAGTAACATTCATTCAAATTGAATGCCTGCTATCCATGGTTGACCAGTCAAACCCAAATCTCTCCCACATCCAATATTGGCGCCAAATCTCTGTTTACCACATACTTCCCCAAGTGTGAAATGCCCGCAATGGTAGTGACAAAAAATTCTTAACCAATATTCTCGGGTCCAAACCAGACATCTGAAAGATGTAACAAGACAAAGGTTCATGCTCAAATTGTGATTAAAGTGGCCAGACATCTGACTTTATATGGAGCATAACTCAAAATTAGGCCACAATGATCAGTTCGCACAAGGTTGTAATTTATAATAAACTAATGCCGACAGAATTGAAAGGAATACTCCAAATCATAGAGACTGCTACATAAATAGTAACGCCTAGATCCATTTGAAATATTGGTATATGGGGAAAACACGGCACTGTATTAGTAGATACCAGATTAATGATAACCAGTTGCATCATGGGTAAAACTGGAACAGTATGTCAATCAGTCATGCACTATTGTCTCCCTATGATTAGCTAACTGAAGTGCCACCAAGGCAAAGGTGATCTGTAGAACCGATCAGGACCCAAAAAAGATGTTATTGACATGAGTAATTACAAAACAGGAAAAAAATATCGTGATAGTTAGAAAGGAATAAAATACAAAGTAAATATATGTTTGCGAAAGAGACGCAAACGAAGTTTTGAAGGATATGAATATCTAAATAGCATATCACTGTCCAAGGGCAAGCTGCGATTACATACAAGAACACTAAAGGTACGGTTCGAAGGTTATCATCCCCAAATATTTAAGACTGACGAGGGAACCAAAAGAAATATAGGCTTCAAAACCCTAGATATTTTTCACATAATTCGTAAACGCTTGGCATGGAGTCCCACTAGAGCGCACATAACCAAGAGAAAATATGCGCAGATGGCGAAACACGAATGAACACATAGTCGAATCAATCGAGAGTTCGCCAACAAATATCGAACATTTCATGTTTTCAAGGATTTCAGGAGAACGTAGAATAGAGGCAGACCTGAATCATCAGAGTATCTTTGAGAACGGTTGTGATGAAGCTCCGCCGACTCCTCAGGCTGGCGACCAGAGTTACGCGCGTCGCCGTTCTCCATTTCACTTTTTCCGCTCCCGTCAGCGGCGCTGTCCGGCATCACCACCATGCTGCTGAGGCTCCCCTTCACTTGCCGTGGCGGCGAAGAAGGCGGCGGCGTCGCCGTCTCCTGCTCTCTACCCCGAGGTCTCATATCTCCCCTTCTCCCTCTCTCCCTGTCCCTCTCGCGCCTTCTGCCCTATCCCTCAAACCCCTCTGGTCACAGTAGGGAATTAAACAAAAGAAACATTTTTGACATTTTGAAACCTGAATATTTTTTTATTTTATATATATCCTATTACATATATTTTCCTTTTACATTCGTAAAATAACAAAAAGCAGTAGCCAACGCAGAACGAACTTCTGATATCGGGAGGTTCGGTTTCCTTTAAAATGTAAATAATAATAATAATTACATGTCTGGGCCAAGTTAATTAAAAAAAATTATAATAGGGACTTTTAAGTAAGTGTTCATCATACTAGAACATAATCATTGATGAGGTAGGGTCAGGGCATTAATATAAAGTTTGTTGGCGGATTAAACATTTGATATATTCAAGGATTAGTAGGAGAAAGAAGATGTATGCGCAAATAAATAAATATCAAGGTATTATTTAAAATAACAAAAGAGCAAAGAGCAAATCTACAAAGATTCTCTTTGTTTACTCTTTGAGTCACATTTTCAATAAGAAATTATGTACTTAATCGTAATTTTGTCATATTTATACTAATTTAAGATTCAATGATCGTTTAAGCTTAGAACAGCCTTAAAGTTACTTTGGTTGAGTCACGTCACAAATGATTTGATTTAGTTTGATGGAAAGATCTAATCAAATTATTACAGAGGTTGACTAGGTTGACTAGGTTGTCAGAAAACTGAACCCCCTCTCTCTCTCTCTCTCTCTCTCTCTATCAATCTATCTCGTGGAATTACATCTGAATGGTCAAACATGCCCAAACTTACAGATGGGTCTGGCCGAGAGGTCATCTCTAATTATAAAAGACATCAGCACTCTAATCAAACTTTGCTGAGCCCACCCATCAACCATGTCCTTGAAAACCCCCACACCCATACTCCTGAGTTTCTGTTTCTGTTAAGATTTGAGAGATGGGGAGGAGGGAGGGAGAGAGAGAGAGAGAGAGAGAGGGAGAAAGAGAGAGAGAGAGAGAGGGAGAAAGAGAGAGAGAGAGAGAGAGAGAGAGAGAGAGAAAGAGAGAGAGAGAGGGAGAAAGAGAGAGAGAGAGGGCGAGAGAGCCATTCATCTATTGTAGAATTTCATTTTTACATTTTCAGGTCTGAGGTAAGAAACCCATGATCTCTAGATCACTGACAATGCACAGAAAATGGATCAAGAAACTAAGCAGCATGACAGTTTAGGAACTTACCATCAGACCCCTTGGTGAATGTATTTAGAAGCAGAAAGGGGGGGGGGAGAACTCCTCAGTGTTGACCAGCAATCTCAAGGCCAGTTCAGTCTTCAGCCATGGTTGAAGAACAGTGAGAACAATAATGGAAAGAGAGAACTAGAAAATAAAGAGAATTATTTCAATTATTAAGAACTCACCGAGTTAGAGCCCGGGGGGTTTAAGAAATGGGACGGGGAAGAAGTCTTCGGCGTTGATCGGCAGTCTCAAGACCTGCTTGATTGGCTCTGGCACATCCCCTGAGCCTTTCCAAGTGTCAAACCATGGTCCGCCGCCCACCTCAACTGCCGCCATGGTGCTAGTTACGTCGAGTACCAGCTGTCACACCCAAGAAATTATCCACTCTAACAAAGTCAACGGGCTTCTGGGCATGGAGAGAAAAAGGGGGGGGGGAATGGTCATACGATCTCAAGGGTTCCTCCTGGGCTGATAGGCAATCATTAGAATATGGCCATTTAATCTAACCATGGGAGAATTGACCTTCTTGGGCAATGTGGGAGAAGTCAACATAGTAAATTTGAGGCCATTCCATGATTGTTGGGAGGCTAATAATAGAAATGTAAGAATACCTCGCCCTTGCTTCCATCAGATTTTCTTTCCCATATTTTCAAGGTGAGATCAGCAAAGCAGGTGTCCTTGCATGCAGTGACCAGCCCAGCTTCTGGTGTCGGAGCACGCAAGGGGGTTCCGGGCTCCGTCGTTGTAGCCTCCAATTCCACCTGCTCTGTCACAAACTGGTCGGTGATCATTGCAATATTTCTTCTAAAAAAGGGTTCCAACGAAGAAATAAATCCGCGAAAATTTGGTTCCATGGAGGTGTATTGAGAAGCTCTAGACTTCTTTTTTTACTGGTAAAAATAGCATCAATATAATTTAAAATAAATATTATAATATTAAAGTAAAAACTGATTTTAGTCTGAAAATTTCCCTTTCTCCTCTCTCGAAAATAAAATATATGAGAATAAGAGGTGACGAATTTACCAGAAATGACTTGTTTTCTCCACAAATGCGCCAGAAACCCCAAGGAGCGATCTCCCAGTTGACAGCACCGTCCCAGGGAACGAATTCGTAGAAATTTCCTCCAAAGTGTACTCCAATCTGCATCAAGCTCGAGAACAAATAACATCATGGATCTATGGAGATAAATAATTATCCATAAATCATCTTTAACTCATAAATAGGCAAAGCCAAGATAAGTAATAGTGAAGGGGAGGAAGAAGATTTAAATTGCGTTGACTTTAATGAATTAGAGAGTGACATGAGTAGGACAGTAAATTGGTTTGGCTGGTACCAAGTTTTTCTAAGCCAAGTATTATCCTAGACCAAGAGAAAAACATGGCAAATGGGCTCCAAGTCAAACCCCTGTGATGCACCAGGCCTTATGTAGGGACCCCTAAGCCGAGATAATGCTTGGAGCATTATGGATCTCTGGAGAAAAATAATTATCTATAAATCATCTTTAGCTCATAAATAGGCAAGCCGAGATAAGTAATAGTGAAGGGGAGGAAGAAGATTTAAATTGCGTTGACTTTAATGAATTAGAGAGTAGCTGGTACCAAGTCTTTCTAAGCCAAGTATTATCCTAGACCAAGAGAAAAACATGGCAAATGGACTCGAAGTCAAACCCCTGTGATGCACGAGGCCCTACGTAGGGACCTAAGCCGAGGAAAAATTAGTTGGGATTTGGGCTTATCCAGCCCATTGAAACCCTTAGATATTTAGTCAAGAATTTCGCCCACGTTTAAAGGTAACTGATGCATGGAACCCCATCAAAGTTGCCGACAAGTTTGGTCAGAATAAATTTCATATTTCCTCCCAGTTGAAGAGTTACCAGTAGTTCTTAAAACTTTTGTCTGTGACCTGGAATTTTATGATGAAGACCCGGAGAATCATCAGAAGAAATCAAGATTACGGATCTTTGTAGCTGCTTCCCATTAGATAACAAAATTCAAGAATTTGGAAGAAAAAAAAAGGAATAGATGGATCTTCATGTGGCATACCATGGCAGTGCTTTCATAGATATCAGACAATCCAGGTAGCAGCCTCCGTCCACCACCAGCGGTCAAAGCGACTTCTCCACTGGCACCTTTGAAGACATTACACTGTACCTGAAATGATCATAATAATAAAATCATGCTTAAAATAGCGAAACTATATCAAAGTACTGATAATTACTATGAACCCAAGAGAAAAATAAACACATTGGTAGACATGCAGCTGCTTCAACAGTTTGGTTTATCCGGTAAGCTTTTCTCTTGGCATATCGTTTTGTTTATTACAAATGCATAAATAAATGGCGAACTGATATTAGCTACTAGCAAATTGCTTCGAAGGTAAAAATCAATTTCATACAAAAATACACAAAGGTACCAGACTTTCAAGATTTCTCATCATTAAAAGTTTATTAATTTATTAATGCACTATTCATTACATACGATACATATTGCACGAAAGTGCAAGCTCCTTTATCCAAAATATTTTTCATAAAAAAAAAACATACCCAAAACCACTTTCTCGGGAAGCCTGCACCCCAATTCTTTTCAGAGTATGAAGGAGCATCTTCAAATTCAAAACGCTCCCCATCCCATTCAATCCAACCTGACATTTTCATAGGCAAGCATTTAAAAGTCTGAAAGTATATGTGCAGAATCTCTGTGTATCCGTGTGCAAATAATATGATAATTTCAGCAGGTATAATCCACTGTTAGGGATTAAAAAAATAGGCTCTTCAATATTCAGTGTCCCGAAACTAAAACACGAAGATTACCCAAGGCCTGCAAAAGAAGTCCAAAGGGAAAACCTGTGGATGTTTTGAGAAGAATGCGGAAACAACACAATTCACAGAAAGGATAGATGAAAGATTAACCATACTTACACCGCATATACGAGTTAAAGGTTGCATAAACGTAGAAAGTAAAAGAAAGAAACATGATGCAGAAAAATGATGATCCCACCGGCAAGACAACATTTTGGAGCATTAAGGTGGTATATCTGTCCAACACAGAATCTGTCCAATATTGAAGTTTCTAACTTAACCATAGCATACCTTTCTCTGAAGTAGGTTACTGGCGTCAAAATGGTTCAATCTAATTGGTAAAAATGGATGTTTCGCATCTCGAAACAACTAGCATATCATATCCAAGGCCATGATATAGCTTGGTTAAGGTATTGTATGCTCCAGTATATATTCAAGAATATAAGCGGTACCAACGGCTTCCAGCATGACGCAAGAAAAGCTGGTGCTAAATGAAGGCATTTACCTTCTCACTGAAATGAACCACAGCCCACATTTGATTCAGCAGCAATGTTAATTTTTCGGCAACAGTTTTATAAACCATCTAGGAAGGGCAGACTTGTTGATAATCACAACAAGCAATAAATCAATCTTCTCTCACCTGTTGATAATCCACCCGCCATGCAGACTTGCCAATGCGGTTCAAACACGGGTAACACAGCAGGCCAACTGGCTGTTGACTTTTGTTTCGATTTCACATCACCCCAACCGTAAACGGGACGAGTACTGTACTCCCAACGTGCAGTTTTTACAGTTCGCAGATAATTTGACCTATTAAAAAAAATTACATATTAGGAAAAAAAACAGCAACCGTCTGTATGTTGGGACGCAGAAAAATAAATAAAATCTCCGGAAATTATCATGAATGTACTAGCCTGTGATATAAAATTATTGATTGGATTTCATTCAGCTTTTTCTTTTCATTCTATATTAGAGTCCGGTATATAATTATAATATTTTCACATAAAAACTAGCCACAAACTATAAAGGATTTTTTTCTAATCACTAAACCTATATAAAACACATTTATACATTACTAAGAGAGGGAAAAGACAGAGTGAAAGAGGAACTTTCTGGTGTCTCATCTGACAGAGAAGAGGAGAGAGAACAACCTCACTTTTCATTGACATTTATCACCCCTTATATAGGTGGACAACCCTACATGATCTTTCCCAATATAACCTCAGGCGACAAGTTCCCGTGATGATCATCATCACAGTGTGAGTGCTCATGCATGGTGCATCATGATTTAGAAATCTTAAGAGTTATATACTCATGTGATGACCATGCAGCATGGATATACAAGAGATACATCTGCTATCAACATAAACTTCTAAAATAGTTTCTTCCTTTGCTCATACTTCATTTACCTTTTATCATGTGGAAAAAGTGATACTTGCAATGACCTAAACAATGTCAACATCCAAGACCAAATACACCAATAGAGAGGAAACTGGTCACAATTAGAAATTATTGACGATGGAAGTAATTTTGCCACTGTTCGGACAGTTCTAGCAAATTCTAAGAAAAGAAGAAATGTTGGGGATAGTTGAAATAACTGACCACGATAATTAACAAGTTTAGCATCTATATGACTTTCATACGAAATATAAACCGATACCTTCCATCATCACGTATGAAACCTTGATGCCAGATTGGTGTGACCTGAAAGCCTTCTGAGACACATCTATTAAATTCCTACACGACAAATCCCCAAATGAGCATATCATACTTCACAAAAATAAGAGATAAGAGACTTCCAATGCATCAGACTAGACCAAATTAGATAGGCATGGTAGATAACACACTGGTTTCCATGCATTATAGGCATAAATGTGCCGATCCATGTATTTGAAACGTCATTGACACTATCTGACTCCTCTTTCATGCAATATATTGGTGAATCTTTTTTTTGTTAAAGTTCGATCCGATGATGCGGTTATGATGAGCAGCCAATCTGGGTGTGAATCGCAATTCAAAAGAGGTTGAAAGCCAAACTCACTTACATGGATTTGGCCAAGATAGCAAACCTGATACCCAGAATTTTGTCACTCACTTACATGAGTGACAAAAACAGGCCAAGATAGCAAACCTGATACCCAGAATTTTGTTATAATATGGTGGATATAGAAGATGATATCAAATTTTCCTTTGGTTATAGAAGAAGTGATGACAATATCTTTGAGTTCGATGGAAAATGCTTTGCTTTCATGGAAAAGTAAATAAATTAAGATCTGTACAATTACAGCTGAGTCCATGATGATGCATCTTAGTTTGAATCGACCAGCATTCTGAAATCCTCGTTAAATTGCATAAATTTAATAACGTTCTACTAAACGGCAATCTTTTTCCTGTTGTCTTCTTCCTAATTATATTGCAATTAATAACTGAGTCCTAACTATCACAAACTAATACTTCAAGCATTGAAACTTCCACTGTGAAACGTTCATAAGAAATAATAAAATCCAGGTATTGGGAAATAGCATTAATTAAGCTTAAAATTAGGTATCATTATAATTCTTTGCATAACCAAACCCATTTCCTCGAAATTCAATATAGAATATGTTAAAGAATTAAAAAAAAAAAATCCAATATCCCGTGTGCATTTTACAACATTTCTTCAAGTAGTGATGGTAAATATGTTTTTGTTCAGTGACATGAAAATCACAAAGCATTAAACAGATGGCATACGTCTCACCAGGACCAACTCAAATGAAAAGTGAAAGAAATTTACCGCAGGTGAAACCTCCCCAGTTGGGGTCTTTGAACCCTCCTTTGCAGTAAAAGTGTTCCCCAACATTAATTCATGCCTGCCTATGCAACAATGAGACACCACATGGAGGAATTTAATAAGTATCAATCACATACTCAAAAGTTCTAAAAAGAGAGAAATTGCCTTGCTTCTGAAAGGAACATAATTCGTATTTCTCCAAATAGCTGACATGCCCAGAAATGGAAGATAGAAACTCTAAGTGAAATAAAAGCTCCCGTAAAAGGAGATTTGGGCGACTGGACATGAAGGTAAGGCAGGGGGAATCACAAAATAAATCAGGCGAAACTTACAAGCAAAGAGAGACCCTCATATGTTTCGAAAAAAAGAACGACTTCAATGCGTGTTTTGTTTCATTACATATATCAACGACTCACAAGTGTTGTTGCTTTTGAATATGACATCATGTTTTTCATTGAATACGAAATGAACATGTTCCACATTTCATACAAATACTTTATCTCGAAGTGGATTGTCAAATATGGCTGCTCACTTTGTGCAGGCAGTTACAGCTAAATCTCCTGTGAAGCCTACTCAAACATTCAGGCTGGCTTGTAGAGAGAAGATAATACACTTTTTTATTTCAATAAGAAGCTCTATAGCACCAACGATTCCCAGTTGTGAGTCATTGGCACATTGGAGGTAACAAATTGATATCAAGAAGGTTTTTAATGGGGACCAGCTTATAGGACGCGCATCTCTCGAACTGTAAACAATAACATATCACAGCACACGAAGAAAACAATCCAAGGAATAACGGGCGAAGGAACTTACTTCCCCAAAAGTTATTGGATTCTTGAGAGTACTGGCAAATATATTTGTCATCTGCACCGAGAATTTGAGCCCCTACTCCTGTGAATCGAGTCCCATATACGACACCTTCTAACGTTCCCAGTGGCTTAGTGAAAGAAGGATTCTCTACTGAGTACATGAAGCAGAAGCTTTGTCTACATTCTGGAATTGAAACCTTGAAGTACCAGCCTTCAAAGAATTGGCGCGACGTTCCATCAAAATGGAACCTGATGCAGAGTCGTGGAGACAAGACATATTACAGTGAAATACACCAAAATCAGAGATACCAAATAATTGAGGAATCCGATCATTTAAAGATTGAGGAAGGAGTAACTAAAAACGATCAAATGAACCTTCCAACGATCTCTACCTGATTTGGATGTGTACATCACCCTTTAACGATCATATCACATGATAATTATTCATCAGTTTCAGAGAGAGGCAATAAAAACTGAGGGGGTAAGCACAATACCCGCTATGAGGAGTCCGGAGCTCTCTGTTGCTGGGAGTAGGCACGTAAACCGGCCTTTTAGAGGTCGCCGTCGTCTCATTCCTTCCCACGGCTTCAGAAACAGCCATTACAGTCCGAGATACAGCCCGTCGCTGCAGGCTGCCGTTCGACGACCTCCGAAGGGGAGGGAAACCGACGCCCGGCGCGGCAATCATCGGCCTAAACCGAGGGGAAGCTGCGGCCGGCTGGCTCTCGCCGAGAGGGTGAGAGCAGAAATGGGCGGCCGCCATGAAACCTCGGATGGTCGATTACCTCTCTCTCGGTGGACGAAATCCACTGCTATCAGAAGACGACGCTTTCGATGAGTCCTCTCCACGTGCCTCACTGGATCTACTGGACGTGGCTCATTCTTCGCAATTCCCTCTACATAAACGTGATTTCTCTCGCTCTCTCTTTCTCTCTCTCGCTCTCTCTCTCTCTCTCTCTCTCTCTCTCTCTCTCTCTCTCTCTCTCTCTCTCTCTCTCTCTCTCTCTCTCTCTCTCTCTCTCTCTCTCTCTCTCTTTACACATTAGGCACTGACACGGCCATGGTCACTCAATAAATTATAATATTTAATTAATATACGTGGTTTGATCACAGTAGTTGAACAAATTGAGTAAGCCCATGTTGTGCCCTACGTAAATATTTGGGCCCTTCTACGTGGTTTGACCACAGTACTTAAGCAAATTGAACAAACTCATGTTCTGCCCTACATACATATTTGGGCCCTCTCTCTCTCTTTGTCTTCTCTCTCTCCCTCTCTCAACATGGTTTGACCATCAGTATTTAAGCAAATTGAACAAACCCATGTTCTGCCCTACATACATATTTGGCCTCTCTCTCTCTCTCTCTCTCTCTTCCCTCTCTCTACGTCGGTTGACCACAGTATTTAAGCAAACTGAACAAACCCATAATGACCCTACATACATATTTAGACCCCCCCCCCTCTCTCTCTCTCTCTACGTGGTTTCCCCACAGTATTTAAGCAATTTGAACAAACCCACGTTGTGTGTTGTGCCCTGCATGTATATTTGGACCCTTTCTCTCTCTCTCTCTCTCTCTCTCTCTCTCTCTCTAGATATAGATATATATATATATAGATCATAGGACCCATTAGCGCCTATCCACATTAGGCTCCGGCATGGCCATGATCACCCAATAAATTATGGTATTTAATGAATCTACGTGGTTTGATCACAGCAATTAAGAAAATTGACCAGAAATCGGAGCTAAAAATAGACATCCAAACGCAAAGATCCTCCAAAATTGAACACGAAAAACTTCGGCCATGGCGAGAATGAAGTCAACGGCAGCAGACACAAGTGCTCGAGATGGATGTGTTCGACAAATTGCTCCAGAGTGGGGTTATCTTCTTCTTCAGAGGCTGGGCCGCTCGCTTCTCTGCACTATACATGATCCATCCTTAAAACGGGTCCTGCTCGGCGGGGCAGCTCACTCTGTTATTCCGACAGTCGCCTTGTCCAAGTCAATCTCCCCCATCCCGGTGTCCTCCTCCTCCTCGCTGCCCTCATCGCCGCTGACTTCCTCATTGGCGGCCCGTAGCTTCGCCATGTGCTCTGCAAGAAGCTTGTCGTCCCTCTCACTCACCTATGACCAGACAGCCAGATTGTCAACACACCCTCCCCAAAAAGGGAAAGACTCGAGGAAAGTTGACTTCTGGGACATGGGTTAGGATCAAAATATTAACGTTGACTTCTTCTTTTTCAATGGGTTAGGATTCAGTTTCATGCTTGATTGCTCTAACTATTTTCCAAAAGGGGAAACCAAAAGAAGAAACTTGGGGAAATAGAGTTTTTTTTTCTTGTTCTTCAGCAGAAATATGAGATTATATACATCAAATAGATTAAAAGAGGAGTTAGGCTTACAGCTCTGGGCGCCTCCTTCACAGAAAGCTTCCCTTTGTGCTTGTCGATTTCCTTAGTGCAAGCTTGAATCGCCTCAGTCAGGATGGATATCCCTTGCTCCTGACCAGGGCCCCAATTTTGGTAAGTCATGGCTAAGATCCCCGAAATAAATAAATAAAATAAATGATGAGTTATTATGCATAATTAATCGCAAAACCATGGTCAACTATGATCAGATATGACCAGAAATTTTGTTCATCACATCACTGTGCTAGATCCGCAACTAAAGATGTGATGATGATGATGATGAATGTGGTTCTGTTGGCAGAGGAAGAATGATCCGACGCAGGAGGAGCTGTTCATCTGGCAAATCCTCTTCCCTGGGGATGATTTCCCACAGGAACCAGACATTTGGCGGCTGGGCGATTTATATTCTAGGAAACTATATGGAAATATATATCTCGAGGGGTATAGTTCCTTCATAACTGGAAAATATATGAGAAGTTATTATTCCTGGAGCCGTCCAAACCACATGGAGGAGATTATTCCATAAAAACCACCCCGAAGAATGAGTTTAGCTGCCAAAAAAAAAGGAACATCATTCCCAAAGTGGAAGGGCTAATTAATCTTTTCTTAGAGCATAAGAAGCCCACAGATTCAAGGAGATATGCCATGGCTGTGACTGCATCAAGATAAATCTTTCAGAGAGAGAAAGATTGAGGAACAGTAAGAGACCCATCAAAATAAATCTTCTAGAGAGAGAAAGTTGGCCCATTTCAATCGGGATGGACCCATCACATGGCTGCACAGAGGAACACAGAAAACTTTTCATGTGCCTAAACCACTCCATCCGAAATCAAAGATCAGACACTATCCCAGTTCGTCTCCATTTCTTTGAAGAACAATTCATCGAAAAAAGGAGGATCTTTTCAAGAAAATGACACAATAACCTGCAGATAAGAGAAAATGGCATCTTTCTACATTAATCCACATCAAGGCAACCCCACCCCCAAGAACTAGGGGTCAGATTGAGTTGTACCAAGGTGAAGACTAGATCCTTGGCCCCTGACTACCCCAAGCTGAGTACTTTGCTATCAACCAAAAGAGTTAAATGCCTAAGATTTAAACATTGGGGATTATCCCATGGCAATCAATTATCATGCCAAAAAGAATTCCGCAGGTAAAGAATATAGTGAGATTTTCCCACATTGATGATCGGATTTCATCTCCCTTTAAAAAATAAAAATAAAAAAAATCGAAACTCCATGAAAAAAAATAAAAATAAAAATCTGATAACGGCAGCCTTCTTGCTGAAGCCCACGGCGGACATCAATGAATTTTCATATGAATGTGTATCAACTAGGAAACAGTAAACGTATACTGTTCAGCAATCTTCACTAAAACTGAAGATAGAGCATAGAACAAACGACGAACCTTGTCTAGAGTTTGAGTGGTAAGAACATATAACGGAGGCGCCACAAGCTTAATTTTCACAGGGCAATCATCATTGCCAGCGGCTTCAGCTTTCCTCATAGCTTCCTGCACAACACTCATGAAACATAAGAGCAGAGCTCACCTGAGAAGATGCCAGAGAAAAAGCCCAAGAAATGAACCTTAATATGAAGAACGCCGTCAAATTGAAAGCATTTCATCTCAATGTCGGCACGTATCTTCAGCGGCTGAGGGGTCATCCTCCTCCTAATATTCTTGATCAAAGCATCCTTGACTTCGTCGGTCAACGCAGGGACGACCTTGGACACCTGAGAATTGGGCACATGTCTGGACCCTAGGCATCAAAATAATAAATATTTAAAAATATAAAATATTTATGGAATCCCGCATACCTCCTGTCCATCAGGACCAATTTCCTTAACTTCCCTTGTTAGGGAATCCAGGACCGAATCAGGGTCGGTCACGATTACCTTAAATGCCTGCCTCGAGTTTTTTCAACCCAATAAAGAAGAAGAAGAATTAGTGAAAAAAGGGCAAACCATCTAACAAGAAGAAATGAAAGGAACAGGTGAATTATTCTAAGTAACAAGTTTATGATGATACCTCAAACGCATGGCCATAATTCCGATACAGAGGCCAACCAACATGAACATACAGATCCTGTGAATCAAGGATAATTGGCATGAAAAAATTATTCCATTTTAAATGGTAATACATACCACAACATACATGCCCACTAAGAAAAAGAGGAAATAAAAAGAAATAAGACTGGCCGCCGCAGTAACATCTCAGACCTCGGGAAGCGGAGATTTTCAATAAACATAGCAAGGGGAGGGGGGAGGCTTCCAGGAAAGAAAGCTTCACGAAATATGTGGAAAAAAGCCCTCACCGACCTCGAGATCGAGCAGCATTGTCTCAGCGACATGGCGCATGATCGAATGGACGAGCTTGCTCTTGTTGTAGCGCTCCTCGCAGGTCTTGATGTCTTCCTCGGAGACCCTGCGCTTGCTGAGGTCGATATAACCCTTCTCGCGGTCCACCCGGAGGACCATCACCGGCTCCTGCCGGCCCACCTTAATGAGACTGCCGACGCTCCGGATCCGGCGGCGGGAGAGTTCAGAGAATAGAATCATCCCCTCGATGTTGTTGTACTCGAGCAGGGAGACGTAGGCTCCCATGTCGGCTATGTTCTTCACCTGCACCATCACCGCCATGTCCACCTCCGGGTACTTGGCCTCGTACATCCGGCACTCCAGATTAGGCGTGCTCCCCGCCATCGCTCCTCAGATTCCTCCTCGCTGGGCTCCTCGAATTGGCGGGTCACCGTGACCCAGCAGCAGCAGCTTCCTTCCACAACGGGACCTCTTCTGCGGGGTTACTCGGTTGCCCTAATAAGGTGAACTTGCCGGCAAGGTGGAGGAGACGCCGCGAATGGTACTTCTATATATATCCCCCCAAACTTTTCTTCTGACCTTCCAAAACCCCTCAAGTAATTTTTGTTTTGAAAAATCCCCTCCAAAGTCAATCCAACTCCACGGGTGACACTGGTCCACACAGATAAAACATAGAGCCCCAGCTCCCTCCCTCTCCCTCTCCCTCTCTCTCTCTCTCTCTCTCTCTCTCTCTCTCTCTCTCTCTCTCTCTCTACTGTCAACCCATTTGTCCTAACCCCGTGAAGCTATCTGGGCTTGGGCTGGATAAGCCCGGCCCCAACCTGGCCCGACCCATCAACGCCTCAATCTTAAATCTTGATTCTTTTTTTCCAAAATGGGAACTTTAAATCAATATTTCGTTTTTAAAAAAATCATTCCGACTGCCATATGTCTATTCACTCAGCACACCAACTACGTCTGAATGGATGGCGATGGGTCTTCTTCAGAAACCCAGATCCGTGACAGTCGACAACAAGAACATCCAGACCAGCAGACCTGTTCCTCCGAGCCCATCTCATCTTCCTCTCTCTGAAGCACCCTTCATCAAATCCATTTCCCAGCCCCTGGAAGCTTCCGAGTTGACTCGGCTGCACCGAAGACAAGCCATTAACGGCAACTGGGTCCGGAGCAGGGGCAGGACTGCACCTGGTTCAGTAAAAGAATCACAAAAGAGCCAGACTAAATCCAGATAAGAAATAAAAAAACTGATGAAAATAAATATATTCTGGATGGGGATCTCCAGATTTGATTTGCTATCTTAACAGCCTAATGCATCATCACTTTGTTACAATGAATGAAGCTGGAATGACAGAGAAACTACTTCCTTTCTCTCACATCTAGCAGCAAACATCTACAGCAGGACTCACTTGAAAAGCTAAGCAGGCCATTGATACACGGGAGAAGGATTGCCATGGTGCCTCCTACTCGGTGGTAGATTATGCCGCCCATTGTTCTTGGATGAAGAAGAAGCTCACATTGAAGATGGCGTCACGGCAAGACTTTGCTGTCGTTGGAGATGTGAAGTAGGATACCTGATGCATTTACTATAAAATGAGTCATCTTTTTTTCTTTTTTTCTTTTCTGATTCTAAATAATTCTCAAATTCCTTTGCTTTAATCAGTAACTGTAAGCCTTGAGATGTACGAGTAGAAAGCAAAAGACAAACTACTAGCAGTTTCCATGTCTCCGAATGGATGTTACCTCTTCAATTCACTTTGATGATCGTTGAGAGATACAAGGAACAGAAATTTCAGTAAAATTCGCACCAGCAAAGAGAGAATAATGACACGGGTAATCAATGAACCATAGTTCAGATCCATGTTCAAACCCCATGGCAAAACACATTTAGACCAGAAGAAAAAGTGGACGCAATTTAGCTAATTTCATGAATAATACAACGATTGGAGAAATAGTGCAACGAAATCGGAGAAATGAAGATGGTTGGTGGTGGAGAATAAATGCACATAATTCTCAGATATATCAATTTCTTGGCCAGAAAATATGCCCAAGAAGAGTATCTCATAAACTGAAGAACAGTCTAAAACTAGCGACCAGCTACTTTAAAATTGGGCCTAAGATCTATCTATGATCTATCTATGATCGTCTTTTTTAGAGCATCTCACCTCCTTTTCAGGCCTATATAAAGGCCCTCATTGTAACATGAGAGACACATCTTTTGATTTTTTTTATTTTTTTTTAATCTTGTGAAGTTGCCCTTCCTCCAGTTGTACATCCAAAAGGTTTCTATCGATCATCTGGATTCAAGCTCACCCTCTTGTGGATTGAAGCATTCAATTTTCAACATATATTTTGATGATCAGATTAGTTGAAACATTCAATCTAATACCAAAAAAAAAATTCATTTTCAACATATATTTTACATGTCTAATATTGGTATTGTCTTTGTGATAATATATTGGATTAAATTAAAGATTATAACACATCTCTTGCGAAGAACATATGAGTAGAAGGCATTCACTACACGTGGATTTACTATCAAAGCATCTGTAGCACACAGGTGAACTATTTAACACGACGGTGTCAATTACATTTTTTTATGTTTTATAACATTAAATTATATAACCTTAATTTTAAGTGTGGGCATTACATGATTTTATGACCGATCATATTCAAATGGCTGAAGAATTAGTGGTCGAGTATAAGACGATGGTAGAGGAAAATAATTCAAATATAATAAAATAAACCCTCAAAACTACCCCATTTCCAAGAAGAAATTTTTCTTGAACTAAAGAACAAGATGAGATTTCTTGGTAGGGATAAAAACAGGCTGATATCATTTGTTGGGCGTCTACTGAAAATATCAATAACATGATGTATACAGGATATATTTGCGGCCAGGCCTAGCCTGCTGGCTGCAAATTGCCATAGCTTACTGACACTCGTTGCATGCAGTGGCTGGCTGGGCGTAAACCTCAATGCAGTTGCACAGGTAGAGGCTAGATTACCTGGTACAGGTTCCAGAGCTTCCTTCTCCCTCGCTCCGCTCGGCTACCGAAGCTATTGGAATGAGCTGCGAGGCAGACCGACGACCTCACGGCGGAGGACGTGGGAACTCCCGGAGAAGAGGGTCCGCGGTATAGTAGCCGTCGTTCTCATGTTGCGCGCAGAGAAGAGAAGGAAGATGGCCAGAAACTGTCGCCAAGATCCTTCTGAAGATTGTCCCCCGTGATTGTCCGCGAGACCCTCCAACCCTAGGAAAGGCACGCGAGACTGTGGGAGCATGGGAGGAGAGGCGAAGGCACTGGCTGCTCCAGGAAGGAGCTTTTTGCTAATAAACGCTCACCCCTGTAAGAAACAGATTTACGTCTATACTCATTTTCTGCTGCTCACTAATCTTCATCTCCTGCCAAAGTCAACTATAATAATGTCCGAAAATAGTAAATGGCGCCGACCCAGAAGAGGATTAAACTCCCCCGCCAGCTGCTCTCCAGCGAGCAGATCTCTGGGCATTGCTAAAAAAAGGGCTGTTTGATTGATTATTAACAGGAGGCTACACTAGAAAGCAGTGCACCGGGGGCTCTGAGTCAGACCACCAACATCACTACAAGAAATGAGAGTTGACTTTGCAAAAGGCTCCCTCCCTCCCTTTAGGAAAAATCTCGAAAGCAGACCTCTCTCTCTCTCTCTCTAAAAATTCTCTCTCTCTCTCTTTCTCTCTCTTCTTGTTCAGTCTGTGGTCTCCCCAAGAGTGAAGCGGACGAATCTCCGGACTCTGATGTTCTCGCCGAGCGCCGCCACAGTCTGCTTCACCAGGTCCTTGACCAGCAAGCTGTCGTCTTTGATGAAGGGCTGCTCCAGGAGGGCAAGCTCCGCCAGACGCTTTGAGATCCTCCCTTCCACAATCTTCTCCCTTATGTTCTCCGGCTTTGAGGCCAAGTCGTCCCTCTGCATCTCGATCTCCTTCTCCTTGGTCACCAGGCTACCCGGAATCTCCTCCACGGACACATACTGCACTTGCGGGCACGCCGCCACCTGCATGGCCAAGTCAACCACCAGCTCCTTGAACTTCTCGCTCCGGCCCACAAAGTCAGTCTCGCAGTTGACTTCGATCAGGACCCCAATCCGGGAATCGTGGATGTAGGAACCGATCCGGCCCTCGGCGGCCACCCGAGAGGCCTTCTTGTCGGCTGATGAGAGCCCCTTCTTCCTCAGATACTCCTGCGCCTTCTCGAGGTCGCCGCCGGTCTCCATGAGAGCCTTCTTGCAGTCCATCATGCCGGCGCCGGTCTCCTCCCGGAGCTGCTTGACCAAAGCCGCCGATATCGCCACCGCCGGAGGTCTGCACCCAAAAAAAAAAAAAAAAAAAAAAAAACCATATTTAGTATCACACTTAACTCGACATCAATCAACCATATTAATCATGTTGTATCAGACTGGGGCCCCCAAGTTGCATACTTGTCCGCAGCTGCTTCCTTGGCTTCGAGGGGCTCCTCCTTCTTCGCTGGGGCCTCCACTGGTTTCGCCGCAGTCTGGGCTGCTACCTCCGCCGCAAAGTCCTGGCTTTTCTTCTCCAGGCCTTCGCCGAGGTTGAACCGGACGAACCTCCTCACCTTGATGTTCTCCCCAACAGTGGCGATGGTCTGCTTCACCAAGTCCTTGACGACGACCTTGTCGTTCTTGATATATGGCTGCTCGAGGAGGGCCAGCTCCTCCAGTCGCTTCCTTATCCTGCCGTCCACGATCTTCGATCTGAACTGCTCGGGCTTCGACAGGAGGTCTTCCTTCTGCATCTCGATCTCCCTCTCCCTGTTGACCATCTCCTCGGGGATGTCCTCGGGGTTCAGGTACTCCACCTGTGGGCAGGCGGCGACCTGCATGGCGATGTCGTTGACCAGCTCTTTGAATATGCTGCCCCTCGAGACGAAGTCCGTCTCGCAGTTGACTTCTAAGAGGACTCCGATCCGGCTGTCGTGGATGTAGGAGGCGATCCTTCCCTCTGCCGTGGCTCTGCTCGCCTTCTTGTCGGCGCTCGCGAGGCCCTTCTTCCTCAGGAGCTCCTGGGCCTTGGCGAGGTCGCCGCCGGTCTCTGTCAGAGCCTTCTTGCAGTCCATCATCCCTGCTCCGGTCTCATCACGGAGCTGCTTCACAAGAGATGAGGAGATGGCAGCTGCAGTTCGGCAGACACCAAGAAGAAGATGATTACAGCAATAGAATTGATCTAGTGCTTAGTTGTTAATGATATGAAAAGGGACAAGGTATTTTCTGGGCAAAGTTGCCCTTTCTCCCACAAGAAAATGTCAAATCAGTAGCTGGATTTCAATTCAGACAATAATTCAAACACCTAGCAACACTCTGACAGCTTCCACGGCATTGGACAGAAGGAAGATGCGAAAAAAAAAAAAGAAAAAAAAAAGGTTGGAATGTAATATTTTTCCGCCCAAATTTGCAAGCAGAAAAATAATTGAAGCAACTGGTTCATGATTTATGTTCATTTACTTGCTGAGAGGAAATGAGAATAAGATAGAAATCATCACTGGTGATCACTGAGAAACAATCAAACTTAAGGTCAGAGTTTAGTTTTCCTCTCGCAAAATCGAATTCAAAAATTAGAAAAGAAAGGGCGTGACTTCTGATGATGTCTTCAACCCTTTAGAGGAGGAACTCTCACAGGGGGGGCTACAATAGTCATGTGCTTGAGGAGGCAGTAGCATTTGGGTAAAAGAGATCAGCCGCTGGTTGCATCTTTCGAAGCAGATGCCATCAAGTAATGATCAGACAGGGATCACTCTCTCACCTGGTGAGGCACCAGCAGAACTCCTTGCAGTTTCCTCCACAGGTGGGGCATCTGATGATGCAGTTTGCCCCGAGTCAGCCCCTTCGGCAGAAGGACCATCTGCTGCAGATTCTGCAGCAGATGAAGATTCCTCTGCAACCTGTTCTTCAGGGCTCTCCTCAGCTTCTGTCACGGCTGCAGCCACAGAGTTAGTTTCGTTCACTTCATCTGCAGCAGCCCCGTCTGAAGATCCCTCATCCTGGAGGACAGAATCTTCAGGTTCTTCTTCGGCAACAGCTTTGTTTTCAGTAATGGGTTCACTTGCATCCTCAGAGACTGGACTTTCTACGCTGGTCTCCTCGTCTGAAGGGGTTTCAAGAGAAGACCCAGTCTCTGATGACGAACTAGAAACATCATTCTCAGATGAAACTGGATCCACTTCAGCTTCTTCCTCAGACTTCTCCTCAGTGGAGGTCGAAGCTGCAGGAACCACAGATTCTGCTGGGGTTTCAGTGACTGCTTCTTCGACGTTTTCCAGAGTCTCTGATACGGCCACTGGTTCAGGAGATTTCTTCAGCTTCTCCCTGTCGTCCAGAAATAATGCGATGTCTTTGTTCTTACGGAATGCCAACTCAAAAGGGTTGCTCGCTGCATACACCACCCCCTTATTGAGTATCTTGTTTAACTCCGCAAGGTCCTCTTCCTTTTTCATTGTCAAGGTCACCTGTCCCCTTGTAATCCGCAGGACCCGGACATTGACTTCCTGACCCACCTGCAGTGAGGAGCTTCCCAAGACACTGAATCCTTCAGATTCCTCTGATGTGGGGAGAAAACCTTCCTCACCCTCAGGGAGGTTAATGAAGGCCCCTGATCTAGTTAGATTCTTCACAGTGCCGTCCAAAACTTGCCCCTTCACAAACTTTGAGGTCTTCTGGTTGCCGTCCCGCTTCTGGTTGGGCCTTGAACCATTTTTCCTAGGGGTTCTGGGTTTGTCGCTGTTGAAATTATCAGAAGCTTCTGCCCTCTGTGATGACCTGTTGGTCTCATCACCGTCACGCATAGTCAAGGAAATACGTCCAGTTTCCATGTTTGCCTCCAGTATCTTCACTTTCACTTCTTGTCCAACTGAGACAAAGCTTCCCACGTCCTTGACAAAACCGCTGCTCAAGTTGGAAACATGGACGAGGCCGTCGGTGAAGGCCCCAAAGTCAACAAAGGCACCAAATGGTTGGATGGACCTCACTTTCCCCGTGAAAGATGCACCGGGCAGCAGTTCCTCGTTCTTTACCGGAGGCATCTCGCTCTTCCTCACCGCCCTTGTGCGTTTGCCCTGATTAGAAGTCGTCGTTCCGGGGCCAGATGAGGAGGTTTCACCACCTGTGGAAAGAGATGCTAGTGGGAGAACCGAGGTTTCACTATCAGCTTCACCTGCAACGGCCGGATTCGGCTCGTCTGTTGCTACATCAGTCTCTACAGAGGCTAACCCTTGGATCTTTGACCTGGACTTCAGACCACTGCTTCTCCTGTACTTTTGCATCAGTGTAAATGTCAGAGACTGGGGAAGCATAACCCTTTGCTGAAATAGAGATGGCTTCCGAGGTCTTCCATAAGCATTGCACCTAGATACATGGATTTCTTTGCTTGGGGTAGAGGAAGAAACGGCAAAAATGGCAACACTGCCAAAAGAATATGGAATTGCGGGAACCATCCTGAATCCAAATTATGTCGAGAATGGTGTAATAGATGCTTATATGCTTTTCATATTCTTCCGACCTAAATGAATAAAAAGGAATTAATTAGATTATAGAAATAACTTAATGAAACATTAAGAAAGAACAGGCACGAAGTGCGTAGTTTAAAGGCTGAAAATAGTAAATCTTTGTAACGGATGGGAAAACACACACGAAGTGTATAATGGCATGCCAACAAGAACGTATTTGGTGAGAAATTTACAGGGATGATTTACAATAACTAGAGAAATAGAGAGCTGTCAACGGGCAACCTGTAGCATTTCTTCTCAGCAGAGTCTATCAGTGAGAAAATAAAGGCAAATCCCAAGAGTAACTCAGTGAAGCCAAAATGCCAAGGGCGATAAAAGAGACATTCATCTATAAGAGATTAACATTCTTATAGATGAATGTTAATCTATAAGAATGTTAATCTCTTGAAGCATCGTTCTCGATAAATTATTCACAAGAAACGTCATTTAAATAGCAAGATGCATCACCCAACAGAACAGGAAAAGGAGATGCACGATTCAAAACAATTATGCAAAATGAACGCACCTTCAGGTACTTAAAAGAGAAGGAACTACCGAACTATGTAAATGTTATGATGTATGAGCCCAGAATTAGATTAGGTTAACATCATATGATCATTTAATCAAAATCTTTGAAAGCTTAGACAGTAAAGTTTGAAAAAACATCAAATATAAAGTAGAAGACAAAAAAAAGCAGATAATCATTAGCACCCATTTTCTCGCCAAAATCATACTTCAATTGCAGGAAAATGACCATGAAAATATATCAAATCATGCAGTCATCCCAATATAGTTTCTAATATTAACTGATTTCTTATGCAGTTAAGATCCTTCTAGTGGACCACCAGATTATTTGGTTTAACTTTTGGCAAGCGCAGCTTGACTTCTACCGATCTTTAAACATCTGTCAGTACAAACTATTTCATCCTACTGGTGCTAACTTGATCTGGGCTCCGTACAGTGAATATCAAGAATCCTTTGCCATTTACTTGGATGCTTAGCTCGCAGATGCTAGTTTGTCTCCATCTTGTGGATCATCTGACTCTTTTGATTCTTTAAAGAAAAGTAGCAATCCTAGACTACACGGGAAAATCATCAATGAAAAGAAAACAGAGATAAAAATCCTGAATTCCACCAGATAAAGTCAAAGGAAAGTATCTCCAATGTGAAAGACATCCAAAGCTTCTTCCGCTGAAATGTTTATAACCATACCTTACAACCCACTAACGTAAGGAAAAAGCAGGCTTTCCTTCCGACATAGAACACAAATGCCACAAAAAATTATGGAAATGTGTGCTGAGTGGAACCCAAATTTGGAAATATTTAAGGAAGACAAAATAATCCATCAGCTTGCAATCCTTTATATTTCAAGGAAAACTTCGAAGTAGAAGCAGTATAAGCCAAATATAAGATGGCTCTCCTGAAACACCGTCAATTACAAGAAAAAAGGCCCCTACTGCACTTCCCAAACACTGAGTTTAATTTTCTTCACTGACTCCTTCCGCGGTGCTGAATGTAACGAAGCTTAACCTAGGAAAAATAACCTAGACGATAAAAAACTCAGACTTCACTGGTCATTGCCTCGGGACTATCGAATGTATTGGAAAAACAGGTGAGCAGAAATCTGCCTCGCTCATTCGTCCTTTTTTGGCACGCTAACTGGTCAGCATCTTCAGGGATTCTCAAATATATTCGTCTAAGAGTATCAGCACGACAAAAGTCGACACCGCAAATGACAACTGCACACAATTCTCTTCAGACCAGAAAAATCGACACAAAATTTTCACAAGGAACTGCTCAACTCCACGGGAGACCAGAATTACACTCAACTCTGTTAACGTATCCAACTTTCACCGTAAAAATCCCACCCCCCATCCAAAAAAGGAACAAAATATACGAACTCCGCAGGACAAGCAACTGCCGGAAAAAAGACCAGTGTACAGGGCCACGCCGCTTCGAGAATTCATTCCCAATTAAACCTACACTGAGCAATCCGTTCGCGGAGCGAAGCCGCACCGAACCACCACCGTGCACGTTCATCACCCCGTCGACACCAGCGACACCAACCGGCTCCGAGCAAATCAAAGCGTCGAAAATGGAGGGAGAAATCTGGGGTAAAGGAGGATGAGAGAGTAGATACCTTTCGAACTCACCGAGCAGCAGCGGAGCGCTGAGAGAGATAGAGAGAGAGAGATACCCACCGCACCACTCAGCAGGACGGACAGAAGTAGGGGGTGAAGGAGGGGATAGAGGATAGAAAGCCCGGTCTTTTATACCCTTATCTTGCAGGCTGCTGAGGATTTTGGGGTTCTGGACGAGCGAGAGGTGGTAGAGGAGAACGGATGACGTCCCCACCGTGGGCGACCGTGATGGTCGGCTCCGAACATCCGACACCAGAGACTGCGCCTCCATCCTGGCCTGGGTCCACAGCCTCCAGTCGTAGGTCATACCTCTCATAATGTTTAACTCTGCTACGCTAGCGTAAGTCCACCGTTTGGATGGTCGAGATGCAACATGAAGGATAGTGAATGGGCCGAGAGGTTTGCCAGCATAATAGATCCACTGTAAAGCCTCCGGCTGGCAAAGACAGAAAAAAGAATTATAAATATATGAGAAATTTAAATTTATTTTTCATTGTTTGTCATTTTTTTTTCGGACGCATTATCATAATTTATGGGTGCTGTGAGCTTGTATTATCTTTTTTCTGAAATAAACTCGGAGGACTCGATCTAAAAATATATATAACATGTAAAGAAATGCCTTCCATTTTGGGACGAAAAGAAAGTGCAATCTTGTTTGATTTTCGTGATCCGAACTCGTTTATAAATGAATGAATGAGTTAATTTAATGAATGAAAACTAGTTATGTATGATTCGGACAGATGGTGGCGGAGCAAGAACAATCGAAGTAAATGAATAGATTGATTGATTGTAACACGAGTTGAATCCGAAGTCCTTCCCACAGAGATCGATTAAAGTTTCTATTGCCACGGCGGTGGTTGTTGTAGATGTTCTTATCTACCTGTTCCGCTGTTCTTCCCAGACATGGAGAATCCATCCCACACCAGATTGTTCAGAGATTCCGGATAAAGAATCTGATCGAGCTCGCCAGTCAAACAGCATGACGGGGCAATGTGAGAGAAGATTGAAGAGTGCCGAACGATTCCGGCGATCTCACGAGATACAAAGACAGATCCCCAAGACAATAAGAGAAGTCCCGAGCAAGGCGTGCCTGATGCGCATCTCCTCGCCGAGAATCATGGCGGAGACCGCGGTCGCCGCGAAGGTGACCGCGTTCGTCACCGGTACGGCCACGGAGATTGGGGAACTGCTCAACACGTAGAAGAAGGCGGCGGACGCCGACAAATTCACCAAGAAGGGCACCGAGTACTGCCATACCAAGAGGAGATCCAGCCATTTCCTCGCGTGCCCTAGGATCCGCTGGTGGAGTCGGTGATCAGAGCGATCTGCTTCCCGCCTTCCAGCTGATTGGAGCTTCCGGTCCCAGATCATCGCCCCGCGGCGCATGACGGCGTTCGTCGCGCCCCAGATGATCCCCACCGCGATCATCTTCTCCACGTCCGTCCCCATTCTCACCCACCTCCGATTTCTCTGCTGATCTTCCCTTCGGCCCTCCGCCCCCTTTTCAAATCACCGCGGTCAAAAAACAATCCTCGGGGAGGAAGTTTATAAAGCGGAAAATATTACCAAAAACCCTTAATTTATTAAATTTTTAATATACCCATAACTAATAGTAACCCACGGGATTCTAGTCCCAAACGCAAACTATTAAACCTCGAAGAATAACTAATCACGAGTATGCCCTTGTTAAATTTTAATATGGCAATTATTATCTGTCTCTCTGTCTGTCTCTGTCTGTCTCTCTCTCTCTCTCTCGCTTGGTCTCTCTCGCTCTCTCTCCCTTTCTCTCTCTTCCTCTCTCCCTCTCTCTCTCTTCCTCTTTCTCTCTCCCTTTCTCTCGCCCTCTCTCTCCCTTTCTCTCTCCCTCTCTCTTCCTCTCTCTCTCCCTCTCTCTCTCTTCCTCTTTCTCTCTCCCTCTCCCTCTCTCTCCCTTTCTCTCTCTCTCTCTCTCCCTCTCTCTCTTCCTCTCTCCCTCTCTCTCTCTCTCTTCTCCTCTCTCCTCTCTCCTCCTCTCTCCTCTCTCTTCCTCTCTCTCCCTCTCTCTCCTCTCCTCTCTCTCTCTCTCTCTCTCCCTCTCTCTCTCTTCCTCTCTCTCTCCCTCTCTCTCTCTTCCTCTCTCTCTCCTCTCTCTTCCTCTCTCTTCTCTCTCCTCTCTCTCCCTCTCTCTCTCTCTCCTCTCTCTCCTCTCTCTCTCTCTCTCTTCTCTCTCTCTCCTCTCCTCTCTCTCTCCTCTCTCTCTCTCTCTCCCTCTCTCTCCCTCTCTCTCCTTTCTCCCTTCTTTTCCCTCTCTCCCTTTTTCTCTCTCTCTCCCTCTCTCTCTCTCTCTCTCCCTCTCTCTCCCTCTCTCTCCCTCTCTCTCCCTTTCCCTCTCCCTTTCTCCCTCTCTCTCCCTCTCTCCCTCTCACAATGGGCCTTACTAAGTGTCATCATAGGTTAGTTATGACACAGTTAGAGATGTACCAAATAGTCCTAGTCAACGCATAAGTAGGTAGCCATTGACATTGCCCTTGAGGTGGATCAAGGTTCACAAGTTGTATCCTCTGGATCTCACGAAGGCTCTTGGTATAATTGAGTCATGCCCACGACGCCTGCCCACTTGTGCCATGTCGTGCTGGTCACAAGATAGATATGACAACCATAGAAAAATGCCACGTGGGCAACAACCATTGGAGACTTAATTACCGGTAATGGTAGTATAATGGCAATTACATCAACTACTTACAAGGCAAACACCACCATTTACTTATTATGAAGAATGAAACCTATTAGACCATACGAGAGCAACCTTCTAGAAATTAAATAAGATACGATAAAATAAAATAAAAATATTATATTAAAATATATCATAAAAATGTAGGATGATATTAAAGTATAGATAAAACATTATATATATATATTAAAATGTATATAATATTATCCAGCTGTGTATAAATAGTATGATCCTCGGAATTTCCGTCGACGGTGGTGATTGGCCCAAAATGTGTCGGCCCGAGAGCAACTGGACTCCACAGACCCGAGGCACAAGATGATGCGCATGAAGTATACGAAAAAGACACATATACCCCCAATTAAAGGACGAGCGTAAGGAGTTTGGAGGCTATTAGAGTCATTTTGTCGAGGGGCGGCTTTGTGGACGTAGTTTGGGTACCTTATGTCAGAATACTGAAAATGGCGGCCCCTCTCCTTCCCTTTCGGTTTCACGCCCCCCACCAGCTGACTCGCCGAGGGCAATCTCCGCCTCTGGCCTCTCCCACCGTCGGCTTCTGACACGCGGGGAGGGACATCACCGTTTTCCTCCGAGGAAGTCCTTCAGGAATCCCATTTCTTCTCCCCGGTCCCTGCCGTGGATTGCCTGCCTTCGTCAGTGGACGCTTTTGGGAATACCTAGTCGTATCCTGATGCTCGTGGGAGCATCCTGGTGAAGGAGTGCTGGGAATGGATCGGATCGTCGGCAGCAAATATAAGCTTGGACGAAAGATCGGGAGCGGATCGTTTGGGGAGATCTATCTAGGTGCGATCTGCGTACTCTGGTCGGAATTGTGTCCTCTGATGTATTTTTCTGTGGCCACTGACGACAAGTTTCGTCCCTTACAGCCACTCATGTGGACACCTTTGAGACCGTCGCTGTAAAGATCGTAAGGCTCCCTTGCCACCCATTATGTGTGATTTTTTTTTTTGCTCTTGGTCGCTAAACTTTCCGTCGTGGGGTTGAGCGTTTCTGGGAGGTTGCTGCGTGTCGACGTTTATCGTTCTTTAGTCCCCTTCAATTATATGCGTCTGCGAAATGATGTTAGTTGCAGCTCATTGTGATACATTCGCTGCAGTTCCTAAGATCCTGTTTCAGGGTTCTGTTCCGTGTGCCTGACCTGTTCTTAATTGGAAAATGTCTCGCACGTTTTTGAAAGTGTTAATTTTTTACACTTCTCCACTTTTTGATTTAGCACTTTTGGGCAGGTCTTTTTTGATTTCTCAAGATTGTGGATTTTTTCCATGTTATGATGATGAGGTATCTTTTGCCCGTGTAATTGCGTTATTTACGGATGGAAGCTACCTGGTCTTGGTGTAGTATGTATTCTCTCTAGGGTTTCCTGTTTAAATGTGCAAAAACTCATTTATTTATGCTTCTCCACCTTTCCATTACGGAAATTTCAATTTTTCATAACGAAGAACCTTGATAGACATCTTTGCATTGTTCTTTTATAGGAAACCAGCAAGACCAAACATCCCCAGTTGTTTTATGAGGCGAAGGTCTATAAAGCTCTTCAAGGAGAAGGTACGTGTATCTTTTTTTTTTAACATGATTATTGTTAATGGTCGTTACACAATTCTCTTTTCTTTGGTTCAGCTGGTCTTGCAAACATCAGGTGGTGTGGAAAAAATGGGGAAGACAATGTCCTTGTTCTTGACTTGCTTGGGCCTAGCCTTGAAGACCTCTTTGTTTATTGTGGAAGGAAGTTTTCACTGAAGACGGTCTTGATGTTGGCTGACCAGATGGTAAGATATTTTTGTACGTTAACTTCTGGAATCTTTTTCATTGTGCACCTTCAAATCTTATGGTCAGAATTTTTAAGTAATATATTATTCTCTGTCTTGTTGTCCATCACAGTTACTTTGATAGATAACGTTCTCAAGTGGTTCTTATTTTCCTAAAAGCATTAAACGTCAAGCCTTTTTTGCCTGTTTTTTTTCCAGATTCTTGACTGTTATTTTTTTCCTTTGCTCAATTCACCTTGTGGCAGGCGTGTGTTTAGAGACATCTCTTTTGTTTTGTCTATATCGTGGTTAAATTCTAGGTTAATGGATCCAATAAGAGAGAATAATCGTGAAGAATGAAGTTGTTGCTTTTTGGATGATTGCCTTCAGATCACCAGAATTGAGTATGTTCATGCGAAAGGATTTTTGCATCGGGACATCAAGCCAGATAACTTTCTCATGGGTCTTGGTCGGAAAGCAAACCAGGTAAAGATCTCAATTTAATATTTCTTTTTGGTCTCAACGTGTTCAATTTAATGCTCCTAAATGGATTGAATTCTCCAGGTGTATATCATTGATTTTGGACTTTCCAAAAGATATCGTGAGCCTAGCAACCGGCACATTCCATACAGGTAACTTCATAAAAAATCTGAGCTTGCTTCAGGACAGTTGGTTAAGTTGTTTTGGGAAAACATTTGAATTTGGTCCCTTGAAGCCATTTTCACAGGTTGAGAAGTCAAGCAGATCTTTATATTTGATGCTCATTCCATATGCTTTTGCTAAGAATTAATTAGAAAACGCAATGTAAACTTGTATTGCTCTAATTTTATTTTCTTTTTGCCTCATTCAGAGAGAACAAAAGCTTAATTGGTACTGCACGTTATGCTAGTTGCAATACTCATCTTGGTATTGGTAGGTCATCTTCCAAACAATAACTATTTAGTCTTTGATTGGAATGCTCCACATTTTTACCAGAAAAATCTATTTCATTTGGTCTCTGTTTTTTCTTTTCTTCAGAGCAAAGCCGGCGGGATGATTTAGAATCACTTGGCTATGTCTTATTGTACTTTCTGCGAGGGAGGTATAGCATTTGGTTATAATTTCATTTTTTATGGTATTTTTCTACGTCATTCATTCTTTTCACTTGATTTTGGGGAACATTTTTTTTCTTCTCCAAAATTTTGTCAAACATGCGCTGGTGCTTGTTCTCCCTTTTTGCCTCGGCTTGAAAGACTAACAATCATGATTTTTTGGTGATATGTTGGTTACTAATGAACGTGTTGTTGCTATGTAATGGATCATTAGCCCTGTTGCTACTCATTTTGTAGTTTACTTAGGAGATTGCCTGGATATCTGATGACATTAGTTGTGACGATCACCCATTTTGTTAATATGGATGAGGAATGGTTTCTGTTTCGAGGAGAATGTACTATTCTGCATGATGAAGTTGGTCCACAATCCCATTGTCCAGCGGTTTATAGCACAAGGACTTCTGCAGCTACAATTTTTTGTTAAATTCAACGAGTGTCGGACTGATAGATCCACTGTCTACAAAATTCGGTTTGGCATGGTTTGGCATCATGTTTGAACCTATCCACCTCAATTTTTATTTGGTTCATCGTAAACTATAAAGTAAGAACGTTTGGAGGTGGATAAATTTTTTCATTGTAGCAGTATACATCATTTATCCCTGTGATATATAATTTTTTTTTGGATTATTGGTCTGAAAATTTTCTCTTTGAGAATTCCCAGGCGACAACTTTTCTTCATCTTTTATTGCTCCGTGCAGTCTTCCATGGCAAGGCCTAAAGGCTGCCAACAAAAAGCAAAAGTATGAGAAAATTTGTGAGAAGAAACTTTCAACCCCAATTGAGGTGTGTATTATCAAGTTTGCTGTTCCCATATTCAATTGTTTAAAATACGCAAATGTCGGTCTGCTACTGAAAGACCAATTTTCTTACAGGTTTTATGCAAATCACATCCAGTCGAATTCGCGTCATACTTCCACTATTGTCATTCACTGACTTTTGACCAGCGACCTGATTACGGGTTTTTAAAACGATTGTTCAAGGAGTTGTTTATTCGTGAAGGTATCAACTACCAAAAGTACAATTTTGTGTTTTATGCTTGTGGTCCGTGACTTATCTATATATAATTAATGCCTGACTTTTCCCCAAAGACTCAATAGTAGTGTTTCCTTTGATGTAGCTCATAACTTTGCTGATGGAATGTGTTAATTTCTATTGGATGCAGGACATGAGCCTAATTACGTCTTTGATTGGACCATTTTAAAATACAACCAAGCTCAGAAAGTAAAGCCACAGCTTCAGCCACGACCTGAAAGTCAGCCTCAAGCTCTGTTTTCTGTTAGTATTCTGTCCATGGTCAGCCATATGAAGTATTGATTAGTTCAGAATTTCTGTTGTAAATTTGTACACATGGGGATTTTGATTGTTCAATGGGTGATTTTCAGTTCGTTTAAATTTCTCCTGTTTGACTAACAGACTTAATGGGGTAACCAATATCAATTGGTGCTTAATTTTGGATGTTTCTATGGAGGTAGTACGAAAGTTCCATCTGTAGCCCTTCTGACTTTTGATGGGTAAATTGCAGCCAGAGGCGGAAAGCAGGCCAATGCCAATGGATGTTGATAAGCATCAAGGTGGTGTTCAATCTCGTGTAATATTTTCTGCATCAAGTTGCACATTTAGTTCTATCTGAAAGTGCTAGAATAGTTTTTTGCTAAAATAATTTTCTTGTTACGGAACAGGCTTTCACATGGTGCTAGGAAAATGAGCTAACAAATGTTAATTCTTCTCTTTTGTATAAATAAAATCATATTCTGAATCATAACATTACCTCAAGATAGGAAGTGGGATTTTTATTGAATAAAATTAATATTTCCTTGTTAATTTATATGATTCGTATTTATCGTCTCGTTTTTTTCTAGAAAACAGATTTCTGTTTAACTATGCTTTTGGGAAAAGTATTCCTTGCATCAGATTAGCGCTTGACAAATTAAAATGTGCTTATACTAATATCACATTTAGTCAATCAGCAAGCAGAACATTGGCATTAAACTCAGTATTGTTCTCGTTGCTAGCAGAAACGATGCAATTCTGGGTTTTGTGTTACTATCTGAGAACGTGTGGTATCTATCTGATATTACGTAAACATGGTTCTTCTTATGCAGTAGAAGTAAGAGAGCATCCTGGATCCAGTACTGCCGTTCAACTTGGCAGACGGATGCAATTCAGGTCTAGAGCAGATGAGAACACTCATGGCAGCCACCATCATGAAAAAGCGGTTTGTTGTCCAATACCATAAAATAGATATTTATGTCTCTTCTTCAAGTGGAATCCTGTTTTTAGAACTTTTTGAATCACCTTGTTTAAAACTTCTTCATCTCTATGATCCCTGACCGTATGATGACATTATATTTCCGATTTCAATGAAATATTATTGCATTGTTACTATCCCTTCCTATACTTGATCTTCTTAGTTTGACTGGATTCGTCCTTCACAGGGACCGGGCATTGGTGTTGATGAAATGAACTCCCCTGCACTAGTGAATCTTTCTGGTTCTTCCTCAAAAAGGAGTAACGTGCCCAGGCCTTTTGGTTCAATTGATACTACGCACCTCGGTCAAGGTTCAGGAAGCAAAAATACTTCATCAGACAGTTGGATTCCTACCTTACAGAGGAATTCATCTGCAAAATGATTACCCAAGGTATCACTTCCATGTGAGAACTAACTTGCATTTTGCATGTAGCCTGTCTCATGTGATGATATCTGAGTTACAGTTTTGTTTTTCTATTTGGCTGTACCCTATGCTAAACATATGACCATTGACCGTTTCAATATCTATGCAAAGACCAACGTATATTGCATTTTTCTAAATAATTTGTGCATGTAGCAATCTGTGGACGTGGTTCACTTTTTTCCAGACATTGGGGAATACCCTTGTGCGCTTCTTCAAACTGTAGTTGTAACCGTGAACAGATTTTGTCTTCCTTCACACTGCACCAGAGCAAAAAGCAATAAGAACATCAGAGCTTCATCCCCACCCAGCTCAGTCCATCCATGGGTGGCATATAGTGGCATAGGAGGTTCAGCTTCCTGTACATAAAGATAATTCTTTGTATAATGTCTACCAAATGCATCCTACTCCTGCTATTCCCCTCTCAGCGGCAAGCTAAATACCTAAAATTTGAATTGAAGCTTTTGTTGAGATATCCAAGATATGATCTTACACCTTTGTGTGGATTTTTCAGTTCGGATACTGTTTTCTTCTAGGTTTTACCATGGACATATTTTAGTTCATAGATGGGAGAGCTTGAGGGATGCCTATTCTGTCATGTTTTATGAAAGAACCCTTTTTTCTAATTCAATCTTCCGGCTAAACCAGGTCTCTCTTCTTGGTAATGGATGTGAAAGAGGGAGAAGCTCTCTAGCAAAGAGAGGATGCGGAGTAATAGCGTCTCAGATCACCAAGGATGCAGTTAACACTCAGTACCCTTTAAATGAGGCGACCAACAGACATATCAGATGATGCAATGAATCACGGTCTCCTTAAGAAGCCCAGCTGCTGCGGAGTCAGATATCCTACACAGCCATTGGTCAGCAGCCTGATATTATGTGGTTTCATGTACTGTAGATGATGTTACATGAGTTGGGTCCATTTTTTTTCTTCCTCTGTAATATCTTGGTTATCACATGGTTACTATCGCTTGGTAATAACAGATTATGCCTTTTATATTGCATTTGATCCAGGGTTCTGGGCTTCATGTGTATTAACTGTCGCTGTGTTATTTGGTTCGAAGCTGTGGATGGTTCATCTGGATCTCAATTCTAAAGTTAGGTTCCTCAGGCCCTTTGAGAACATGAATGGAACACAATAATCTAGAGCTTTCCTGCGCTGGGTTTTCTGCCTCTTGCTCTGGGCATCTCTCTCTCTCTCCCTCTCTCCCTCTCTCTCTCTCTTCCCCTCTCTCTCCCTCTCTTATGTAAGTATGTTGCTGCTGCTTTTCAATGGGCTTTGCTTCTTACTTCATCAGTTTCCCTGTTTTCAGAGAGTCGGTCCTGTTAACTCATCATTTGAATTTATGTATTTTTTTTCTAATATCCAGAGACTGATGCCGAGTGGATCTCCAAGCTTGCCATGGAAACATATGAGAGTGGTTAGTTAGCCCACAGATTTGTATCCTCTCTGCTTCCTGCAAATTTGAATTGGCAATTTCAAATTAAACCCTCAGATTTATACTCTTCTTAAATTCTAACCCATCACCTTCCAGATTTTCTTGTCCTCCTTCCCCCCTGTTTCCAGAATCCTCCTTGAGAACCCTCCTCCCCCCAAAGTTTCTTATTTTCCCTGAGACAGAATAGCTTCATAGCTTTGATTTCTTCATGCAGGGTTGGTGGATCCGGTCGGAGACGACCTGTTCATCTTGTCCCTTCGTTGAACTGTAATTCTGTGGCATTTACAGTCTATCTGCTGTATGTTCTTCCCAATTACTGATTATAGTCAATGATTATATGTTGTTGTGTGCATTTGGAAGCAGCCGATCATATGAAGTTTATCTGATGATATATATATATATATATATTTGATTATGTGTTTTATTTTATTTTATGAAAATCCTCGCATGCTCTTATGAAACTATGGATTTCGGTTTTCTATCTTTTTTTTTCAAGCGGAACCCATCAGAGTTCGCAGGTTTCAGATAGTTTCTGGGGGGTCGCTGACCCAGAACAGGTCCTCTGTGGGTTTTCTCCAGAGGCCAGGATCGCCCATTTCCCGTCAACGTTTACAGCTCAAGTCAACAGCTTGGCGAGTTCATCCACTCCGAGGCTCCCATGGGGCACCATCTCCAGGAACCCATCGTTGACCTCTCTCCTGCGACTCGGCGGGATCTTCTTCTCCTTCAGGCTCTTGCCCATCTCCAGGAACCCATCGTTGATCTTCTCTCTCCTGCGACTCGGCGTGGCCTTCTTCTCCTTCAGGGTCTTGCCCATCTCCAGGAAGGGCCTCTCTTCCTCCTCGCTCCTCCGGTTGCCCTCCTTCGGGGCCTTCTGAGGGTGAGCTTTCTTGGCTCTGTGTCTGAAGACCGGCCCTGCTGGGGCTGTCCTCGCCAGCCGAGCTGCCCTCTCTCGGACTGAGTCGGCGTCCAGTGACTCGTCGTCCAAGACGACTGCTCCCCCGCTCTCAATGGCCAGGCTCAGCAGAGACCGAACTCCTGCCAAGCAAGCACTCGTAGAGGGATCGTCACCTTCCATGAATCGGTGATCTTCTGGGTTTCTGCTGCTACCACGGAGAGGGGGCTCTTCTGGAGGATCATCCTCCTCGGAGCTCGCCTCAAGGTCTGAAATGGCGCCCATTTCCTCCGCCGATTCTCCGATCAAGTCAGAGAGGAGGAGGGCGTCTTCTTCTGAGCAGTCAGTGGGACCCACAAGCGCCGCCGAGTTCTTGGGCTCTTCTGAACCGGGCTGTTCACTTCCTGATGGGAGAAGGGAGGATCTCCAGTCTCGTCCTCTCCACACGAGGATGTGCTCGAGCTCGAATGAGAGGAGGATGCAAGGGACCAGATCCTGTGGCCACAGCCGCAGAAGAAAAGCTCTCTAACCATTTTGGGAAAGAAAAAAAAACAAGATGAGCGTATAAAATGAGGAAGAGTTGACCAAACCTTCAACTTAGCTCCTATTTTCCGAGTGTCGCTCTTGTTCAGACCCTGGCAGTTGATCCGGACCAGCTCACATTCCTCAAATGCTTCCTTCACGTCCTTGACGAGGTTACAATACACGCCATTTTTCCCTGTACCCACATCATAAATGAATGATTTTTCAGGGTACCCATCTTCTATCTCGATAAAGGAGACATTTTTCCCTGTACCCACATCATCAATGTGATTTTTCTGGGCACCCATCATCTATCTCGATAAAGGAGACATTTTTCCCTGTACCCACATCATCAATTAATGATTTTTCTGGGTTCCCATCATCTATCTCGATAAAGGAGAGATTTTTCCCGGTACCCACATCATCAACGAATGATTTTTCTGGGTACCCATCATCTATCTCGATGAAGGAGACTTTTTTTTTTCTTGGGGGAAAAATGGTGGAGTAACTTTACCAAGCTTGCATATGGGAGTAAGCTTGCGGCCTATCTTGCGCATCTCCGTCGCCTCTTCTAGGGTTAATCCTTCTGGAGCACGCTGAACCAGCCTGGGATATACAGGTGGTATGGGTTTCCAGAGCATCAGAGGGAACCTGGGCCGGGTCCTGTAGTTGTAGTTTCTTCCACGAAACAGGAACACGACTCCACCTCTGCTGAATATCACCTTCCCTCCAGTTCTCTCCTGCCATGGAACCAGCATTTCATGTGAGGAAACAGAAAGGCTTCATCCTGATGATAGTAGGGAGATGTTCTTCTCCATTTTTTTTTGAGAAATATGTATGATTTTACGATATTAACTTTAATCATGAAAAGGTTCCGTGGCACAGTCAAATCCAGCTGGGTATTACGTTCTGATTCCCAAAAATAAAATAAAAATCCAGGTTAGGAGCAAGAGATCACGACAAATGAGAGGTGGGCAACAAAAGAACATGAAAATCATGGAACCCATTGGCTCCAGCACTCCAGTTGCTGAGACAGTGATCATGAGATCCAGTTCTCTTAAGTATGCATGGAAGAACAGGGCACTTTCTCCAGATTATCAGCTGGCAATCCATTCGAATAACCTCTCAAGACCAAGCAATTCAATGGTAGTATTTGGAACCATGGAGCAGGAAGAGTTGACCAGAGATTCACAGAGCAGACCTCCAGTTGTTGACGGACGTTGTCCATGTCGACCGTGCAGACCCCCTTGCACTTGATCTTGCACACTCTTCTCCGCTTCCAATGAGCATGTATATTATCCAGCATGTTGTGTGTTAAACCGTCTCGACCTGCAGAGCAGGACGATTTAGATCGGCTTTATCGGATGAGAAGCACCAATTCATTCCAAGAAACGAAGAGATGCGCCGATTTTCCTGCAGAAATGTGGGATCACGAGGTCAAGAAACGCACCGATGTTCAGCTGCCTCTTTGTCTTAATGCAGGCCTTGATCAGATCCTTCACCTCTTCCTGCGTCAGTGGCTCGCCAAGGGTCTCCTCCCTTGTGGCGGCTTCATATTTGGGCCCCGCCCCGGCCAGAAATGGCCCCGGCGACTGCACAGGCTTCACGCCCTTCTTCCCCGGCGGCGGTGGCCGGAAGGAGTCGAACTCGGGGAGCTTCTTCTTACTCGGAGGGAGCGGTGCCCTTCCCGTCCACGGCCGGGGCATCGTTGCAGGACCGAACGGCAGATAGGGCGGCTCCCGCAGCGCCAAGGGCTTCACCTTCGGCGTCTCCGTGTAGCTGTACTGGAACTCGAAAGGCGCGTTCCCAATCTTGTAGGCAACGCCATTCTCCCCGATAGTAATCTCGGGACGCTCGTCGGCTGCTTCCAGGGGGAGCCTCGCCGTACCCCTAGAAACACCGGCCACACGCCGGAAAGCGGGATGCGAACTGGCAGAGGCTCTGGAATTTCTAGGGTTCCCTCCGTTCGGCGGCGGCTTGGAGTACTTCGAGGCCTTCCCCGGGATGGAGGAGCGGGAGGGGGAAGAAGGCGTGCCCCGGGACTTGAAGTCCGAAGGGGAAACCTGCGGGGTAGCATCCTCGCAGTCCTCCACCATGCGATTGGCGCACTCGTAGCGGCGGTGGCGGCGGAGTTCGTCCTCGATCTCCTTCTGCTCCCGCTGGCGGCGGAGGAACGGCTCCGCGTTGGCGTTGTTCCATCGCGAGAGGCGGACCTCGGTGGCGGGCCTTCTGGAGGAAGGCGTCAAGAGGTTGGGCACGAAGATGGGGAACGGGCCGGCGATCTTCACCGCCATGGCAGACCTTCTCCACCGCCATAGCAGACCAGCAGCCAAAGCTATCTATCCTCCCTACGCTCCATCCTTCCCGATCAGACCTCCTTAAGTTTAATAAATACATTATTAGGCACACATTAATAATATTTGTATAAAAACTCTATTTCCACTTACTAGGTGGACCATATTGGGCTAGAAAATCTAGTCAATTATTCAAAATCATCTCCGTATTTCTTGGCCCAATAAAGCATCAACAGTCTTTATCGGGCCATATTAGGATGGGATTAATAAAAATGAGGCCCATAAAATAGGCCCAAACAGGTAGCCTACTCCTTCCCCTCCCTTATCCCGCGGCGGTGTCTTCTTCCATGGCCGACCGCCGCCGCCGCCGCCTTAGAAGTTCCTCCCCGCCGGCGCGCCGCCGCGCCATGGTCGAGCCGGCGGAGCAGATGATAGCTAACCTAGGGAACAGATGATCACTGGAGGCTCAGTGGCGGGCCGATCTCTCGGCCCGAGGTGGTGAAGAAGCGCCTCCGCCACCAGTTCGCCGGAGCAGGGATCGCCGCCGAGGAGGTTGGGACGTCAGCATCACGGTGGAGCCCTCTCATCGGAGAAGTCCCCGCCTCAGGCTTGAGTGGCGCCACTCATCCAAACAAAACCCTCCGTTCTCCTTCGATGCTTAACGGGGCGAGGCGAATTTAATGCGGGTTGAAGATGCCGCAGCCGCCAGCCTGTCCACATCAAGCGATGGTCTCCGGCTCCATCGCAGATCATGCCGTATAATCTCTCCACCGACCTCCGCCATGGCGCCGCCGACGAAATCTGGGAGAGGGTCTTTAAGAGGACGAGGGCTCGGTTTATTGCGTTGCGACAGAAAAATCCTCGAACTTAAGAGGGAAACTTCGCTTTCTGTGCTTACTTCAGCTGTCAGTTTGCGTTGATTGCCGCCGGACGGAGAGGGACGTGCTGTCTTCTGGTGCGGTGGCGGTGCGCCGGAGGGTTTTCTGCGTCCTGTTCATCAGGGGATTCCTTTCCGTTCTTCTTCTGCGGGTGGTGGCGATCCTTCTTCCTTTGATGGAGCGTCGGGAGGAGGGAAAAGGGGACAGATGAGGAGAAAGTGCTATTCTGATTCTTCTCCTCCTCCGCTCGTTCGAAATCGATAAGAGGACGAAGAATAGATCGTCCGCTAGCTCACTCCCTCCGCCGCACAGATCGCAATGGTGCGTCAAGGGATGGGCAAGAAGGAGGCGAACGGGAGCTCCCGTAAGGCTTCCTCGCCGGCGGATCTTCCGTCCCCGTACGGAGAATTGGGATGCGAGCTCTCCAGAGAAGATCTGCGGGAGACCGCCTATGAAATCTTCGTCGGCGCCTGCCGCGCCACCGGTGGGAAGCCCCTCACCTTCATCTCGCAGTCCGAGAGGGCTGCCGCAGGGGCAGCGGTGGAACGCTCGCTCTCCTCCTCTCTGTCGTCAAGCTCGTCGCCGTCGTCTCCCTCGCCGTCCCTCCACCGGTCGCTGACGTCCTCAGCAGCCCACCAGGTGAGGCGGGCGCTTGGCCTGAAGTCGAAGAAGAGCTCCGGTAAGGATGGCAGTTCATCGAAGGCAGTGAAGAAGCAATTGACAGTCGGGGAATTGATGAGGGTCCAGATGGGGATCTCGGAGCAGACGGATGCACGGATCCGGCGGGGTTTGCTCAGGATTTCAGCAGGACAGGTGAGCTGGGTCTCCGATTTCCGGAGAAACTGTGGTGTTGAAATTTTCTCTGTCGATCTTCCTAGAGCATCCTCTACAATTCTCCAGCTCCCTCGCAAATGAAGACGAAGATCCAAGCTTCTGGTTGTCCTCTCTTGGCATGCCCACCAATCGAGGGTCATTACGCTGCCAGTCATTGACTACTGTTAATCTTCATGGGACCTGATTTGATCCGTTCATGTTCTTCACAGCGGCTGAATTCGGTTCATACTTCATTCACATTAGTCCCTCCTTTAATATTCAGATTTCTTTCACATATCATTTTTTATAAATCTGGTCTATTTTTCTATGATAAGAACTCAATTATCTCAACAGATGCATCTATATTCTTTTTTTAGCTGATTCTGTGAGAATAAGAATTTTTTCTTCTGATCTTTAATCTCCATGCTGGTATGAATGATATTGTCAAGTTGATCTGACCATGGTCGTGATATTAATGAGTGGTGCATAAACCCTTTTTGCTAGAAAAGGAAAAATATGTTGAATCATCTGTTCAGGAACGTGCATAGAAATTTGTTTTGAAGACTTGTTCTTGCCGAAATTCTGAGAAATAAATTAACCGCAGCCCTGTCCTCTCCTAACAGCTAGGAAGGCGCATAGAATCCATGATCTTGCCATTAGAGCTTTTACAGCAGTTGAGGTCCTCAGATTTTCCAGATCAAAGTGAATATGAATCGTGGCAGACGAGATACTTGAAGATCCTCGACGCCGGGCTGCTCCTTCATCCTCATTTCCCTGTAGAAAAGTCAGATGCTGCCTCACAGCAGCTCCGGCGGATCATCCAGGGAGCTCTTGGGAGGCCTCTGGAGACTGGAATGCATTCAGAATCGATGCAGGCCTTGCGAAATGCTGCCATGGCAGTTGCTTGCAGATCATCCGACGGGTCAGCTGCTGACAGGTGCCACTGGGCAGACGGGATCCCTCTGAATCTTCATCTGTACCAGATGCTTTTGGAAGCTTGCTTTGACAATGAAGATGGATCGGTTGTCGAGGAGATTGACGAGGCTATGGAGCAGATTAAGAAGACCTGGGTGATCCTTGGAATGAATCAGAGGCTCCATAATCTCTGCTTCACGTTGACCTTGTTTCAGCATTTTGTGGCGACGGGGCAAGCTGACTCTGAGTTAATCATTGCTGCTGATAACCAGCTGGGTGAAGTTGCAGAGAACGCCAAGACCGCCAAGGACCCTCTGTACTCCAAGCTGTTGAGTTCAACTCTGAGCCTGATGATGAACTGGGCCGAACAGCGCCTTCTTGCATACCATGATACCTTCCATGCTGGCAACGTTGACTTAATGCAGAGTATTGTTTCTTTGGGAGTTTCTTCTGCAAAGATATTGGCGGAGGATACAGCCCACGAGCATCGCCGTAGAAGGAGAGAAGAAGTGGATGTGGCTCGCAGCAGAGTAGATGCTTATATAAGGTCCTCACTCCGAACAGCTTTTGCAGAGGTAAGCCAGTGAATCATAACCTTACCATATTTATATATTTGAAATATTTCATTTTATTATTCTGAAATATTATAATTTTTATTCGGAAATTATGGATTTTATCACCCTTAGCCATGTGTTCTTCCCAAGAATTTTATTATTAAATATATTATCATATCATATATAGTTTACTAGCATGAATTGGCTGATAAATTTACCCAGTATGATCACATTTTTCATTCTTAAATATCAACCCATCGCAGAGAATGGAACAACCGGACATGAGCAGGCGCTCCATATGGATCTTATCACCCTCAGTTCTATGTTCTTCCCAAGAACTTTATTATTAAATAAATTATCATATAATTATCATACTATATATAGTCTATTAGCATGAATTGGGCTGATAAATTTACCCAGTATGATCACATTTTTCACATCTTTTATCATCATCAACCCATTGCAGAGAATGGAACAAGCTGACATGATCAGACGCTCCATGAGGGGCCGTCCCTCTCCTGTTCTCTCCATCCTCGCCAAGGACGTCGGTATCCTAGCAATCAAGGAGAAAGAGGTATTCAGCCCAGTGCTGAAGAGATGGCATCCTCTCGCTGCCGGCATTGCTGTTGCAACCCTGCACTTATGCTATGCAAACGAGCTGAAGCAATTCGTCTCCGGCATCACGGAGCTGACGCCTGATACCGTTGAAGTGCTGAAAGCTGCAGATAAGCTAGAGAAGGACCTTGTCCAGATCGCTGTGGAAGACTCAGTAGAAAGTGAGGATGGTGGGAAGGCCATCATCCGTGAGATGCCCCCTTTCGAGGCTGAATCCGCCATGGCCAGGCTTGCTAGGACCTGGATCGGAAGAAGGGTTGACGCCCTGAGTGAATGGGTCACTCGGACCCTGCAGAAAGAGGTTTGACTCTGCACCTCGCGCTGACTTTTCCATCAGCTTGCCGTTTTTGCGTTTTTTTTTTTTTTTGGGGGTAAAGAGTGAGTTATATTCGTCTTTTCCATTTCAAGATTCCATCTTTTGTTCCTTTTTTTGGATTCTCTGCTTGGTCTTATAATCACATGTAACAGTTAATCATCCTCTTGGATGTGTTTGTTGAGGATGATGGATGTTCTGACGGTGGTCAACTCCTTCCCTCTAGGGCAATAAGGAGAACCTTGCCCCTGCCGTTGACCTTCTGAGACCAGTGGAGGAGACCATCGACGCCTTCTTCCAGCTCCCGATTCCAATGCACTACGCTCTGCTTCCAGAGTTGCTGACCGGCCTGGACAGGAGCGTTCAGCTCTGCATCTCCAGCACGAAGGCCGGACGCGGTGAGAGCTCTCAAAAACCATGAAAAAACTTCAATGGAGATGTAGAAATCCCCCTCCCCCCCGTCTCATTCATCTTCCCCGTTGCAGGAACACCCGCTGACTTCGCCCCCGAGCTGCCGCCGCTGACCAGATGCGCGGCGGAGTCCAAGCTCTGGAGGAAGAAGGAGAAGCCGCCTAACCCCCAGCGAAGCCGATCGCCGGTGGACCCTTCCGACTTGGCCAAGCTCTGCGCCGCCATGAACACCCTCCACCACATTCGGACAGAACTGGAGAGACTGGAGAAGAGATCCTCCGATTCCCTGAGGAAATCCGCCGGCGGCGAGCTGGCGGCGGCGAGAATGTTCGAGCTCTCCGCCGCCGCCTGCCGGGAAGGGATCCAGCAGCTCTGCGAGATCGCCGCCTACCGGATCGTCTTCCACGAGCTGAACCACGTCCTGTGGGACGGGCTGTATGTCCGCGAGGCGGCGGCGGCGAGGGTGGCGCCGCTGCTGAAGGAGCTGGACCTGGTTCTGGAGAAGATCTCGAGCTCCCTCCACAACAGAGTGAGGAACAGGGCGATCACCTCCCTGATGAAGGCCTCCTTCGAAGGGTTCCTCCTGGTTCTGCTCGCCGGAGGACCCTCACGGGCCTTCTCCATCGGAGATTCTCAGATTCTTGAAGACGACTTCAGGGCACTCAGAGAGCTCTACCTCGCCGACGGCGACGGATTGCCGGAGGAGATCGTGGACAAGGCGGCGGCTCAGGCGAGGGAGCTTCTTCCGCTCTTCCGGGTCGACACAGAAACCCTGATCTCCCGGTTCAGGGCGGCGATGGTGGCGTACGGCGGCGCCTCCAGGTCGAAGCTCCAGCTGCCGCCGACACCGGGGAGGTGGAGCCCGTCGGACCCCAACACTCTGCTCCGCGTCTTGTGCCACCGCAACGACGAGCCCGCCTCCAAGTTTCTGAAGAAGACCTACGGCCTCCCCAAGAAGCTCTGAACGACGTCCAGACAGACATCATCTCCATCTACCTTCTTCTTCTTCTTCTTCTTCTTCGTAAATTCGTCAGCTTTTCTCTCTCTGTAAATGGGTTCTGGCCTGGGTTTCAGGCGCCGCTGATGGTCCACGAAGGTCTGTTCTTGTAGCCCATTTCCAAACATGGCAAAAAAATTCTCCTTGAACCAGTCAAATGCCTCGGTTGACCTCTTGACCCTGATACCCGACGACTGTGGACCGCTTTTATTTATTTATTTGAATTTAATCCGACGAGAGCACGTTCCCCTGTTCAACCGCCCCAGGGGGTGAGAAGCCGGACCGACGCAGGGAGAGAAGGCAACCGCTGTAACCGTCACCCGCCGCCACTCTCCCCACCCTCCCCCCCCTTCCTTCTCCCTTAAAAGCCCACTACTTTCTATCAATCTCCCTTCCTCGGCCATTCTCTCCCTCACCCACTCACCCTCTCACCCTCTCACCCACTGAAGCGCCAGTGAAGAGAGAGAGAGAGATGAAGAGGGGTCGTCTGACGGCTCTCTGCTTGGCACTCTCCCTCGCCGCCAGCGTGGCCGCCGGGGAGCAGTTCAAGGTGGGCGACGAGGAGGGGTGGCGGGAGCCCGACCCCGCCCACGCCGACATGTACGCCCTCTGGGCAGGCAGGACCACCTTTCGCGCCGGCGACTCCCTCTGTAAGCTTCTTTCTTCTTCCTCCTATGTTTTCTGTCTACTGGTCTCCGATGGGCTTCTGTCTTTCCCGTTCCTCCTCTGTTTTTCTCTCTCTACTGGTCTCCGATGGGCTTCTTTCTTCTTCTTCCTCCTGTGTTTTCTGTCTACTGGACTCAAATGGGCTTTCGTCTTCTTCCTCTCGTGTTTTCTCTCTCTACTGGTCTCCGACGGGCTTGCCTTTCTTCTTCCTCCGGTTCTCTCCCTCTGTCTCTCTCTACTGGTCTGAGGGTCTCTGGGTGGCGCAGACTTCGAGTACAGCAGCGAGGACTCGGTGCTGCTGGTGGACAAGAGGGGCTACTATCACTGCAACACCACCAACGCCACCGCCGCCTTCCACGACGGGAAGACCCTCTTCCCCCTCCCCGCCGCCGCCCTCCTCTACTTCATCAGCGGCGCTTCCGGCCACTGCCCCCACGGCCAGCGCCTAATCATCGACGTCCTCCCACCGGCGGTGGCACCAGTACCCTCCCTCCCACCGATGGCGGCGCCGCCACCCTCCCTCCCACCGGTGGAGGCACCGCCACCCTCCTTCCCACCGGTGGAGACGCCGCCGCCCTCCCTCCAACTGGTGGAGACCCCGCCGCCCTCCCTCCCACCGGTGGCGGCACCGCTGCCCAGCGCCGCCGACCCGCGACCGGTGGCGGCGGGTCTCGCCTCCCTGGTGATGATGGCTGTGGCTTCCCTGTGAACGGCGGCAGTTTCTTTGTTTTTCCTTTTCAAGTGTTTTCCTCCCCTCCCGTTGACTTCTCTCAATTAAATTAAATATTAGAGAGAGACATTGAGAAGAACAAGTTTTACCCAAAAGGGCCCAAGATCATAGATAGACTTGGAAGGAAGGTCAACGAGAGACGACTACAGAGAGAAGACAAGGCAATCACCTGTGTAGAAGCTGAGACTCTTCGACGGATCAGTCTCCTCTGTCGTCAACGCCAATCTCTCACTCAAACACGTTGGCGTCAATCTGCTGAATGTTTGGGAAGATTCCGCGGAGAGCCGTCAAATAATCTGGCAATCCAGCCTGCGCGAGTCATCAGTTGGAGGAAAAAGCCCTCCGTAAGTCAACGCCCATCCCAAAGGTGGAAAAGAATCGGCGGGTTAGATCAAAATTATCCGATGTAAGGCAGGTAAGATATAGATCGAGCCTTTGAATCGTTAGATAACCAGCCACAAATGATCTTCCTATAAGTGGAAAAGAAAGAAAGAACCCTAAAATGAAAGCAAGTTGCACGAGGGGGGAAGAGAAGGGAAGGAGAGAGATTCGTACACATGGGTTGTTCTCGAGATATAAAGTCGTCAGCTTTTCTCTGGACCCAGAGACAGCAGCATCTAAGCCCTCCAGGGAAGGTATCTGGTTGTCATTGAGCCAAAGATCCTCTAACCTGTTCAACAATCACAGACAAAACCCTCAAGAAATCTCAGAGGCGTTGTTTTTTTTTCTTTTTCATTTATTTTTTTTTTTACCTCGTCAGATCGCTGATGCCTTCGACCAAGGTGAGTTTGTTGTTGGAGATGTCCAAGACACGTAGATTCTCCAAGGAGGACAGGCCCTCCATTCTGGTGATGCCATTATGGCTCAGGTACAGTTCTTCCAGGGCGACGCAGTCCTGAGAGCAAGACGCAGGGGGTCCAAACCCTTTCCATATTGGGAACTTTAAGATCCTAATGGGGAGTGGATAGTTCATGGATTTGAACCTGAAATCCCGCCATGGATGTCAGGCGGTTGCTCTGAAGGCTGATTCTCCTGATGCGCTTCAGCCCGCAGAGGTTTACTGCCTTGATGCGGTTTCGACCAAGCCACAGCTCCTCCAAGTTTGTCAAGTTCTCCAGGTTCTCCATGACCTGCGATTGCAACCCGACTGCCACGTCATGATGAAGTCAACGCAATTTACACCCTTGTGTTCGTGTTCATAGCTGAAATCTGAACCAATAAGCATGGTGGAGAAAACATAGGATCGGATGAAATGGGAAGCATGATCGCAATGATGTCCAATTGAGAGTGAATGCTTGGATCATAGTCAAATTTTTCATGAGAAGACCAGGTAAGTTCAACGCCAATCAATCAAGGTGATTAACAACCCTGCTCTGAGAAAATTAACAGACCAAATTTCTCCCGTGATGTATAGAACATGGTAGCTAGGCCTGGTCCACTCTAGAGCCAGAAGTTTATTTGACTTTCTTCTGAGCAACGGAAAATCAAAGTAAGCAGGGAGAGAGAGAGAAAAAGAACTGACTCGCAATCTATTTGAACCGAGTTCCAGAATCCTCAGATGATGAAAGTGCGAGAGTTCCTCCATCTTGGTAACCTCGTTCTTCGAGACATACAACTCTTCCAGCAAATTCGAGACATCAGCCAACCCATTCATGGAAGTTATTTCGTTGAAAGATACGTCAAACACCACCAGGCTTTTGTAAATTCTGACATCAGGTATTCTTCTGAGCCTATTGTCCCTGATTACCAGCTCCTGCAGGCAATAACATTCCCAGCTAAGCACATATGCAAGAAAGAAAAGAAAATAAAATAAAATAAAAATAGAAAAATAGAAAAATAGAAAAATAGAAATAGGCCCATGTATTCAAGAGATGAGCTTTCTTATTTACATGTCATTTTGGACAAGAAAATACAAGGGCCTGTGACTAAATTTGGTGAGCTCCCATCTCTATTGGCTAAAGTATGTAGAGAATCTTAACATTGTAATAAAATAAATACATAAATCAGCAATCGGCAAGATATAGTCCCTTGGAAATCCATAAACACATACATCATATGCGAGTCCCATTCTACCACCCGGAGGAACAGGATTATGCTGAAAACCGCACTTTTAGGTCTTTGCCCAGGATGTACACGAAGCGATGGATTGAAAGAAGATGGAAAAATAAAGAAGAGAATAGAGTGAGAGTCAGTGAATCCGTGTAAGGATTCAGAGAGAGAGAGAGAGAGAGAGAGAGAGAGAGAGAGAGAGAGAGCTTGAAAAACCAACAATTGGGAGCCTTAAAAATAAGCTCGAGAAGTCCAGCTCTACAAATAGCGAGAACTATACACAATATATTTTTCTTCCATGAAAAGCAGGTTCTACGATTGGTATGGTAATTAGGACAAGGATCAGCGAGATATTGGAGAAGCACTCAATGAGCAAGGGCTCAACAGACTTGGATTTCACTCAATCTGAATTAGCCACACATTTGCTCACTTCTTCAGGGAAATTTGAAATAAAAAATTTCGAGGAAATCTGAAAAGGTTTTTAATCATAAAAAAATGGATAGGACCCTAATCTTGTGACATTGTTTGAAAGCTAGAGCGTGATTTTCGCTCCAATAATAACGCCATCCCTTTTCATAAAGTAAGTTCCCTTGGTATTCATATTGATCGTCAAACTTCATTACCTGAAAAAAAAAAACAGCCCGATGATGATTTTCTGGAAAACCTACCTACAGTCCCCAATGTTTCCATTTCTTTGCTATAGATAGATCTTGGATAGACACTTCAGACATATGAATAAGGTATTCTGTATTCCCACGGCCCAAGATCCTTATGTCAGCATGTTCCTAAATGTATTCCATACACCAAACTTCAGGCAACGCTCGCTACAGAAACTACGATGTCAATTCCAAACTTCCAATCTCAACTGTCTAACAAGAAAGAAAAATGGAAGGGCTCAACCGATTCCACCCGCTTGATACTCACAAGCTGATCAAATAAGTAAAAACGAAAAATATCAAAAACGACCTCCTATTTGCATTAACTGGCTAAGGAAAAAAATTCCCGTGGACTTTCAGATACCAAATATTTTTTTTCAAATATCCTGACACTCATCACAACAACTTCACACCTTGGCATCCAGGAAATCATAGTGTCGTTGCAGTCACAATACCTGTAATCCAGAAATCGCCGTCCACTGTGAAATGGGGGCGATGCCGTCGTCATCAAATAGATTCTGCCGTAGCGACAGCTTGTTGAGACAAGAAAGGAGGTTGATTCGCACATCCAGCGTGGTGAGCCTGTTTGCCGTCAGATCCAACTCCACCAGTGTTTCGGGGATATCAACTCCTCCGAGATCATGGAGCTGGAAGCTCGTCAGGTCGAGGTGGGTCCGGGCAGAGCCCTCCTCCGTCTCTCCCTCTCCTCCACCACCTCCCTTCAACTCGGGCTCCGACTCCTTTCCACCGTCGCTTTCCATCGGAGAACTCCAAACCTCACGAAGGAACCCTAAACCGCAGCCATCGAGGTCTGAAGCCACCGCCGGATTCCGATCACCATTTCTTCCACGTCCAAATTGGAGATCCCTTCTCTCTCCTAGCAATGATTCCCATATTTATAGGGTCATCTTATGTTAATGGGCCTAACCAGCCCAGATATCAGTCAACGCGGCCCATTTAACATGAGGTTAACCAAGATGGAGCCCAGCGTGACGGCATGGCCTAATATGACCCAGTAGCCCAAAGTTTGGAAAAGGCCTTTTCAGAATGCATTCTATATTTGATCTTGAATAAGCCGAACCCAGAATATGTAAGCAGTTTCATAGAAGAATGGATTGTAATGGTTTCCAAGAAATCACATCAATTGCATATACAAGGATCTCATAAACCTTTTAAATTCTGATTTTCACCAATCAAGGGAAAAAATAAATTGTCTATTTATCATAAGGTGCAATATGACAATGTGGTTCAATATGACTCAGTAGCCCAAGTGGAAATTTTTGAAAAGGCCTTTCCCTAATGCACTTTATATTTGACCAAGAATGAGATGAGTCCAAAATTCACAATCTCATGTGATTAATAGGCCAAAATTTTAGTATGCACAATCAATTGGATCAGAAAATTCAAGTTGTTGATTATCTTGATCAACTAATCCAAAATCTCATCAACCTCTCCAATTGAGTACTAATTCCATAGAATAATTCTCGCTAAAGAATTCTCAGAAATCCAGGTCAAATATATATATATATATATATATATATATCTAAGAATTTCATAGAAAAACTAATTTTTTGTCTTCATAAACCATGAATTGATTAAGAAGAAAATAAATTATCTACTAATTATGAAGTTAACCAAAATGAATTAGTGTGATGAGTGGTAGGTTCTACTCTCTCAAAGACCATTTACAACACTCCAATAATAGGGTGAATACGTGAATGATGCTCTCTTCTTTAGGGTGGTTCAGGTATCAGATGCACTTAGAAACTAAGTGAATTCCACACCTCTTAATGTTGTTATCTAATAGTAGCATATTTTGACACTCTCCATAGGAAGAAGGAGATTTTTGTGGATAGACCATTAGGTCAAATTGTCTTTCCCCAAGGTTTTACCTCCTTTCTTATTCTCTCCCAAGCAAAGATAGTTATAAACTCTCAATGGGTAGTTAAAGTCTAGATATCTCTCTGATTATAGTATAAAGTACATAATATACTTCATGTTACTACTTATTTCTTAGAGGAATCTTAATTATAATCATTGGATTCGAGATCTATTGTAGAATCCAAACTTAAAGTCATGATTTAAGACATATGTGAAGCGCTATGGATTAAAGGGATCTTAGAAGATCTCAAGATCCAGTACGGTTCACCCACTAAGCTTCTATGTGACAATTAGTCAATTATAGATCTAGCTCACAATTTTGTACATCACAATCAAATTAAGTGTATGGAGGCGAATAATTATTTCATCAAGGAGAAAATAGAAAATGAGATACTTTATATCAAATATGTCAAGTCCAAAGACCAATATGCAGACATTTTTATCAAGGGGCTCTTTGGTCCTATGATGCGAAAATTGTTGGGCAACTTGGAGATGGAAGATATCTACTCCCCAACTTAAGTGGGAGTATTAGAAAATATTATGTCCTTCATGTTTTTATGTTGTCGGGTCCTCCATATATTTGAGGTCAATGAGTCAAGCCACTTATACATGACAGTTGACTTGATAGCCACTAGTTATGTACTTATAGGGCCTCAGGGCCCTAAATTGAATAATATATTTCTTTTTGTTACTGTTACCCTCAAGTTACATCCAGTGGCTGTGCATTTGCTCATGACATGAGAGATGGATTCTAAAAAATGTTTAACACAACATTTATTGAAGTGGTGTGAAATAATGTATAAAAAAAGTATGATGGAGCCACTTCTAATCCCAAATCAATTATAAGATGACTTATTAATGAACATTATCGACATATTACAGGGATTGAAAGACTTCAATGTTACTATGATGATGGTAGACTACCTCATTAAAAATGTTTATTTCACACCTCTCAAGGATCCATACATGACTTAGTACATGACTTATTTTTTCACTAAAGAAATTATTCATGTAGAGAGCATTTCATGTTCTATTGTAAGTAATTATGACAAAATCTTCTTAAATAATTTTTGTCTGAAGGTTTATTAAGTATAGAGCACAAAGTTGTGTCAAAGTACCATATATCACCATCAAATTAATGGGCAAAAAAGGTATTTAATCATGGCTTATAAACTTATTTGTAGTATTTTTCTAATGAATGACTAATGATGTGGAGTAAATAGTTGACATAAGTCTGAGTATTGGTATAATATAAACTTCTATTACTTCACAACATTAACTCATTTCAAGATTATATATGGTTGAGATCCCCCACCATTATTGTATCTACATACCCTATCAACATATATCTCATATAATGATGAACAATTACAAGAAAGCAATCAAATATTATACTAACTCAATCAATATGTGCTTCAAGTGCAAGTCCAAATGAAAATATAATCAAATTTCAAGTGTTAAATGATTCATTTTACATCATGTGATTGGGTGTACCTTAAGTTCAATCCCTACAGCATGTAATCGTTGGCACATACCATGAATGGGGAGTTAACATCCCATTATGTCAGACCATGTCAAGTGCTTAAAAAGATTAAACTAGTAGCTTACTGTCTGGCGCTTCTATCAATGACTATCATTCACCATAATTTTCATATTCTACAGCTTAAACACTTAGTTGGCATCACCAATTCTAGTCAAACCTCTTCCCCCATTACTTGATGAGGAACTCACATGGGCAATTCAACTACAACACATACTAGTTGTATCCATTCTCTTCATGAGAGTCAACTGTAGTTATTTACTTCATTTTTCCTTCATTTCATCTTGAGGACAAGGTGTTATATACAAAGAGTAATGTTAGGCCCTCAATAAGTATAATATATATCTCAGCAAAAGACAATAATCCACCCACTCACCCAGATAGTGTAAACATGAGGGAAGGGCAAATATGTCTTTGATAGGGTCAAGTGAGCAAAGGAAAGAGGGGGGAAGAGGTTGTGGGAAAGTGAAGGTCTCTAGCGTCCCTCAAGAGTCTAAGGTTTTCACATCTCTATTTCTTTATTCTATTTTCCATATTTCTATCCTCTTTCTTATTCGGACTAAGATTCTTATCAAAATGCATTCTATAGTCAATCTAGAATGAGTCTAACATTTTCTTAGGCACTGAAACTTCTTATATTTTGCTTATTTTGTGCTATTTCTTATCTGGACCAAGTCTCTTATCAAATGGATTTTGTATTTGACCTAGAATGAGACAAGCCCAGAATCCGTAGCCTCTGTAAGTGATTAACGAGCCGAAATTTCAACTTGGGCAATCAATCGGATTCACAGAATCAAGTTACTGATTCTAACCCAATCTTAATCGGCTGTTCCAAAATCCCATCCTCTCTGACCCAAACAGTAGTGTCATAAGATATTGTGTTATGGCCCGATTATTAACCTACAATCAGAGAGAGAAGAAAACCCCAAAAAACCCTCAATAATTAGGGTTTTCAGGAGGGTAAGTGGTCCAAATATTGGGAATGGATGGGTATATTAGGATTTCCCCAAATATATAAGGACCAGCCTTTTCTGGTGAGTCGTAAGAGGGGAGGCAAGAGACTTCTTCAGACATCTCCCCAGGTGAAGGCTGGATCTTTCCTTTTTCCTCCCTTGAGTCTATTCCTCTGCTGTTTCTTGTTTCTCCCTGTTTTCCCTTCTGAAATCAGAGTTTTACCAATGGGATCATATCACAACGCCTTGTAAAGATTTCCCAGGTCTCATGTCAAAATACATATACAAAATCTTTTGAAATTCTGGTTTTCATCGATCGATCGTTTATCAATTCAATGGAAAAAATAAATTGCCCAACATGAAAGCATTCATCGATGTTGATCATAGATCAGTCGGTGGGCTGAGCTCAGACACCGAATATCAAGTCTATGACCTTGGCGCCAATGGACTTTGTGGGAGTTGCAACTACTGCCGCAAGTCTGCCGCTCTCAGAGATGGCCGTGCTATTGGAATTGAGATGGTATGGGCGAGAAGATGGAGTCCTCCCTGATAATGAAGGCTGCAGGGACGAGGGAACCTCGGAGCAGCCCACCGGATCACTGCTGCTGATTGTTTCATCCAGGAACTGACATGATGTTGGATGCACATGCTTTACTCCAACAATAAGAAGGCTATTCATCTGCAGTCCGTTCTTTGCAAGGGCCTTCTGGGCATCATACTGGTTCTGAGAGTGGGGGGGAAGAGGAAAGATCAGCAAGCTTTGACAATCAACAATTCCAATCTCTAGTGATGATCACGAGAAGTAAGTCAAAGAATGAAGAAGAGAAAGAGCAAGGATTCAACGGAGGCTTCCCACAGTGGGAACTGCCAGAGAGTCCTTAAACAAAAAACCAATCAAAATTTTACGAAGAAAATGTGGGTGGGGATAAATCTCAGGATGGGCTTTGGCATATGGAAGAGGGTTTCAAGGGTAATTTAAGAACATTTGAGGAGAGAGATTAAGATGTCTGAATGGGAGGGGCAATGAAATTTATGCGTACAAATGGAAATAAAGCAAACCTGATAGAGAATATGCATCCAGTTGGCATCCCCTGGTCCAGGGACATGTCTCAGGATAGCGCCACACTTCTCAAATTCACGCAGTATAAGGTTGGTATCGCATGGAGGAAATCTGTTGAAGGAAGAACGATTCATGGAAGATTACAAGAAATTACAACGCAGAGGAACAGAAGAAAATTACTGTCAACTCTATGACGTATGCACACACGTGGTAAATCCCGATCGAAATCCCCAAATCCATAGAACATAGTATGAAACCGGGAATCGACAAGATCATCCGATTTTGGAAGTAGAAGAGAAGTGGAGCTATCTGACTAAAGAAATGATCATAGTTGATCTGTAATTTTTAGCCCAACCAATTTTGGTTTTACTCTCCCCCCCAACAGCTCTTCCGTTGGACCTCCGAATCAGGCTGAGCTGAGATCAGATCCTACAATTGCAAAGATTGGGTTTTTCCAAGCTTCACTACATCACACGCTCAACAGAAGTACAACCTTTGATATCTAAATGGCGGGATTATTCTCTATACGTAACATTCCTCAGATCTCGTTCGATCAAAAAAGGATTATTCGACACTCATAAGAATTTATATATTCTTTGACAGATCACGAATTCACCGACCAAAGCGGAGGACACAGTTTACAAATCTTTCTTTCACCTAGTTAGAGTTTGATCGGCCATTCCAGGTCTGTGGAGCTTGGGATGGTTTTTTTGAAGGACACATTGTCGATGAACACCATTACAGATTGCTACAACGTCTCCAATTAAAGGGACAAATGAATGGTGGACGATGAGCATACAGGAAGCAAAAAAAACGGAACCAGGATATTCTTACCCGTAAACCGTGACCCAAGCCTCGGAGATATTGCCAATGGGCACTACATTCCTCTGCAACCCTGGCTTCACTGCCTCCCTTGGAGTTGGAAGCGTGATCAAAGGACCAGAATGAACCACCCCATCCACAGGTGATCCCTTCCCTTTCTCATAGTAACGGTCGTCGCTGCTCTTCGTGGGAGACCACCAGGTGGATATCCCTGAAGTCTGCTGCTGCTGATACTCTATGCTCTGTGATCTCCCGGTGAAAGCAACGCCTGAAGTACTCTCCTCGGATCTGCCCGTAAGTGGAGACGGAGATGCTGCAAGAGGCGACGGGGTTCTCATCTCCGACCTGAATCCCGGGGAAGAAGGAAAATCCCCCACCCCGGTCTCCGGAGAGAAATCAGCACGCTCGTCCAACGTGAAGACCGGCGGCGGAGGGGTTTCTTTTCCCCCGAATTTCTCTTGCCATAGCCTGGACACAGCCGCAGCCTGGCCAGAAGTGGCGAAATTCCCCCGGTGGGCGACCGGCGAAGCCAAGTCGCGGTAGAACAACGGCCGTCGCTCAGATCTGGGGACGCTCCTCTGCACCGTCGCGCTCATCACCGAAGCCCACTGATTCCTCAAAGAGCAAGCAAGCCCTCGAATCCCGGCGGGAAGAGAGCGGGGAATCCTCGAATCGATCGAGGAAGTGCAGCGACGATCCCTCCAATCCCAGCAAAACCCTAGCAGCGGTGGAATTGGAGGAGGCGGGCTGATTGTTACCATCCTCACTACTATTTCGAATCGCGAGTGTTCCGCCATTTTGGTGTGGCCCACATTTCTATTTGTCATTTTACCATAAATACAGGTGGCATCATATTATTTACGACGTACTGGTATATGTACATCACTATGTTTCCATCGTCTTGCAAGGAGGCATTCCGTCTTCCCCACGGCGAGCCATACCGAAGTTCAACCTGCGCAGGAGGACCCTCCGACGGTCGCCGCCGTCTCGTCCTCGCCGATGTACGCCCCGAGATTGAGGTACCTTTCCGTTTCCTTTCTCTCCTTCCACCTCGCCCTGCACAGCACGCAGGTTGCCGCCCTCCTCCCACGGCTGCTCCTCCACTGGAGGAAGCAACCCTCGTGCAGAGAGTTGCCGCAGGTGGCGCAGGTCTTCAGTGCCTCCCCTTCGCGCTCCATCTCCTGCAGGCACACCGGACAGTCGCCGCCGCGCGGCTGCTGCTGAGGGGCGCCGCCGCCTCCGCCGGAGTCGGAGAAGTGCTGGTGGAACCTCTCGCGGGCGCGGGCCCCAGCGAGGGCTTCCGGCGAGGTGGGGGTTTCGAGCAGGCGGCGGAGCTGCGGTTGGCGGAGGGTCCTCCGCTGGAGACAGGCGTCGTCGAGCGAGAGGGAGAGGACCCTGAGGAAGACGAAGAGCGTGTGCTTGCAGGGAGCCGCCGCCCGGTCGGGGCACGAACAGCTGGGGTTGGCGGCGATGGTGACGGTGTAGACATTGCCGGTGACGCCGAGAACGAAGAAGTCGGCGCCGGAGCGGTGGAGGAGGCGCAGGCGATGGCCGAGCGCGCGGCCAATCCTGTCGGAGAGCTGCCGGGCGGCGGAGGTCCGGCGGCGCCGCCGTGGTGGAGCCGGAGAAGGAGGATAAGAAGGGTCGTTGGAATCCGACGACGACTCCATCGCAACGCCGCCGGCGCTCGCCGTCCCTCCGTTTAACTCCACCGAAAAGACGGTTGCTTGCCCTCTGGGCCACATCACGCCCACCCCCATTGCTTCCTCCCCCTGCTTCCCTTCCCTTCCATCATCTCACAGAATTCAGAGAGAAAACAGCAATTAATCTAGAGAGGGAATCGTTTTAGAGGGGAAGAACGGAGGCGACACTGTAGGCGGGGACCTTGGCCAAGCTCTTGGCCCTCATGAACCGCCTTAGCCGCGCCACATCCTCCCAGAGCCCCTCGGCGGCGTATACATTCGACAGTACGACGTACACGCCGTCGTTGCCGGGCTCCAGCGCCGCCAGCCTCGCCGCCGCCCACTCCGCCACCTCCACGCCGCCGTGCTTCTCGCAGGCCCCCAGGAGCGTCCCCAAGATCACCGCGTTCGCTCTCGTAGGCATTCCGTCAAGCAGTTTCCGTGCGTCCTCCACTCTCCCGACTCTGCCTAGCATGTCCACCACGCAGCCGTAGTGCGCCGCCGCGGGCTCCACGCCGAACTCCCCCGCCATGCGCGCGAAGAACCTCATGCCCTCCTCCACCAGCCCGCCGTGCGCGCAGGCGCTGAGCACGCCGACGAACGTGACATGGTTCGGCCGCACGCCCTCCGCTAGCATGCGGCGGAACAGCTCGACGACCTCCTGCGCGCGCCCCTGCACTGCCAGCGCCGCGATCATCGCCGTCCAGCTCGACACGTCGCGGTGGCGCATCCTAGAGAAGACCGCGCCGGCGAGGTCCGCGCGGCCGCATTTGCCGTACATGTCGACGAGGGAGTTCTCGAGCATAACGGTCGCCGCCGCCGGCAGCGGCGGCGGCCGCCGGTGGCGGGCTTGGAGGACGCACTTGTGGACCTGCCGGGCCAGTTCGAGATCGCCCAAGCTGCCGCACGCAGAGGCCACGCTCACCATGGTCACGTCATCGGGTAGCAGCCCGCTCTTTCGCAGCTCGAGGAACAGCCCCACCGCCTCCGCTGCACTCCCCCCCTGAGCGAGCCCGCTGATGATGGCGTTCCAGGAGCCCAATTTTCTTTGGGGGTTTTCGTCGAACATCTTCCGCGCTTTAGTGAAGTCGCCGGCTTTGGAGTAGACGGAGATAATCCCACTCTCGCAGAATTCGTTCATCTCGAGCCCGCGCTTCAAGGCGACGCAGTGAAGCTGCCGGCCCAGGCAGATGGCGAAGAGGTGGCACGCGGCTTTGAGCGCGATGGGCACAGTGTAGGAGTCCGGCGGCACCCCGCCGCGCGACATGAGGAGGTACAGGCGGAGCGCTGCCGGCGGGAGGCCGGAGCGGAGGTAGCCTCTCATGAGGCAGTTCCAGTGGAACGGCGAGGAGAAGGAATGGAGAAACCCTAGCCTGAGCAGTCGCGCGTGGTGTTGCCCTACGCAGGATGGGAGTTCGCAGGACTCCAGGTCCGCCATGGCGCTCCGGCCTCCATACACGGCAGAGATGGGCTCATCGTCGGCGGCGGCGGCGCCGCCCGGCAGGATGGAGACGGCGGAGGAGGAAGATGGTGGTCTAGGTCTGACATCAGGATGGGGCATCGAAACAGGGCTAAGGTGATTGCTTCCACCGTTATAGTGTTCTTGAGGACGACGACCATAGACACCAGCCCGTCCTTTAGGTCAACGGACCAGATCGGTCTATCTTGACTCAAACTATCAACCATAATCGGTCGACGTCTTTACTAGCACGATAACATTTATTGATATTGTGAATAAATATTATAATATTTTTAAAGAGGATATATTCTTCCACTTTTCTTCACAAAAATCATAAAGACGGTGTAATATTATTGCTTTTCCGCAGTCTTTGCGTCCAATCCAAGTCAAATAAATGGGGAATTTATATAATTAAAAAAATAAGAAAACCAATAAAATGGGTTGCACATGGCGTGGCTCTTTTCCAAAGCCTGTGTCCCACGTCCGTGGACCATCCACGTGGATGAGTAATGAGGGCGCGGGGCGGGCTCCGAGCACCATCAGCTGACCAACAGCGCGGTGACGTGGTCGGTGGAAAGGTAAAAGGTGAGAGCGGATAGCAGCGCGCCACGTGGCATTGACCTCAAGGCCCGAGCGAAGATCTCGGGGAGGGGGCCATGATTAAATATAATTAAAATAAGAGGGTTAAATCAAAACGGTCACGGCGCAGTTCCCCAGAGAAGTCGGGGAGAGAGAGAGCGGCAGAGAATCCGGCTATAAACGTGGACGCTCGCGGTCACAAAACACGCAGGATCGCTTCCTGAGGTCGTTAAAGTGGATATTTCCATTTATAACCCTCTCAAGACGGACATTTCGGATTTACCCCCTCCAGGTTATTATGCTGACAAATTAACTAATTATCCAGATCGTTGTTTGTCGGAATCTTGTCTGGTGGCGAATTTACTCGGAGTAGAGGATACTCTGTTAATAACGCAGTTCACGGGGGGGGAGGTGGGGGTGATTTGTTTGATTCGATAAAAAATATAAATACCCTTTTAAAAAAACCCGAAATAATATCTTCTTGTCTATTTTATATCTGCCACACTCGGAACCGTGTCCGTTTCCGCTGTCCAGTTCAATAGGTGCATATAACGCGGAGGCCCCTCTCTTTCTCTCTCTACAACGGCTGCTGTGACGTCTTCTGTTACTAGAATTATAACCCCGCCATTGAGAGAGGGAGAGAGAGAGAGAGAGAGGGTGGTGTCTTCTACTCTCCCCACATCTCCGGCACCGCCGATGGAAGCGCCGGAGAGCTTTCAGGGGGGACATCGCCGGAGGGGGAACCACCAGTGCGCCGCCCTGGAGAAGCAGGGGAGGTCCCCTGGCGACGCCTTCCTTGTTGAGGACCTCCTTGACTTCTCAAACGAGGAAGGCGGCCTCTGCGAGGGAGACGAGGTGGGACTCGAGGCGGCGCCGGTGGAGTCGACCCCCGCGGCCGTCGACAGCAGCTCCTCCTCCGCATCAGAGCCGCAGTTTCCCGGCGAGCACGGCATCTCCGAGGTCGGTCTCTCGGACGGCCTTTCTGTACCGGTGAGGAGGAATGTTTCCCTTTGAGCATTTGATTTCCTTCGAATTTCGTGGAAAGTTTCGTCGCATCGGTGAATTTTATTTGCTCCTCCGACCTCAGATTTTCTCGTATTTTGCGAATTTAATCGTTGAAATATGCGAGAGATCTCGACGTCGGGATTACTTTTTTTTAATCCTCGGATAAATCGCGCGGTAAATGCCGCAATCTCGTTGAACAGAAGGTAGTGTGCAGCAATCATGGATAATCGAATCGACAAAAGGAATTTTCTCGTTTTCCGGAAAAGGTTGCGCATGAGTTTTGAATTTTTCGGCTCGTCCGCTGTCGCTTTCCTTCCGCTCTTCTCTCCTGGAGGGAACGAAGATACTCGCGCGCTCCACGAGTTTTTGAATTCTCATGCGTTTCTGCAGGTTTCCACTGAGCCATTATCTCCTCCCCTCAGGCCTTTCGTTACGAAAGTCGTCCTCCGGTTTTTCCTTCTCCTCTGGGAAAAGGCGAGCGGCCATTGCTTGATTGACAGGTTGGATAACGCCATCTCCCGATTTATTCCCCCACTTTAATCGTCTTCCTCGTGTTCTTGCGATTTCCCGCACTGATGGCGAGGACTGTATCCTGATCTTCCTAGCCCCACTTTTCGAAAATTAAATGTTAAGGCTCCAGATCGCAGAGCGGAGATGAAACGTGTGCGATTCGAATTCATTGTGCCGGTCTTCTGGTCCCGAACCATTCGCCATGAAAAAGATTAACCGGACGGTAACACCTGCGGAATCGAACCAGGTTTTTCGGAGAGTCGTCCGGCCGATCGGAGCCGGCCGCCCTCAGATAAGATTAAAATCCGTTCTGATCTTCATCTCTCTGATCCAAGCTTGTTCTTGCGATGGAAACAGTACGACGAGCTGGCGGAGCTCGAATGGCTGTCGAACTTCGTGGAGGAGTCCTTCTCCGGCGACGATCTGCACAGGCTGCTGCTGATCTCCGGCGCTGCCGCCAAGTCCTCTTCTCCGCTGTCCTCCGGCGGCCGGAGCGAGCTCTCCACAGAACCAGCAGCGGTAACGCTACCCCCGGAGGCTCACGTCCCTGGTAAGGCCCGCAGCAAGCGCTCCCGCCAAAGCTCCTCCTCCACCTGGTCGTCCCGCCTTCTGGTCCTCTCGCCGGTCACCTCCTCCGACGACGACGGTGAGAAGAAGGAGGAGGCAGCTATTGGGCTGGATGGGCCTAATGGGCAGGACGGGAGGAGGTGCCTCCACTGTGCCACCGACAAGACCCCCCAGTGGCGGGCCGGGCCCATGGGGCCCAAGACCCTCTGCAACGCCTGCGGGGTCCGGTTCAAGTCCGGTCGGCTGGTGCCGGAGTACCGGCCCGCCGCCAGCCCCACCTTCGTTCCCACCCGCCACTCCAACTCCCACAGGAAGGTTCTGGAGCTCCGCCGCCAGAAGGAGATTGACCCGCCGGCAACCGCCGCCCGCCACCTCCACCCCTGCGGGACCTACCAGCATCCCCCCGCCGCCGCCGCCGACGACTTCCTCATCCACGCCCGCGTGGGCCCCGACTTCCGGCAGCTCATCTGATCCCGCCCCCGCCACCGGTGCAGTATCCTTATCATCGCCGGCTTCGATAGAGAATTTTGAGAGAGAAATTCCTAGCTTTAGAAAGTCCTCCCTAGAAGTCTCCATTTTCCCTTTTCTGGTTCCAGATAGATACCGACGTCATAATCACCCCTTCCCCCCTCCGGAGGCGGCGCCGCCGCATCCGTCTTATCCACCGTCAACGGAAACACTTGCCGGTAATGAGAACGCGGGTGGGTGGGTTGCGTCAGATCGGGCTCCAATCCGATCCGATCCGATCCGGTCACATGGATCGGAATCGGGGGATTTGAATACATTTGAATGCGCGATCCCATGCGACGCCGATCCAGAGATGTGGGCCCACCGAGTTGATTGCCTGAGTTGCGATTCCGGATGTCTAACTAATACGGCGCTTATCCCGCAGCGGCACTCACGTGGCGCGGCTCGTGACGTGCACGTTACTGCGGCTTCCTGCCCATTTTTTTCCTCCCCCGCCCCCCCTTCCCTCCGGTTCCGGACCCACCGATGATATCAGACAAGGAGTCGTCGCTTGCTTCGTCTCTCCCCGCGAATCGCCGATCCGTGGGCACACATTTAAATTTATATAAGAATAATGTAATTATATAATATAGTTAATAATGTATTTATTGTAGAGAGAGAAGCTCCGGTGGACCTTCTATGCCGGCTGGCCCATATCCACTGATGCCACATGGTCGCCCCACAACGCCCCACGTTCATTGACCAATTATTTTATCGGGGTCACTTTCCTGGGTTTTGCTCTCACTCTGTAGCCCCATGATGTTCGGTGGGGATTAACCCGGGTGTTCAGTTGTTCAGGCTCATGAGGACCCATTAGGGAAGGCATGGCTCGCCATTGCGGCTCTAGAGGGGGCCCATTAAGGATCCAATGATGCCGTCCCATGCGCACGTGTACGGACACCAATGAGGCCCAATAAACGCCCATTTGGGTCCCCCGGGGGTCCATCGATTTGTCCTTTTCCAGCGAATGTATGGCAAAACGCCAGCCTTCCGATTGGTCCGCTTGGCTGGCGCGTCTGGTCCGCCGCGCTGACCGCTCAACAGCATGTGACGATGACCGCAAGTGGGCCCAATCTAAAGAATTCTACCACAACCGCCGCCCTCCCTCCTCCTCTGGGTCACTGCGCTTCCAATTAGATTCGGGGTTGACCTGTTTATGTCGAGTCAACCGGTTGCGTTCGCCGCCCGCCAGTTTTCTTTTCTACCAATGATCTCGGACTTACTCCAACCGATGAGGCCAGCTAGGCTGGCCGTTCATATTCCATATGTGGTCAACGAAAGTCAATGAGTCCGAGATAGTTGGCGATCTGGCCCGGCCCGTATCGGGGTCCGCCGAAATCCTCTCTCTCTCTCTCTCTCTCTCTCTCTCTCTATAGGATACTCCACGGGCCTTATTCAGGGCTTCCCTTCCCGGCCCGGCCCGGCCCATCAATTATGCTGCTGTACCGTTGCTCCACATATCTAGGATATCCAACGTCGTCGGTCTTATTAGACTGCGGGCAAGTCTACTCAGTTTTAGAAAGGAAATTAAGCTCCAAACGATTGGGAACATCTCAGAGGATCAGATGACGATCGAATAGCAGATCTGCCGAGATGTTGGATGAGGGCTGACGAAGAAGAGGGAGGAAGAAGAAGGAGGAGGAGGAGGAGGAGGAGGAAGAGAAGAGGGAGGAAGGAGGAGGAGGAGGAAGAGAAGAGGGAGGAAGGAGGAGGAGGAGGAGGACGAGAAGAGGGAGGAAGAAGGAGGAGGAGGAGGAGGAGGAAGAGAAGAGGGAGGAAGAAGGAGGAGGAGGAGGAGGAGGAGGAGAAGAGCGAGGAAGACGGAGGAGGAGGAGGAGGAGGAGGAGGAGGAGAAGAAGAAGAAGAAGAAGAAAGAAGGGGAGATCAGAGGTTCCCCCCCTTCTGCTTAGATTCGATGCTCCTGGCGATCATCTTCAGGCTACCATCGAGGAACAGGATGAGCCGCGCGAGGCGCCGGCCTTTCAGGGGATCCGCCACGAAGGACCACTCGATCCGGCAGCCTTCAGCGGCGGCGGCGGCGGTGGTGGTTTCCGGGAAGACCTTCATCTCGGCGATGAACCTGCCGAATCCCATGTTGCTGTCCACCACCCGGTAGGTGAAGATGAGGGCCTGGTGGTCGACGGAGAGGAGCTCTTCCGTGGCCCAGGTGGTGGCGCTGCCGTCGGTGTTCCTGCCGGAGGCGGCCTCGCAGCGGCGGAGGCAACCCGGCCGCCCCTCCTCTCCGGCAACCCTGTAGCAGGCGTCCAGAGAGGGTAGCAGCCTGTGGAAGTTGCAGAAGTCGCTCAGAAGCTGCCACGCCTGATGGGCCCCCGTCTCCAGCAGCCTCGCGGTGACCTTCCCCTCCCATTGCTCCTCCTTGCTCTGCGCCGTCTCCATGCCTGTGTCCTCTCTTTCTCTCTTCCTTTCCTCTCCCTCTCTCTCGCTCGCTCGCTCCGTCGCGGAGGTCCAGTGC